TCGGCAGTGACCCCAAAAATTTTTGTGGCTGTGATTATCAACTCCCTGGAGTGTATTGCAATGGGACATCCCCCCAAACAAATGGGCATTTCAACACATTGTCAATGGGAAAATCCTTGCGCTGGTGGGTTTTCCTGCAAACCATGAACATCATAGACCGAAGGCTTGGAATGCTGGGGTGGTTCCTGAAGTGAACGTTTGGTAGCTAGGGGTAAAACTGAGTCTAAATCTAGAAACTGTTTGCGTGTGTTCATATGTGTAGAATCAACTTAGATATCAAACATGCACCCATATTGCGTATGGTTCAGAAACAGGCAACTAGTTGACCCATGTTGACCCACAACCTTAGTGATTTTTAGCTTCGTTTACCATCCATGTTTGGTGGTTCATCCCAAGACAGGACAAAGATTGGCCCTAAGGAGTCGCTGTTGAAAGCCAAGTTGCTGGCAAAACATCGCTATCAACTCGAAGTCCGAGGCTGCCTGACAGGATCTGATAGGTTTCACGAACGTAGATGATGGTTTCTGATGGTTTCTGATTGTTTTTGTAGGATTTTCCATGTGATTTTCCACCTCTTTTTGTATCTCTAAGTTAGTTACAGAGGGTTTTTCGGTAAATCAGTTCATGGGCCATGATGATCATGATGGCCTCCGTTGCTATGTTTGGAGGCTCCATGATCTCCATGGTTGTCATGTGTTGGATTTGTTCATGCACTTGTTTGGGGAGTGTTGGAGGGATATTAATGAAATTCTAAATCCACTTATCTTCAATTTTGCCGATTTGTTGAATACGTTGGAAACTAACGGAAACTATGTGTTTGAGGTTTGTTTTGGTGAGTACATGTTCGCTTTCAATAACCTTGCTTGGTGGTTCATCCTGTATCTTGGTTACCTGCTTACAGCTTTGGTCAGCAGGATGATTTTCCAGTTATAGCTGCTGCTATTGCCAACTTGCCAAAAATCATGACTGCTGCCTTTCTAAATCACCACACATGATCAATCCCGATTTACCCACCCATAAACTAACATGGAAGTGGAAGTTCCCCAACGGGGAACCATGGGTTTTTCATCCTTTTTTTCCGCATCTTCATCTACCCGTCTCCGGTGTCCTCAAACATGGCTGGGGAAATCTCGGAAATCCCCGACAGTTCCAGGCTTGACGCGGCGTTTGCAGCAGCAGCGACGGCTGATGCCAGGCGAGATGAGATGTGGAGACCTAGCCTGGGGTATACAAAAAACAGATGTGGAGGTTAGCATTTTGGCAGCGATAAAAACCTCCATTGAGTTCGGGGTTTTCTTGGATTTGCCAGCGAGCCAATGTTTGAGGACACCGGAGGTAGATGTGGAAAGTGGAAAACCAATGGTTTTCCGTTTGGAAACTGATCTCGAAATAATGGGTAAATAGGGCAATTTCAACAACATATATTTCAATCTGATACGGGACATGAGGGAGATAATACTGTACTTTTTAAATATCATCTAAGAATAGTCCAATAGTTCAATTAAGAATTGTAATGACCACCTAATGAGGTGATACCCCCAAATAACTTCCATACATTCTGTATCAGATTGCTGGAAAATGTTGAAATGTCCTAAATGTCCTCAATCAGATCGTATATATATATAATATAGTGGGTCGGGAATAGTTATTGACAATGGTATCTCTTCAATGTTGAAATAGCCTTTGAAATCTGAGTTGTTTCGTTGGGATCACCTGGGATCTTCTTGAATCGGGGTCCAGTATTGGTTTCGGGTTACACATCAAGCCCGCATGCCCTAAGTATAGTACTCAAACATTTGCAATAGGGAAATCGTTTCTGTGTACATGATTTACATGTTGAACATGCAGATGTTCCTTCGATTTCCACGGTGCCGCACCAGCAGAACAAACACGAAACCAGACGGCAGCATAAAGCCTCAATTACAGGAGGCCAACTTGATCAGCGCGCCAAGAATTCTACCAAGAATTCAGATGATACAAATCGTAAGGACCAAACAGAATACCTTGTTACGAACCTCTCGTTGTGTGACGGTCCAAGTCGCTTGATGACTTGATGACTTGTGTTCTAAAAATCAATGCCAACCTGAGCCAACCCACCCACCAGATTGATACTGAAAGTGGGTGTTCTAGTCATTTGCAACTTCAAGCGTTTAGCAACTTTGAGTCCATTGGAACTTCCTCGCCATGGGGAGTCAGCGTACCTTGAGCTGGCTGGTTGGACTGCTGTTGATTGGATGCCTCTCGCGGACATTCGTGGAAAGGCCCCCGGCATAGGGGGGCAATACATGCGGCATGGGTCGAAATTTAAAGGCTTGAATCTCCCACAGATTCTGGCCAGTTTGTGTAAGTCGGTTTTTGTTGGAGGAGGCTTCCATTTTTGATCCATACCCATTTGAGATGGGTATGGGTCAGAGCAACTGCCGAGAAAATGGGGAGGTGAACACCCTCACATGAGTTCTTTTTTTTGTTTTGTTTTGTTTTGTTGTTGTTGTTGTTGGACTGCTACCAGGATGATATAAAGTACAGGGTTTGCCGCGGTTTGCCGCTGTTTGCCCAAACTCATAAGATGAAACTTTTTTGTTCATGGACGGCCTAGAGGATTTTCTAACCAGTCTTTTCTGATAGGTGTCCTTTTCCCATGCCCTCTCCGTGGCTCACATTCAGCCATCGCCTCGTGGTTTGGGTTCGTAGTTTGACATTCCTTGGGCTCCCCTCAGAATTTGTTGTTGGTGCCAACACTTAAGCATTGGTTTAGTTGAATGATGATCCCCAGCATCTGAATAATGATGTTGAAGCAGTATGATTTCCACATGCGAGTTGGCTATTGCATGCTGATGCCAAAATATGAACTAGTAATGACTCACTGAGCAGTCTTGACAGACGGCGAGAGAGAGAGAGAGAGAGAGAATGACTGGCGCATATTGGGATGCAGATTGTCCGCTGTAAATATTCCCAATATATCGGGATGAGTATATTGATGATTAATGGTTGTTGATTGTTGATGAGTTTATTGGGAATAATATATATACATATATATTTATATATATATACTGGTTGGTGGTTTGGAACATTTTGATTTTTCCATATACTGGGAATATTGGGGTTGAAACCACCAACCAGTATATATTGGGATGATATATTTCATTTGATAATATATAATATATCTATAATGCCAATACAACTGTTGATTGTTCTTTTCCCCCTTTCAGAGGCTTCCCGCGTCGCGCGCATCGCGCTCGGCTCGCCGCACCGTGACAACGCGGGCGGTGGAAAATCCCTACGACGATGCTTGGCGTGGCACGCCTGGAGGGTGGGGTATTTCACAAGGTTTGATCCTTATGCAATCTTAAACATTAATAAACATTAGATTTTGAGAAATATAAAGATGAGGACTTAAGACGCATAATATCTGAATATCACCCCAAATGCAGCATTTGTCCCCCAAATCGGGGTTATTGAGCAATATTCCAAAATTACATGTTCCCCAAAAGCATAATTCTTGATCTGGAACCATCACTCGGGTTTGTCTTCCTTCTTTTGGTCGTTAAACAACATTGTTTCATGCTGAAAACCATTAATCACCAGAGGTTCTTAGTTAAAACATGTTAAAACTCCCATATTTCTCGGCTTAAATCCCGATGTTCCAGCAAAAAAACACTTTTCTTCAAGTGATCCCCACCCTGACACTTATTTGTCATAGTTTCTGACATATCATCTGGAAAGATATACGGTATAATCTCCTGCCATTCTATCTGGCATCTATTCTGACATCTTATCTGGCATCCTTCGTGGCATCTATACTGATATTTTCTCTGGCATTCTATCTGGCATTGTTTCTGCCATATGTTCTGGCATACGTTCCGGCATGCAATTTGGCATTCTATCTGACATTCTATTCTGGCATTCTATTTGGCATCTCTTCTGATATTCTTTTCTGGCATTCTATCTGGTATATCTTGGGGGAATCTTCGTGGCTGAGGTCCGGCGGGGAACACTCTGATCTTGATCTTGCTGTTCGGGCCTGACGGGGAACACTGCGATCTAGAGCTTGCAGTTGAGGTCCAGCAGGGATCACTGTGATTTAGAGGTTGCTGTTCGGGTTCGGCGGGGAACGCTGCGATCTAGAGCTTGCAGTTGAGGTCCAGCAGGGATCACTGTGATTTAGGTTGCTGTTCGGGTTCGGCGGGGAACACTGCGATCTAGAGCTTGCAGATGAGGTCCGCCGTCCGCCGGAAATCACTTTGATCCATATTCGGGTCCGGCGGGGAACACTGCGATCTAGCGCTTGCAGTTGAAGCCCGGCGGAGGAGAAGGAAGGAGAAGGAGAAGACAGGATAATCTAACAACCCTCACCTGACAGGTGGGGAACAACAAAAATCCATAAAAATCCCATGTTCCAGGGTTGCATGGGTCCATTTTTCACCGGCATTGCCTCAGGTCTTGGGCCTCCCTCGTGGCACCAGCAAAAGTGTGGCTGGACGATCGGGGGAAGATGGGTTTGGAATTTCGGGATCCAAACACCAATAATCACAGGATAACCATGGATAACCTGGGCTGAAGATGGTTATGTGTCTTTATGGGAAATTCATAAGTTTACTACTTAGAGAATCTAAAGGGATTCGCGTTCTTAAGCAAATCCAAGATAGTGATCATGGGAAGCTGATACAAATTTGGAACAAGATAGACAGTAAGTTGGCTGGCGGTTTCCAACGTCGATTTTCACCAACCACTCTTCAACCCTACCGCACCTAGGATGATGATGGGCTGCAACCACCAACCAGGTAGCTAGACCTCCCCAAAGATGCCGGTGCCATTTGGGATCACTTGTGTGTGCTTCGGGATGAAATATGCCTATCAGCCTTGGCTACTGGACTTTTGCTGTCGCGTGATAAATAAATAAATATAATATATATATATATTATTAGAGAGAAATTCATGTTTTCCTCGCTGTTTCATGGCTCAAAGTATGTTTTAAAAGAGTGTTTTTAACGTTTTTGAAGAGACAACGCGCTGATTTCTCCAATGGAAGTCACAAAGGCTTCCGTGGTTCGATATAGTTCCCCGCTGATTCTAGCAGCCGCCCTAGTGCTTCTGGTTTCCTTCCTGCTGTCCCACAAATCGTTTATCCGCCTGACCTTTGCCTCTTGCAAGTTATGCACGCAACTCAAAAGGTGGTGGGAGCGTCAACAAGGTGGTGATAGTAGCAGTGAAGTGGAACTCGATGTGATGCGTTGCAAGTGGATGCAACGCTTCCTGTTTGTATGTTCCGTCCTGACCATGTGCCGTTTGGTCTCTCGACAGATTGCAGTCCTTCGTGAGGACAACACCAATGCAGAGTTTGATCTCCACATTTTGGCCGCTGCCGTTTTGTCGCTCGTGGTGACTTCCTTCCCACGACTCATCACTCCCAAAAGCCTCGATGTTTGGTACGTGCTGATTTTGGTGATCCTAGATGCTGTCCATTTGATTCCTCCCGTTGAGGTGGATGTTCGGGACGTGATGGCTCTTGGTTTCCCAATTCGCTTCATTTTGGCAGTGCTGGCCAAACGGATTTGCTGCGTAGCATTTTGCATCCTAGTCCACTTGCTCCAAGCCATTTTGATCGCCAGATTGCAAGGACGGGAGCTCAAGGAAACCAACGATCCCGTGTTTTGCGGATTTGTCACACTATTGAACCAATTGGAGCTTTCCTGAAATGGGGGGTAACCATGGGTAACCCAAATCATCCAAGTCATTAGACTTGAGGATCCCCTACTGTAAGAAACCACCAATTCAAACCATATTCAGGACAGCGAGGAGGAGCAGACTCAACTGAGTGGCTCGTCGGAGTGTTCTCGCTCATGTTTTTTTGCATCCTCATTGTGCGGAATTTGATGCGTGAGAATGTGCTTCTCAAGGTGGGGTTCTTTGCGGGATTTAAAATCAATCAAAATACGCCCAGTCCAGCAGGAAAAATGATGAGTTCCCCTCTCTTTGATCCGATGGGAGGCTGGGGTGACCCCTCGATTGTTTCTCAATGTCGATTCATCCCCAGGTGGATTTGCAGAAGAGGACCGTGGAATTGGGTGCAGTTTCCTCTTTGCTGACCGCGTGCTACGATGCGGTTGTTGAGCTGGATCAAAATTTTAAATTGACCCAGGATCCTTGTCTGTTTGTTTGGTGGTTTCGAATTATCATTGCTTTTCGGCCCCAAAAACGAGATGATGATCTCAACTGATGAGTATATTTTTTTTGGGAGGGTTGAAACAACAGAAACCACTATTTTTCTGTAGCTTTTGAATCACTTTGCCCAACTTGTCGCCTTTCTTTTGTGTTGTTTTCATTCACCCATGCATAGATATCAGATTGATTTTCTTGGCAAACCTGAAGCCACCTCTAGCTCGCCTTGGGTGAAGTTGCAATCATTGGCACGTAAGGATTCGGGCCAACTCTCATCCATGCTTCTCCAAACTGCACCAAAAGTTGGTGGTTTGGCAGGGAAGTCATTGCTTGACTTCTTCAGCGAGGGAGACAGACAGCGCATCTCCGAGCAAGTACTCAATCCTGTCGAGAATATCTCTGCCGTGGCCTTGAATGCGGACATGCTGGATTCTGATTTCAACCATGTCCAAGTGGAGCTGTTCTGTGCGCAGTTCAAAAATTTGGCAAGTGAGAGGTGCTTTCTAGTGGGCTTGCGAGAGCTTCAAGACTTGGAACCTCCTGCTCCACTTGGTCCTTCAGATCCCTCACGCCTGGCAGGCAATGAGGCTCTTCTTGTGATGTATGATGTGTATAGCTTCGACATTCATATCATGAATGGCGAGATGCAACGGCTTTGCAGACCATACTTCGGGGACACAACCCCTGATGCTTGGACTTGGACAGAAAGAGAGGTTCTGACAAATAAAAGTGTGCGGCCAACCTAAGCACTCATATACATATGCACACGCATACATAGATGTGCTTAGGCTTAGGATGGACTTAGGGGCTTTATAAAAGGATTTAGGGAAGTTAACTTGAAGTTATGTTAAGTTATGTTAAAGGTTTTGTAAGTTAAGTTATATATATCTTTTGTATCTTTTTTGGCTGTAAAATTTGTAGCTTTTTTTTTCAATTGTCATGTGATTTTGGGAAGTTCCGTTTTTCCCACCGCATGTCGTTTCCTTAGCTTTTGATCTCGAAATGTGAGGAGTTTCTGGCAAAACCAGCGGTTCGGGTGAGCTTGACGCAGAAAAACAGCTACGGATTTCAGTCTTGGGGAAGCACAAAAAACTACGTTTTAACACATACGCGTTTCCAAGCACGATGGTGATGGGAGCTGGTAACTTAATCGCGTTCCCTTGCCATTTTGGTATTTTCGTGAGGATACACATGCGCGTTTCCATGTTTTTGTGGAAACACATCCCGAATGTCGATATTTTTGATCACCATGTGTATAGATGTGGAAACACATCTTTAACACATACGCGTTTTCAATCACTTTTTATGTCTCTGTGTGAAAACGCATACGTATTTACTTGTTCTGGAAGTGTAAAATCTAGAAACACATGCGCCTTTCCTTGTTTTCTTCTCTAAACAACAGGAAACACGTGTGCGTTCCACGCCAACCTTCTCTCATCTTCTCTTAAACAACAGGAAACGCCAGGATTTGAAGTCCTGCAGCGTCGCTCTCTGTGCTATCACATTTCAGTTGCAGCCATGCTTCCCGTGAAATTGCGCTCCACTTGAGCAGAAAAACTGTCCTGCCATACAAAACATCCGTTTCCAGGCCAAAAAACAGCTATCTTTGCTAACTTGTTTGTATTTTGTTGACGTATGTGCTATCTCATGTTTTATGACCCTATCTATTGATATAATTTCAACATGACTTTTACAAGTTACCCCCATTGAAAAATATACTTGAACCATGTTATAAAACTAAAGATGCGACATATTATAAAATGATTTGGATGTCAAGGCAAAGCTTCGCATGCGTGCATGATGATACAATATCATACATGTGTATACTGTAAATGATCCAAACAACAACTGAACGTTTATATACCATTGCATGTTACATATTTGAATCATATTTGTATGACTGTGAGCTGTCAGTATGAATTATATCCTCACCCCCTCGCTCGCTCGCTCGCTCGCGCTCTGTCTCTCTCTCTCTCTCTCTCTATCTCTCTCTCTCTATCTCTATCTCTCTCTCTCTCTCTCTGTTCCCTTGCCGTTGTTTGCATATATCTATATATACAGACTATGAGCATATATATCTTTGTTGGGTGGAGCCAGAGCCACAGGGCATGTGGCTACAGGGGAGGATTGTTGCAAAATGAAAAGGCAAGAGACCAAATAACACAATGCTGCTTTCCCTTGATCCGATATGGTGCGGTTTAGTTTTGTAGCGGCTCAGGACAGTATTTTGAGCCTTGCGAGCGGCAACACACGGCTATCGCTCAGCCGCCAATTGCAAGACTTGGGAAATGCCATCGCTGTACAGCAACCAAACGACATCGGACCTACTACTGTGACCTTTGATTTCTTGGGATTCAGTCGGGCTGAAGCAGTTGTGTCCATAGAATATGATCACCTTCTGGATGCCTGGATGGGATCCATGGTTTTTCATTTGACTGATCGTAGTACCAACACCTTAACCGAGTCCAACCTCCAAAACTTGCCACCTCCAACTCAACATGGACTCCATGGACTTCGTGCTCTTTGCCGACGCAGTACCTCAAGCCGTTCAAGTCGTTCAAGTTCGCGTTCCTCTCGAGGCAGTCCGTCGGCTTCCAGTCGTTCCAATCATTCTGCCATGGGCACCATCAGTGAGCTGCACTACCTCCGGGAGGCGTGCGTCACAAAGCTCAAGCTTTAAGCTACCGGCGCTGTTAACGGACCCGCAGGTTTTGCTGTTTTTTCCTGTCGCATTGCACGTCAGTTAGAAGTATTGCCCGTTAGTTAGAAGTATTGCACGTCAGTTAGAAGTATTGCACGAAGGATAATGTGATTTTCTTGGGGAACCGGGTGGGGTTGGGGGGGTGGGGGGGTGGGGTGTGGGGGGGTGTGGGGTGGGACGGCAAGGGGTGTGCTGTAACATGTCTCTTGTCACTTGCCAGACGCTCTGGATGCTACGTTGTAACATGTCTCTTGTCACTTGCCAGACGCTCTAGATGCTACACTGTAACATGTCTCGTGTCACTTGCCAGACGCTCTGGATGCTACGCTGTAACATGTCTCTTGTCACTTGCCAGACGCTCTGGATGCTACGCTATAACATGTCTCTTGTCACTTGCCAGACGCCCTGGATGCTACGCTGAATCCATGAAGGAAAAAAGTCGAGCTTCAAAAGCTGTGGAGGTTTCGTTTTCCAAAATCCACATTTGTCAATTATTTATCCTAATAGAATTCAATGATCAATGAATAAATTCCTAGCGTAACGTGGGACGAAAACAACATTTCTAATTCTGGGTAAAATAACAAAATCGTCACGGCGCCACAGTTTTAAACAAATCCATACATAATGCTTGAAATAAAAATCATTAAAAACACCGGGTCCGCTATCAGCGCCGGTACCAGATTTGAGCAGCGCATTGCAACTTTTGCAATGATGTGGGTAGTACAGGTGGCAGGGGGGCTGAAAGATGGCTGACAGGTTCGTAGTGAAGCCCGGATTGATTTCATGATTGTGTTTCAGAAAACAGCACACACATTTTAAGTCTTTTATATAAAAAGATCGGGATGTGTGAAATAATCCATGCAAATTATTTTTATGACATGAAAGTTTGCAAGATTATGTGTGTTATATCCCTATATCCCTTTGGCCCCAGTAAACTGCGGCGCCGCATCATTGCTGCCTGCAATAGATCTGTTTCACTGGTCCAAGTTCAGGGTAACGTTCGCGACATTTTTGCACAGAAAGGAGATGCCATGCGGGCGTGTCTGAAAATGAGGCACACCCCCAAATTGCAGTGTTTTTACGGAAAATAAATTTTAACATGGAAAAAAATGTTTGGGGGTGCCGTATGTTCAGACAAACCCATGCCCGTGGTTTTGGTGGGAAGGTAAAGGTGCCAGAGATCAAGACTTTGTAGGTGTATGGATCAAGTTTGAAGACTCTGGGGTCATCAGTTTTTCTTCGGTGCTACACGGCATCAAGGCGTTTGGTTTTCATCCTGAGCTGGTCAGAGCAATTCCCCGGGGCAGATTGTCGTAAAGGCTCGTTCGCATTTTTATGGGTTTTTAATGATGTTTTAATGTATTCACCCCAAGAAATTTGATGATCATTTATGCCTCAGATCTTTTGATGCCCAAGGACACTCGCAAATCCTTCCGCAAGATTGCTCTCTCAGAGCACCCAGACGTGAATCCTGACGACCCAGAATCGCAAGAACGTACCTGGTATGCAGAGAGGGCCGTGGCAATCAAACCGCATAATGAACCGCAGAAAGTAGGGAAGGGTGGGCAATGGTGCAAGAATGTGATAAGAATGTGCAAGTATCAAATAATCATTTGATTACAAGAAGTCAGATCCTTGTAAGCTTGCTTTCTTGGACTTCCAATATGCAGACATGTCAAGACTACAAACTCTGCAAGGGTGCCTCTTCCATTTTCGAAAAAGGCGCCATGCAGTCCCACCTGCTGTCAATTGCCAACGCTTCCAGGATTTCAGAAGCTGGTGGGTGCCTACAATGCATCTGGGAGAAATCTGGGTAGCAAATGGTATACGTTGACCTTTCAAATGCCCTTTCCTGAGAATTGTGCGGATCTTCTGCAAACCAGAATTGAATAGTAAGGAAATTAGATGGTAGATTCCAAGTCATTGTTTCTCTCTTCAAAATATAGATAATATAGGCTATCATTTATATAATTATATGTTCCATTGTTTCTCTTATGTGACGGCTTTTAAAAGGCAGTTTTTGGAAAATTGCAAAAGAAACCACCTAATTAGGTGAGATTCACTATGAGGGAATGAGGCCGCTTAGGTCAGATAAAGGCCAGTGAAGAATCCTCTGAGTTTGTTCCTCCTTGGTTTGGATATGTTAGGTGTTATTCTTTGTTTCGAAGGATTTGCACTTCCCCAGCCCCATTGCTAAATGATTGTTCCCTCCCCCTAAGCGGCCGTTTCGGACCCGAACACCAGTGGCTTCGTGACAATAAACCGACACGCAAGTGACAAGCAAATGGCACGCATAACAAAAAGGAAAGCACATCAACATCAACATCATTATCATTATCATCATCATCATCACTATCATCATCATCACTATCATCATCATCATCATCACCATCATCATCATCATCAACAAGAACAACACCGTCATCATCATGATCATCCTCATCAACACCAGCAACATCGTCATCATCATGATCATCATCATCATCACCATCATCAAGTCATCAAATCATCAAATCATCAAATCATCACATCATCACATCATCAAACCATCATCAAATCATCAAATCATCATCATCATCATCATCATCATCATCATCAAGTGCTCGATTCCATAGGTCTTATTCAATATGGTTCAAAAAATACAACCAAAAAAATGATGGTTTCATGCTAAACCTCACGAATTCCACAGATTCAACGCGCCCCCACAAGCCATAGCCACTCAAGAAGATACTGGTCAAGCCTTGGTCTTGGTAGCCAAGTTGCTTTTTTGGTTGCCATCAAATGGCTGAACAATGTATAATAATTACCATCCACATGATCTTTTTGAGTAGGGCCCAACTAGAGTTACACCCTGATGCGTCATTGCTGCATCACCATTAGTGTTTTATCATGTTTTATCAGCATTTGCACCCAACATGGCCAAGCCATGCAGCCCCTATTTCTAGACATATCCACGGATCATATTCAGGCTATCCTATGATGTCCCCATTTTATGTCTCCCCATTTATTCTAGCGTGTGCTTAGTGACAATGATTGTTCCTTTTGGATATCCCCTTATTGCACATTTCAACAACTGCACGCGCACTTTGCATAAAAGTGAACATGAACACACAGATAGATAGATAACTAGATAGAGAGATAGATGGATAGGATAGGATAGGATAGGATAGGATAGATAGATAGATAGATAGATAGATAAATTAGATAGATAGATAGATAGACAGATAGATAGATAGATTAGATTATATTAGGATAGATTATATTAGATTAGATTAGATGAGATTGGATTAGGTTAGATGGATATATAGATTTAGATTTAGATAGATTTAGATAGATTTAGATTCAGATAGATCGATAGATAGATCAATAGATAGATCGATAGATAGATAGATAGATAGGTAGATAGATATATATATATATATGTATATAATTTATATATATATATGTATACATTATGCATATACTATACTGTTCATATACTCAGTTTTATATTCAAATAAACGGTTGCGCGACGGCTCCGAGTCCATCATGGGGGACGAGATCTTTCCGGATGAGGTCATGGAGATCCGGGTGCAGATGACCAATCGGTACCAAGAGACGCCCGGCGAAGCTACCGGGGATATCCATGGGGATATCATGGGCAAATGGGATAAAAATGGGATATATATATATGGGATATAAATGGATGTAAATGGAATATGATATATATGAGATATTAATGGGAGAGAGATAGATAGATAGATAGATAGATAGAGAGATAGAGAGAGATAGATAGATCGATAGATCGATCGATAGATAGATAGAGAGAGATAGAGAGAGAGATAGATAGATAGATAGATAGCTAGGTAGGTAGATAGATAGATAGATAGATGGACAGATAATATATATATATGGATGTATATATATATAGTAACGACATTTGAATATGTGGAGGGCGGGCCAGACCGCAAGGCCCCTGGAGGCAGTATGAAATACCAGTTCGCATATTTAAGTGTAGTTACCGTATGTTTGAATGAATTGGATTCCGTATGTTTAAATGGCCGGACGGGCCAAGGAAAACCTTCCCGGAGGTAGTCTAAAATACCTGTTAGTATACTTCAAAGTCCGTATATTCAAATGTAGTTACCGTATATATATATATGTATATATATATGTATATATATATATATGTATATATATATGATGATGAATAGCCATGTAGAACTGATAACCTTGCCAGAATTTCACTGGGAAATGAAAAGGGAACATTTTTCTTTATCGGAGGTACCGTTTCCATGGAAAAATGAGCCTGTCCGGGCAAAACAAAAAACACATGGTTTTATAATATGGTGCAGTCCCTCTATTCTAGAGGCCTGAAATGACCCTTGTCATGCTAATTGTAAGACTGAAACAAAAATATAAACTCGACAATATTTGGTAGCCTATGTTCAATCACCAGAGGTACCCACTTTTGAAGATGAACATCCTATATTGAAAATATAAAATTTTGTTTTTTTTTTCCAGCTAGCCATGTTAAATGACTGTAGCGTATCAGAGACATGGTGGTTCAGTTCAGGAGATGAATGAATCTCCTTTTTTCACATCATTGTCAACAATCTGTTCATGTTCAATTTTCCCGGAAACACAATTTTTATACCCGTTGAAATTTTTGTTACTAAATCTGAGGCCTCAGGGCCGTTACAGAATGGTTTTTGGCTACCATTTTGTGCAAAATTTTGACCCTGGGTTCTGCCATCTTGTAAGTGGACCCCCCCCTGGTACCGGAATTTTGCATTGGAAGTGCGAGTTTGTTACCCTCCAGTCCCGACCATTCTGTCGGAGTCTGGAGGGCTAATCAATAACCACTACAAATTGGATGGATTCAAAGCGTAAATGGATAATACTCAACTATAGCCCCTACAAACTGGATGGAATCAAAAAATCACAGAATAATTTTCATAGCCTTGGGTGCAGGGCTTGGGAGAGGCCTTGAAAAGTCTGATGCGTCTGAGTGGTCATGAATGCTCGAGATGAGTCACATCTATTTAAATATATATATATATGATATATACATATATTTATATATAAAATATATTATATATATAATATATATATATAATATATATATATCGATATTTATATTTTTTGATTATGACATCCAACGTTGGATTTAAAGTTTAGCTTGGCCACTCAGACAGCGTCACGCCAAAACAGACGGATGAACGCAAAAGAACGGAAAAAATGAACCGCGACTCGGGTTGGCCGGGCTGTTGCAGGTTACTTCCCAGGGATCCTAGGATAGTGCGAGTATAGCCACCCCAGTCCCCACCATTCTGTAAAGGGCAAATCGAGCCAATGGATGCGAGCGGATGCGAGTGGAGCAAAATCGGTGACTCATTTTGTAACTAGGGGTCAGATAATATATATATATACATATATATAATATATTTTATATATATATATAATATATATATCGATATATTTATATTTTTTGATTATGACATCCAACGTTGTATTTAATGTTTAGCTTGGCCACTCAGACAGCGTCACGCCAAAACAGACGGATGAACGCAAAAGAACGGAAAAAATGAACCGCGACTCGGGTTGGCCGGGCTGTTGCAGGTTACTTCCCAGGGATCCTAGGATAGTGCGAGTATAGCCACCCCCAGTCCCCACCATTCTGTAAAGGGCAAATCGAGCCAACGGATGCGAGCGGATGCGAGTCGAGCAAAATCGGTGACTCATTTTGTAACTAGGGTTCAGCTTGGACTGCCATTTTGTAACAAAAACCTTCCTCGGTGAACGTTGGGTTCTGCCAACTTGTAAGAAGGGCACCTTGGGGACGCCGTTCTGTAGCTACAAAATGGGGCTCCCAACCCCTCGGGTCCAATCTGAACGGGGATGGAAAAGGTATTCTTGATGCTAAACACAACCTAAACGCAAGATTTATTAACAATATGGAAAAGGTACCCTTGATGCTAAACACAACCTAAACGCAAGATTTATTAACAAAAACTATTCCAAAGACCAAATCCGAACAAAACATTGCAATTCCTATGCGTTTTACTAAAAAGGCACGACTTTTCAAATCAAGTGCTCCCCAGCTATTTACGATGATTTCCAAATTTTAGGCACGACTTTCGCATTCCACTGTAATATATACTATATAATATATAATATATAATTTATAATATATAATATATAATATATATAATATCTAATATCTAATATCTAATATCTAATATATATTATATAATATATATAATATATAATATATAATATATAATATTTAATATATAATATATAATATATAACATATAACATATAACATATAATATATAATATATAATATTTTTGTTTTTATATATAATATATAATATATATAATATATAATGTATAATATATAACATATAACATATTAATATCTAGTATTATTTATAATATATAATATATAACACATAATGTATGACATATAACATGTAATATATAACACATAATTATTATATTTTATATATTATATATTATATATTATATATTATATATACTTTATAATATATCATATATCATATATGATATATATATATATATATTTCAATAACATATATATATATATATATATATATTATATTATAAATACATATATATATATATATATGTATATATATACATACATTTATTATTATTGGTGTTATGCATCATGATCGACTATTATTGAAACTTATATGTATGTAGAGAACTTGTCTTAGATTAGATGCTCTTTGTAATCTCAGGAATTCATGGAATAAACATCCCATGGCACTGAGACTCTCAGACGAGCCGCACAGGTGCAGAGCCGTTGGGCGCGAATGGCCGCCTCCTCTCAGCTGGAAGAACTGTTGCTGGCAGAATGGGTGGATCATCGGCATTTTGAGGACTGGTTGTGCCATTTTAATTTATTTTCTATTGAACAGTGGCTTCAAAAATTAAAGGACCGGATAACCCCACAAGTCAACTTCTTCCAATAATAAGCATGAAAGGTTGTAGCAGGGACGGGGAAAGAAGGTTAGGGGAAAGGAGGCGGTGAAGGATCGAGAAGTTAAAACAGTTGTGAGTGACAAAGTGGAATGTGAAAGATGGTGTGTGTGTGTGACACAGCAGTGTGTGAAAGATGGCGTGTGTGAAAGTTGTGTGTGAAAGAGAGTGTGTGACAAAGTTGTGTGTGAAAGATGGTGTGTGACAAAGTGGTGTGTGAAAGATGGTGTGGCGAAAGATGGTCGGTGTGTGACAAAGTTGTGTGTGAAGGATGGTGTGTGACAAAGTGGTGTGTGAAGGATGGTGTGCTGAAAGATGGTGTGGGTGAAAGTCCTGTGTGAAAGAGAGCATGTGACAAAGTTGTGTGAAAGACGGTGTGTGGCAAAGTGCTGTGTGAAAGATGGTGTGTCAAAGATGGTGTGTGACAAAGTTGTGTGTGAAAAATGGGGTGGTGAAAGATGGTGTGTGGAAGATGGTGTGGTGAAAGATGGTGTGACAAAGTGGTGTGTGACAAAGCGGTGTGTGAAACTTGGTGTGTCAAAGATGCTGTTTGACAAAGTTGGGTGTAAAAGATGGTGTCTGAAAGATGGTGTGTTACAAAGATGGTGTGTAAAAGAGGGTGTGTCAAAGATGGTGGGTGACAATGTGGTGTGTGAAAGATGGTGCGTGAAAGATGGTGGGTGACAAAGTTGGGTGTGAAAGATGGTGTGCGAAAGATGGTGTGTGACAAAGTGGTGTGTGAAAGAGGGTGTGTCAAAGCTGGTGCCACGCCTGCCACGCAAAACGACAGTGGATGTGAGTTTGTGCCACGCCTGCCACGTGAAACGAAGGTGGATGTCACCAAGTGCCACGCCTGCCACGCAAAAGCGACAAATCCGGACCAAGCGCGCCACACAGTACCATGAGTGCCTCAAAACGACGGTGGATGTGAGTTTGTGCCACGCACTGAAACGAAGGTGGATGTCACCAAGTGCAAAGTGACGCGGCGCCCCGGGCGACAAATCCGGACCAAGCGCGCCACACAGTACCATGAGTGCCACGCCTGCCACACAAAACGACGGTGGATGTGAGTTTGTGCCACGCCTCCCACATGAAACGAAGGTGGATGTCACCAAGTGCCACGCCTGCCACGCAAAGTGGCGCGGCGCCCCGGGCGACAAATCCGGACCAAGCGCGCCACACAGTACCATGAGTGTCACGCCTGCCACGCAAAACGATGGTGGATGTGAGTTTGTGCCACGTCTGCCACGTGAAACGAAGGTGGATGTCACCAAGTGCCACGCCTGCCACGCAAAGTGACGCGGCGCCCCGGGCGCCAAATCCCGGCCCAAGGGCGCCACCCAGTACCATAAGTGGCACGCCTGCCACGCAAAACGACAGTAGATGTGAGTTTGTGCCACGCCTGCCACGTGAAACGAAGGTGGATGTCAGGTTGTGCTACGCCTGCCACGCAAAGTGGCGCGGCGCCCCGGCAAAAGCCCAAGGTCCCAGCGCGACCACACCAATGCCATCTGTCCCATGCCACGCAAAACAGATGTCAGTGCGTGTCATGCCGCCTGCCACGTGAAACGACAGTAGATGTGCGTTTGTCCCACACCTGCCACGCAAAACGACAGTAGATGTGAGTTTGTGCCACGCCTGCCACGCAAAGTGCCGCGGCGTCACAGGCGCCCAAGCCCGTCCAAGCGCGCCACCCAATGCCATCAGATGTGCGTTTGTGCCACGCCTGCCACGTGAAACGACAGTAGATGTGAGTTTGTGCCACGCCTGCCACGCAAAACGAGAATAGATGTGAGTTTGTGCCACGCCTGCCACACAAAGTGCCGCGGCGTTACAAGCGCCCAAGCCCGTCCAAGCGCGCCACCCAATGCCATCTGTCCCACGCCTGCCACGCAAAACGAGAGTAGATGTGAGTTTGTGCCACGCCTGCCACGCAAAGTGCCGCGGCGTCACAGGCGCCCAAGCCCGTCCAAGCGCGCCACCCAATGCCATCTGTCCCACGCCTGCCACGCAAAACGACAGTAGATGTGAGTTTGTGCCATGCCTGCCACGCAAAGTGCCGCGGCGTCACAGGCGCCCAAGCCCGTCCAAGCGCGCCACCCAATGCCATCTGTCCCACGCCTGCCACGCAAAACGACAGTAGATGTGAGTTTGTGCCACGCCTGCCAAGTGAAACGAAGGTGGATGTGAGTTTGTGACGGTGGATGTGAGTTTGTGTGGTGACAAAGTATGTGTTGACAAAGTGTTTGTTGAGAAAGTGTGTGGTGACAAAGTATGTGTTGACAAAATGTTTGTTGAGAAAGTGTGTGGTGACAAAGTGTGTGTGGACAATGTGTGTGTGGACAAAGTGTGTGGTGACAAAGTATGTGTTGACAAAGTGTTTGTTGAGAAAGTGTGTGGTGACAAAGTGTGTGTGGACAAAGTGTGTGTGGACAAAGTGTGTGGTGACAAAGTATGTGTTGACAAAGTGTTTGTTGAGAAAATGTATGTTGAGAAAATGTATGTTGATAAAGTGTTTGTTGATAAAGTGTATGTTGAGTGTATGTTGAGAGTGTTTGTTGATAAAGTGTGTGTTGGACAAAGTGTGTGGTGATAAAGTGTGTGTTGAGAAAGTGTTTGTTGACAAAGTGTATGGTGACAAAGTGTGGAGGAGGGCGGAGGAGGAGAAGGCGGCGGAGGAGGAGCCCGGGATACAGAATCAAAAACAAGAACCCCACACAAAGATGTGGGGAAAAAGAAAAAGTGAGTTGACGATTGTATGGGTCATAATAGTATCCAATATATTGGGGATTATCGCACTCCATGAATTGGGAAATCCTAATGAGCTATTAGTGATGCCGGGGTGTCCACAGGTCTGGCACATGCGAACACGTGCATCAGATTTGGAGGAGATAGACTCTACGCAGAGCTTCATTGAGAGAGAGCATGAGTCCTTCAACCAGGACACGATGTGGACATGCAGCTGGCTGGCTTGTACAAGAGTGTCTACATGAAGCATTGCATCAAGAAAGGAACCCCGTTCCATTCTATTCACTCTGTTTTCTACTTTCACTGGGACATCACCAATCAAACTGGTCAATTTAGAAGATTCATCCATCATTCCCATCCATTTCCCATGTTTTTTTTCACATCCTGAAGATGTTTTGGTTCAGGAGAAGCTCACGGCGATCAGTGCGGATTATCAATCTGCTGGACGAGGGACGCAAGATCGATCCTGGCATGCTGCGAAGGCGTTGACCCAAAAACTTGGGGGATACCATGAAATATCATGGAGCTTTCCGTAAAGTCATACCCCAAATCATCCAGTCGTCATGGATGACCATGTTGATGGGATTAAATGTTGATGACATGTGACTTGATTTATTTATTGAAAGCCAATTGTGACTTGAGGATCTCCCATTTTACGAAACCTCCAAAGACCGAAGATCCTCCATTCAGTTGGGGGAGTTCCCAGCCATTACCGGAGGGCACCCTATAGATTGAAATCCGTGTGCTTCATAAAAGAAAAGGATTGGTTTGGGTGATTCTTGCAGACCAATTCTATCCGATTCTATCCATCTTCGGTGAGATCTCAAGTTTGAGTTATTAGCATGCTGATGAACCGGCGGCAGGCCCAAAGCATCATTGTCAGTTTTTTCTTTCGATTTCCAGCGCGCTGCGACAACGACGCTGGGCTTACTAGTTTCGATATGTACCAATGGAATATATGGAATGCAGTGCAGCTAGTTGCAACATGTGGCCTTTTTGATCGACTTGTCTTGAAACACTAACGTTGCCATCCTTGTAGCTTTCCATGTCGAGGATTTCGTCAATTCCAATGCACCAAACGTCACCAAAGTCCTGGCAGTGGCTGCAGTGGATACGCTCCATTGGGCTACGGATCAGAAGTTTGGGATCAAATGGCCCAATGACATCGTCTGCTCCGGCTGCTTATCTTGAGAGATGAGCTGATTTTTTCATACTGCAGCACATTGACGTCCATGGTCCATCAGCTATTCCGAAATTTGCCAACTGGTGGATTTTCGGGGATACCGGGATACCATTTCAGTATTCTTGATCAGGGTATCCCAAAATTGGACCCACAAATGGCCCATTTGGCCAAAAAAAAACCTTGGAGGTTGCAAGGTGGGTGGCATCTTGGCACGTGCTGTACCCTTCAATGGGCGCTTGGAGGGTATCATTGTGGGCATTGGCATCAATGTGAACACCAGCAAAGAGGAGTTGGATCGGATGCTTGGCCCATTTTTTGGATATTTGCAGATACAGTATTCTGTTCTGATATAACCTATAGATACGTAAAGTCTTATAGTTAGTATCTTATAGTTCTATGTCCTGATTTTTGTTCCAACATGTGTTCGGATGTGTTGAATCCTTTTGACATGTCGACGTGGAGGCGGTGGGTGGTAAGAGTTCGTGCTTTTTCTGGTTTGAAATATGAATCTATCCCTTGACATTTTGCATACAAAGGCACAGCCACATCTGTATGTCATCGATATCCACTCAATCCACATACATCTTCACAAATCGCCGCTCAATCCACATAAATCATTATGAATCCACCCAGCCATACAAGTCCCTTTACTCTTTGCTGCCTTGGTTTCTCCGGAGTCCGAGGATCTCCAGGCCTGTGTGGCCGGCGGGTTCCCTACTGACCCTCTGGCAGCGTCCTTTCGATGTAGCGACGTTGCGGCAGAAGCTGATGGGAACCTTTGCTGTGGAGCTCAAGAGGTGCCGTTCACGCCGGGAGATCGATATGGCATGATATGGCAAGGATCACCGAAAAACAGCCATGGTTTGTTGCATCTTGGAACTTTCCCCAATCAGATTAGAGTCTTGCATATGAATCATATGAATTATTGAGATTTATTGAGATATTGTAATTTGATCATCTCTGCACTTAAGGCCTTAAGTTGCAGGTTCTTCGCTGGCGGTTTCGCCATCTTCCGGGAACGAGTGAACGAACTGGAAGTGCTGATGGGCACCAAGGTGAGTGCGGTGACCAGCGTGACCTGTTTTCGCTGTTTTATCAGTTGATGTACTGGTAGCAAGAAATGTAGCAACGTGCAAGTGTAGAATTTTCTTGTACGTCATGTAGCCATAAAAAACTGGAAAGAAACCAGTCCGCACACGAGTTCTGCAGGTCTGGTTTCGAGCACACGAGGCAGATGAGTTTGAAGGTGTCTTCGAAGGCATTCAGGACGGCGGCCGAGTTGTGCAACGGAACGGTGTTGTTTTTTTTTGTGGGAAGGCAGTGGCAGTGGTTGGGATATAATTAATCCTATTTAATTCCTCAGTTTAGAGACATCTACCTGCTAGAATAGAAATGCTTTCGGTGAACATGGTTTGAAGCTTACTTGGAAGACTTTAGAAAGGGCTCGAACTGGCCCTGCGACATGTTGCATTGGTGCATCATTGGGGCAACAAAAGGATGATGGATTGATTTTGCTGCGCCTCACCAATGGAGAGGTGATACTTAGCTGCAATGTGCGCTTGCGCATGCCGGGACAAAGGTCACTATCAGACATGTGACTGAAGACTAGAAACTCTGTATAAGTTAGTCATTTGATCTGTAGTGAAGAACAGCAGATCACATCAGATCACTAGATTTGGTTTGACTGTGCTGCATGGCAAGGAAAGCTTTCCCTTGTGGAGAAATCATTCCTGGTCCCGGATTGAAGCGATAAAAAGTGTTGCAGAGCTGCTTGATGCATCTTCATGCTGCTTCTGTGTGGCTAATGTGGTAAAACCAATAATTGTAAACCATCCCTCATATCACCATAAATGGGTTGTGTAAGACATCCCCAAATGGCACTAGGTTTATCAGTTATCACATTACTTGAATTTTCGCACCGAATGCTTTAAATATTTTGGATCAAGCAGATTTTGGCTTTGGAACAACCGCGATCCTCAAGCGTTGGGCCCTGAGCATCCTGAGCATTTGGCCGCGCTGCCTCTGCGATAGTTGTCCCAACGACTCCTCAGGTCATGTTTCGACTGTGGGCCGTGTTGGCCTTGCTGGCTGCAGGCTGCAGCTGCATCCATTTTTGTTGTTGCTTCAAATGGGCATCACTCAATTTGAGCAGGTTTGCCCAATCCTTGAAACGGTTGACTGATGTGCACTGTTGCATATATCATATCATTTTGTGTAGACACAGATTTTTGAAAGAAATTCAAGGTATATTATGGTATATTATTGATTCAACAAACGTACTTTATTTTTCCTGGCACCGTTTTGCAGGCAACAGCTTCGCGCGAGCCGAAGAGGCTGAGGGCGAGGCCGAGAAGGTTGTGGACGGTTTCAGTGATGGAGACCGGGCCAAGATGGCTGAATCTTCCGAGAAACACGAGTTCCAAGCGGAGGTGAATCGTTTGATGGACATCATCATCAACTCTCTGTACACTGACAAGCAGGTCTTCTTGCGAGAGTTGATCTCCAATGCAGCAGATGCTTTGGAGAAGGCTCGCTTCCACAGTGTGCAGGATGAGACCTTCCTGGGAGACACTAAGGATCTTGAGGTCAAGATTGAGCATGATGCTGATGCGAAGACCATTTCCATCATTGACACCGGCATTGGAATGTCCAAGGCTGACTTGATCAATAACCTTGGCACAGTGGCAAAGTCCGGTACCACCAACTTCTTGGAAGCAATGGCTGAGGGTGGAGATGCCAACTTGATTGGTCAGTTCGGCGTCGGCTTCTACAGTGCCTTCTTGGTTGCAGACAAAGTCTCCGTGACTTCCAAATGCAACGATGACCCCGTGCAGCATGTTTGGGAGTCTTCGGCTGATGCCTCCTTCACTGTTGTGGATGACCCAAGAGGCAACACCTTGGGCCGAGGCACTCGCGTGACTCTTCATCTCAAGGAGGATGCCCACGACTACTTGTCGGAGGACAAGCTGAAGGAGAGTGCCAAGAAGTACTCTCAGTTCATCCAGTTTCCCATCTACGTCAAGGTGAAGAAGGAGGTTGACGTTGAGGCTGAAGAAGACGATGATGATGACAAGGAAGATGAGGATGAAGAGCAAAAGGATGATGTGGAGACCAAGGATGAAGAGGAGAAAGATGAGGAAGACAAGAAACCAAAGAAGAAGACCGTCTTCGAATGGGAGCAGGTGAACACGCAGAAGGCCATCTGGCTCCGAGCCAAGGAGGATGTGACCGAGGAAGAGTACAATGAATTCTACAAGAGCATCTCCAAGGACTACTTGGACCCTTTGGCATACACACACTTCAATGCGGAGGGCGAGATCGAGTTCAAATCGATTCTGTTCTTGCCCAAGAAGGCTCCATTTGACATGATGGACAACTACTGGACCAAGAAGTCCGAAGTGAAGCTCTTTGTCCGCCGAGTCTTGGTTGCGGAGAAGTTCGATGAGCTCTTACCTCGGTACTTGAACTTCGTGCGCGGTGTTGTGGACTCCGATGATTTGCCACTGAACGTGTCTCGTGAGCAGCTGCAACAGAACAAGATCATGAAGGTGATTTCCAAGAAACTGGTTCGAAAAGTTTTGGAGCTGATGAAGAAGCTGGCCAAGGACGAAGAGTCCGGCGGCGATGATGAAGAGGAAGAAAGTGAAGAGAAGGAAGAGAAGGAGGAAAAGAAGGAGAAGAAAGACGAGGAGGGCTTGTGGACCAAGTTCTGGAAGGAGTTCAACAAGAACTTGAAGATGGGTTGCTATGAGGATGACTCCAACCGCTCCAAGCTGTCCAAGCTCTTGCGATTCTACACCACCAAGTCCGAGGGCAAGGAGGTGAGTTTGGACAAGTACTTGGACCGAATGCAGGAGAGCCAGGAGAGTATCTACTACATGTCGGGTGACTCCATCGAGACCATGAAGAAGGCTCCTTCCCTGCAGATCTTCTTGAAGAAGGACCTTGAGGTGCTGATGCTGCCGGATCATTTGGATGAGCCATGCCTGCAGAAGCTTGCCGACTACGAGGGCAAGAAGTTCGTGTCTATCCAGAAGGCAGATGTCAAGCTGGATGAGACCGAAGAGGAGAAGAAGAAATTCACCAAGATCAAGGACATGTACAAGCCTCTGACTGATTGGTGGAAGAAGAAGTTGACTGACCTCACTGAGAGTGGTGCCATGAAGGAGGCTGGTGTGAAGGTTGAAAAGGTGGAAGTCTCCAAGAGGCTCACAGAATCTCCAGTTGTGGTGGTGACTTCCCAGTTCGGCTACTCTGCCCAGCAGGAGAAGGTCATGAAGTCGCAGGCTTTCCAGAACAAGGAGCAGCTGTCCATGATGGCTGGCCGAAAGACATTGGAGATCAACGCAAATCACCCTGTGATCATCGATCTGCTTGCCAAGGTGAAGGCAAGTGAAAGCGATGAGGCAGCCAGCAAGACAGCCGAAGTGCTCTTCCAGACAGCCCTGATTGAGTCTGGCTTTGAGATTGCAGATCCATCATCTTTGGTGAGCCATGTGTACAAGCTCATGTCCAAAGAGCTTGGTGTGAATCCAGATGCTCCTCTGAAGGAGATCGAAGTGCCCGAGGATGAGGAGGAACCTGAGGAGGAAGACAAGGATGATGACGAGGAGGAGGACACCAAGGAGGAGAAGGAGGATCTCTAAATGAGATTTGAGCTATAGCATTGAAACTCCTCGATGTCATGCCAGCCCTAGAATCAAAATGTTCTATTGGGCTTTATTTAGGAGAGACATCTGTAAATGTATGAAGAGAGAGACTTGACGTGCATAGCAATATGTCCAACATGTATGGCAGATGCTAAACAACCATGATTTTTCAGTTATGTGATATCATGTTGATTTGTAGTGGTTTTGTTCAAGATGTTCAAGCTCTCCCTGCAAACAGATGCCCATCCCGCATTTGTCCTGAGCAGTTTTGGGTTGTTCCAGTCAATTCGATATAGGTCTCCAATTGTGAGATAAAAACCTCCCATCCGGGAATAAACAGAAGGGCAGGCGCCTCGAAAAGGAATGCCTTTGTGTTGTGGTAATTTTTATGGTCTTGGCTCTTAGACTTTTCAAGTTTTCTTTTATTTTTGCGACACTCAGTCCGGCATGCAATTGTTGAATGACCTTTGTAGGTGTAGCAGCAATTCCTGCCTCGCAGGCCATTTCTCAGGGCAAATTTTGAGGAAGATTCCAACGGATTCCAAGTGCTCCCGCCTTGCCGCGCTGCACGTTTCTCGGTGCCATGCTTCGACTGTGGGCCGTCTTGGCCTTGCTTGCTGCAGGCTGAGCAGTGCCGCCAACGGTGCATTGATGATGAAATGTAGAAAGACATATATATAATATATATATATATATATCTCTCTCTCAAATATATTCAAATATACACCCAAGGAACCAACTACCTCAACTTGTTTCTTTGATGGTGGAAAGTGCCGTTTTTTCCAATGTCTGTGATTTGAGCGGTCATTTGCTATTAAAGATAGCCCTTTCTGAAGGTACTGAGCGCATTGAAATTCATGACTGAACACACGATCACAGATGAATACGCACAACATCTCGTGCAGATCACCGACACACATACAATCAATCCGGATCATTATCTGATTTGTATTGACTTGTTGCAACGTCAAAAGTGAACTGACCTCAATATAAACTAAAAAAAAACTCCAGAGAAGAGTTTGGGCAAATATTTGTACGTCACATCATTTCACAGAACAGTATTGAGATTAGGCGAAGTTAGAGGGAGAACAGTGCGAAAAAATGCATGCTTTCCTGAATTGTGGGCATTTGTCAGTAAAACCGTTTGGAGGGCTATGTATTTTTGTTTTTTCTTTTGCGGCAGGTTTTGTTTTTTTTTTTGTGTTCCTCGTTCTATGCTTTCATGTTTCTCTGATTTTCTGCTTCTCTGCTTTTCTGCTTCTCTGCGTTTCTGCTTCTCTGCTTTTTGCTTTCCCTGCTTCTCTGCTTTTCCTGCTTTTCTGCGTTTCTGCTTTTTGCTTTTCCTGCTTCTTTGCTTTTCTGCTTCTCTGTTTCCCATGCGTCTCTGCTTTTGTACTTCTGTGCCTTTCTACTTCTACTATTCTACTTTTTCTTTTCTTCAGTCATGTGTTTTTGCTGCTCTACTTCCTGCTCCTTTGCTTCTTTGCTTCCTGTCTTTACTGTCTCTTTGTTTTTCATGTTCTTTTGCTTTATTCTGTTCTGTTTGTATCCTAAATGAAACCCAAGAGAGACCCTAGGTGAAACCCAAAGAAATCCTGATAAGAAACCCTACATGAAGCCCTAAATGAACCCTAAAGAAACCATAAACGAACCCTAAAGAAACCATAAAGTAATCCTAAAGAAACCATAAATGACACCCTAAAGAAACTTGAAATGACACCCTAAAGGCCCTAAAGAAACTTGAAATGACACCCTAAATGACATCCCAAAGAAACCCTAAACAACATTGTGAAAAAAAAACTATATAAATGAAACCTGAACTGACACCTTAGCTGAAACCCTGAATTGACACCCTAAAGAAACCCTAAATGAAACCCTAAATGAAACCCTAAATTGAAACCTTAAATCAAACCCTAAAGAAACCCTAAATGACAACCTAAATGAAACCCTAAAGGAACCTTAAAGGAACCCTAAAGGAACCCTAAAGGAACCCACTTGAACGTTTAGAAACCGTGAAAAGAAATCCTGATAAGAAACCCTGGAATGAAACCCTAAAGAAAGCTCGAACTCCTGAATGAAACCTTAAATCCCATAGACTCTCTGTAGGGAATAGTTGCCTACATGGCAATGTAGCTCCTGAGAACCTACGGAGGCTATGTTGGCTCTGAGGACCAACGTTCATATATGACTTTTATATTTTGGCATTATGTTGGCTCTGAGGGCCAACGTTCATATATGACTTTCATGTTTTGGCACTTTTGCATAAATTTTGACAAAAATAACACATACAGCAACAATTCAAACCAACAACCATGTTTTTTTTCGAGAACAACGTCCCGAATCAACATATATGACATCAATTTAGTATATATGAAAATAATATGAACATATTCACCTTAAACTAATTTTAGAATCAGTATACATCATATATATCTAGATATGGAGATGGCAATATGTTTATATATATAATATATCTCTCTCTCCAGCGCCCTGTGCATATGGCTCAGCTGATCTGCTACTTTGCAACCGTCAGAATCCCAGGTGTTGGCGCACGTGATCATGAGCTTGTATATATAATATATGTTTAGTATTTAGTGATATGCATGTGATATCCATGCATCGAGGCCCCTCATGAAGAGGGCATCGGCCCTGTGCAGGACCCTTAGATCAAAAACTAATGAGACAGTGATTTCATCACATTGAACACTTTGAGCGACACACCTGAACATGTATATATATATACATATAACTGAGGTCAGTTTGGCGATCTGATTCCCTCAGAGACTCCTTCAGCCTCACACCATGTTTTAGAAGGTGCGACCCTCCTCCCGAGTGCATTTATCAGCTCAATAGTGGGAATAGCGTGATGAAATATATATAATATGCCAAACTCTTGCTATATATTTATATATGTGATATATATATATACATATATGTATATAGCTTTGAATTTGTGGAGGCCGATGTTATCGATTGAATGGCGTCTGTTTCCCTGTAGCCCTTTGCCCAACTTAGCAACTTAGCTACTTTGGGGGTAGCTAGCTCTGATGGCAACTGACCAGCCGGTCTCAGATCGACCCAAGGATGCTAGGCTGATGATTAGATTTACATGATGTTAATGTAAATGTTTGATCGATTTGTGCTTTGACATATTGTTCTCCTTGCCCCAACCCTCAACGACATCAGTAAGGACCCATGCAGTGCTCAAAAGGCATTGCTGGAAGATGTGGTGATCGGGTGGCTCACTGCTCATGAACACCGGATTCCAGCGATCCGTGAATCCAAGGAGCTTCAGTATATTATATATATTTTTTTTCACATGTATGTCTTTATATCATGTTGAATCCAGCATTTGCTACAAAATAAGTTTGGATTAAATCATCCAATGAAATATCAACTAGTCTTACATGCTAGGAGCGGAAGGTGTTCCAGCTGGACTCGAATGGGCCTGAATCGGCTGAAGCTGTCCCAATCTTAGATGTAGAGCGGTTCCTCAAAGAACCACTCAATTCACTCATATATATACAGTTTCAACATTGGGCTCAGTTGGACTACAACTGGCGCTTCCTGGTCGAGTACTATGCCACCTTTGTACCGTTGGGGAAGACTCCACATCAATCGGTGTTCAAGGTGAGGGTATCATGTTATTATATATATATATTATATATAGTACTATAATATAAACGTTACAATATATGAAAAACTTCTTGGCCAAAACGAATTCAAAGCTACATGTTCATATATGTGTCTATACGAGAACCTCTTTGCTGGCCAGGCCGTGTTTGCTCTATGCGCTCAACGCTATGGCTTCTTTCCTCCGGGCACGACAAAGAAGACCATTAAGGCCGAGTACGTGTTGAGGCACCCCTGTGAAACTTCAGCTTCGCAAACCCCTTGCTTGGCCAGGCTTGGGCTGGGTTGATCGCTGGAACATGCCGGGCAATGGTTGTGCATGGCTACGAACTGGCCAAAAGGGGTCAAGGATCCAGGCTGGGGTAATTGCAGGTGCAGCTTTTCTAACCAACCCTACCTCCCCAACAGCAGACTGTCGCACAGGAAGAAGTCAGTGGCCATCATCAAGAGGGTGATCAGTTCGGCACTTGCAGAAGTTCGGGAAGGCCGCTAAATATATGTACAGATAAACATGTAGCATGTTTTAAATAGAGATAATTACTAAATATTATTCGTGCACAAACATGCATGTATATATATATAAACAATATATATATATAGATATAGATAATTGAAAAACACGTGATAAGTTTCAACCAAGCTCAATGAATGGCCTGGCCAGGCGATCAGCTGCAACTGATGGACGATGACGAGGAGTCTTTTCGAATCGAAGTGATATAAAGTATATGCGTATACATATATGAGAATTAATATGGTTATAACTATTTATTGTAATTATATATCTAATATAATGGCAACCTTTCAGGAGCCAATGGAAAGCAGCACAAGCTCAGAACTTGAAGAAGCCCAACCTGATGACATCACCGGCACCAAGAAGGCATGCCATGTTAATTGCAAGTACCTTATAGTTATATTCTATCTAAATGGTTAACCCACTGGTGTCTTCAATATCATACAACAATTTGTTAGCTTGTAGGTGAACCCCTTGAACTTCGTCAGTTGTCAGGAACTGTTTCCCTGTCCTGACCAAGCAGAGACTTTGCCGATGGATGAAGTGTACGAGCTTCCAATGGTGATGAAGGCACTGCTGAGTCTGTAGTTTTCATTGTTTTACATTTATTTGCACTTAAGTGGGTCACTGCTTTAAGAATGTGTTATAATAATGTGGTTGTACCATTTTTATGTGATATCTCCAGGAAGCGTCTGCGACTGCAGCAAAGTCTGAGCAGATTAAGGACCGCTTGACTGCATGTACAATACAGACATTTATATATATATATATGTAATTAATTGTTGTTATCATATTATATATTTTACATGTGTGGATATATATGCTGGTATGATGCTTCTGCCCAGGAGCACCCAGATGACCCACAGCCTGGCGACCGAAGGCAGGTCAACCAGGACGGCCATGAATGAAACCTTGGCAAACGAACCCTGGCCAAGAAATTTCTAGATATCAATTTTATTCTGATAACATAATGCACTATGAATATTTTATTCAAATTTATCATGTACTTTATTATGGGCTTCCTATGATGTATTGTCGCAGGAGTCGAAGCCCCTCCTTTGTCCAGTGGCTGAAGTGGATCAGTCTTTGGAGGCCTGATAATGTGGCTGCATATATGTCAGCCTATATACTAATTAGATTTTGAATTTTCTCACCAGCCTGGACAGGCACAAGTGGATGCTATGTGTGTTGACGATCAAAAGGATGATGAAGACCACATGAAAGCACAGCAGAAAGTCCCTTGTTTCAAAGAGCACACACCGATATCTATACAGCGAAATATAAAACTAATTATCTATCTATCTATCTATCTATCTATCTATCTACCTACCTACCTACCTACCTATATTTTCAATACTGGTACAATTTAGAACCCACATGTAGCAGTATATAATATAATACATATATATGGGAAATAAATGCTCATTCTATAATTATATATATATATACATACCAGCGTGGAGTTCTGAAATACCACCTGAGATTATATATACATGCCACCTTGACCATGACAATGCCCAGGTCCGAGATGCAATCCGCAAAAGGACAAGGGGAAAGCAGCCAGAACCTGCAGCCCCTGAACAGAAGCCAAAGGCAAAGGCAAAGGCAAAGGCAGATGGGAGAAAGAAAAAGGCACCAGCAGCAGAGGCAGAAGGAGGTGGGAAAGACAATGAGAAAAGCGGTGAAAAGAATGGTGATGGAGAGAAGGTTGATGGGGAGAAGGTTGATGGAGAGAAGGTTGATGGAGAGAATGATGATGGGGATAGAGATGGAGAAAATGGTGGTGGAGAGAAGGTTGATGCAGAGAGTGATGGAGGGAATGGCGATGGAAAGAAAGGTGATAAGAAAGGTGATGGAGAGAACGTGAATGCATCACCCAACAAGCGGCCAACCAAAAGGCAGCGAAAGCCAGCAAACACTGCTGTGGACTGGGTTGAGAAGGACAGGGGTGGGAGATCTGACAGCTGACTTTATTGCTAGACCCTATATATATATATATCTCTATTTACATAAATATATATATATATAATTGTAGCTGGTGTACAAATACTAGTAGATTGATAGACAAATAAATATTAGATTGATTTTAACTAGTACTAGAGTCAAATAGTAGCTAGGGAAATATATGGCTAGACAAATCTAGATATATGCTAGGTTGAAACAATATATAGACCCATAAATATAAGAAGTAAAATAAAATGAATTACTATAATGTATAAATTGTAGCAATATATATAAATACTGAATATCTCGATAGAAATAGCTTTATATGTTCAAGAAACAAATTAGGACTATTATATATTCATTATAACTATATATTCAATAATTCAATCTCCAGATATCGTACTGTCTGGCCAGGAGAAAGAACTTCGAGCTGCAGGGGTACCAATTCCAGCGGACTACAAGGGAGACAAGAAGTCCTACACGCTGCCTGGAGACTCCGACAAAGGCCAATGCGCTGTTGGCGTGCTGCAACTTGGCTGAACATCACCCAACTTAAAACATCACCCACCATGTATATATATATATATAGGCATGAACATATATTATTTATAAAGTTGGCCTCCATATTTCGAATCCTGTATCCCTGAAATTTACTGTAAGCTATAAGGCTTAAAATACATAGCTAGCGTGCATAGCTAGATATTTGTCGTTATATTAGTTTAAGCAATGTTCCTGAACATAGAATATTTTTTTTTTAATATATATATATTATATATATATACATACATATAAAAATCTTACAATATAGGTCTCTGCGTATATAGCCTATCACTAGTTGATAGTCTGCTGAATCAGGTGGACTACTGGGTCCTTCTACATCTATGGTGTGCCTGGTGACCGGAAGCTTCCTGAGGGCCTCACCCTTAATGGGTCGATGGGCTGCACCATCAGTATCAAGAAGCGGGGTGGCCTGCCACAAGCATGGGCATTGGCAAAGGTTGTTGCCAAACGGTCCTAGGTTAATCATCGTTAACGTTACATGTTGAAATCACCACAATAATCTTAATCAGAAAGATTCCACCACCCGAAGTGAAATCGATGGCATCGATCATGATGGACCGACATGGCAACATGTTGTGTTTCCAATATCGAAATTCCAAATTAAATCTCTAGGCAGTCTGGGATGCTGGAAGATGTGTGAATTCACACATGTGGGGTTTGAAAACCAAAATAGTAATATAATATATACATTATATTGCTAAACACTAGTCAATGATGTCATGTACATGTTTGAGCTGCTATATTTTATGCTGACTTGATTGTCTCAGAACATCATATACCCAATGCTCAGCCAATCCCAGCTATAGCGCAACCGCAAGGTTGACAGATATGTTGCCGAGAAGGGGAAAACGTCGGCCAAACTGATTACTTGAACAGAAATGCAAAGATATAACAAATAGTATATATATATATATATTTATAGCAGTCGTGGTACCTACAAAGATTTAAGATAAGTTTACGAGCTCAAACTCATCAAATTTATATGCATCATATATAGCTATATATATATATATATAGTTTTCTGTAAAACACATGGTTTTGTGTGAATCAAATGCTTTCACTTGCCACAAGCTTTCCACATTTCCACTGCATTTCCGTTATAAGCTTAGCTTCAAAAACAAAATCTTGCGGTCCCGGCCGTTGTGCCAGCATGAAGGGAGCGGTCGCTGGTGTGCAGCCTGCAGTTTTGAGTGCTAGGGCTGCGGCGATCATTCTTTTGCTGGGAGGCCCACCGGTGTTGTTCCTAGCCAGCATGTATTATATTTTTGTGTTTCAAAGATGTGCAGTATATATATATAAATCCTATTAATATATTATTTGCATAATTTATGATTAGCTATATTATTTAGTTTAAGTATCCCATATAGTATATATATAATATGGCTGCCCCACAGTCGCTGAGGATTCATGCCTGTGATTGGATACGCCAAGCTGCAGCCAGTGATGGTGTTCAGTGGTCGCGGGAACTTTGGATGCAAAGGGGCTTGGGTGTATACTGGAGAGATGAGTTGAGATGCGAGTTAGTTCTTTCATTTCCTTAGGATTTGGACTTCTACGAGATGTTCAGCGGATGTGGCACTTTGTATTCTGAATTTCGTCAGGGCCCTAGTCTTCCACTATATTTTTCACTAACTAGTACTCTATAGAGCATCAACACTCCAAGCAACTTCCTAACAGGATTCTTTTGGGGTGTACCAACTGACCAATATGAATACATGTGGCTCTTTGTATTTGGGATTTCGTTTCAATATAAATGACAAATCAAGGCAGTTCAGTTCATATAAAAAAAAAATATATATATGCATTGTCCCCACAAGAAATTAACCCATTATTTATGCAATATATAGCTAGGGAAACGAACTGAATGTGATAAGGCGATTGTGGCTTCAAAGCGTGCTGACCTCAAATTCAAAGTTGATTGTGTGCATATATATATATTATATATATATATTAATAAAATTATACAAATTGCCTGCTATCTGAATCAGGCAGTGGTATGACAAAGTGGGGAGGCCCGACAGCAATGACTTAACGTCATTGACTGGCTTCTTAGTTGCCCTCCGTGACACTCTTCGGTTGCGGAAAGGAGCATTGCTCCATGGCGGACATCCATGCAACATGTGACCCAACTGCAAAAAGATCTAGACACATGTGCTTTAAATATTTAATATTATAAATATATATTATATATTTATATAATATATATAGTGATTACTATACATATATATAGTCACATGGCCACCTGTGCATAGGTTCGTTTGGATGAGTTCGGGTACGCACTGGCGCCACATGTGCTCTATGGGACACCCAGGTGCGTTTTGAGGGGCTAAGCCTAGTGGGAAGTGGAGCTAGGATACGTATATATATATATATATATATATATGTGTGTGTGTGTGTGTGTGAATTATTCATAATTTAAAAGATTCATTCCTGGTGGCCTTAAAATCAAATTCCCCGGGCCCACCACCTCACCCATCGACTATTACCCAATCTATATCCATTGCGGCGCTGCCAGGGCACCAATCTGTGAAGCTGTCAAACTTGTTGATAGCTCGCTTCAGCTTGATTCTTCTCCTGGCCATCGCAACATCAGTTTTTTTGGACCGTACCTTGGCCTTTAAAATTTGAGTTTCTGGCTTGGGCTTGGGAAGGGTGGAGTGCTCAGAACAGGTCAGACTTACATATATGTATATTTATTTATAGTATAGTATAATAATAGAGCGATCGGATTGGATATTGATTTATATTAATATATATAATATATATTGATGATATAGTCCAACATGTCCTTGCATAGCCTGCATTCCCTTAAATATTGCTGCCAGTATCCGCAGGGAAACCTTTCCAGCTTTGCAGCACGAACATCAAAGCAAAACTGAGAAACAAAATGAACTCATTTAGATAACGTACAGGATCTCGATATAACTGTTGCTGTTTGGGATACCACCCCCAAAAAATAACATATAGATTATGAATTACACTTTCAAGAACGTCAAGAAAGAAGAACTAAATTTTCGATAACTATATATATATAGAATACATACTATACAATTATCAACCCCGGCCCTGAAACCATATGGCCAATGTGGCACGTGACGGTGGCATCAGCGGGACGGAGGAGTCGGATGTGGACTGGAATCCAGATGAGAAGGACTGGCGGCCGAATGAGGCGGTGCTGATAGAGGTGCCGTGGCCAAAGTTGCCTTTCAAGTTCCCGCCGAAGAAGGAGCATGAGTATGAGGAGGTGAAGGTCGAGCAAGGGGAGATGGCGGAGGAGGTGAAGGTCGAGCAAGAGGAGGTGGCAGAGGAGGTGAAGGTCGAGCAAGAGGAGGTGACGGAGGAGGTGAAGGTCGAGCAAGAGGAGATAGTGGAGGAAGGTGTTGAAGCTGCCCTGAAGTCATGTGGATATGCCCCAGAAGCTCACCGTGAACCACCTGGAGATGAACATGGAGATGAAGACCAAGTATGGCATGACTCGCAGGACTGGCAAGGATGGCACGACTCGCAGGACTGGCAAGGATGGCATGACTGGCAAGGATACGCAAAATGGCAACATTGGCAAGAATGGCAAGCAGAAGGTGAACAACGAGATGATCCAGATCATCCAGCTCAAGGAGAAGATGAACAGCAGCAGCCAGCGCACGGATGGCACAGACGAGATGAAGATGAGTGGCAAAACGACTGGCAGCCACGCGAAGATCACCAAGATGGCTGGTGGCAAGCTGCAGAACAAGATGACTGGCAGGGCAAATGGAGCTGGCCAAGCTGGCAAGGAGAATGGCCTGAGGAAAGCATGCCTGCGCAGAAGAATAAGAAGAAGCAGGGTGTTTTGGTACTTCCACCTCCTCGCAAACAGCCCCAGGTAGTTCCAGCAAGGGTACTTGGGACTCCAGTCCCTGAGGCAACATCAAAGCCAAAAGCAAAGGCGATGCCGAGGGAACAGCGAAGAGAGACGGTGGGGCAGGTGGCAAAGGAAATTGAGAAGGAGGGTGCGATAGAGGGAAATGAGATGGTGGAGAAGGTGGCGATGGAGAAGCCACAGCAAGAGGTGAAAGTTGAAGGAGGTGGAATGGTGAAAGAGGCCAACAAAAGTGGGAACAATGATGTGAAGTCCACGACGGGTGCGACTGAAGTTAAGGAGACAAAGGACAAGAAGCCAAACAGTCGTGGGAAGAGAAGCCGATCCACCAGAAGCAGGTCTCCGAAGCAGAAGAAGAAGAAGAAGAAATCCGCGTCATGAAGGGCAATCGATGGGTCACAATATGCGCGCAAAAGCTGAAAGAAAAAAGTGCCACTAGTGGACTGGTGTTGGAATGCATATATTTCTTAATTGTAGATATCGGTATTCGATGTTTATATATATATATACATACTGCTGATACGTGTTAGTTAACGATAATATGTAAACACATTTAAATTCACATAATATATATATATGGAGAAAATATATCATATACCCATAATATTCGATAAAAGCAAACAATTTCATTTAATAGTTATTTTTGTAACTAGTGGTTGGGGCTTTGAGTATTGCTATATGTGCTTTCAAAATTATTCCAAAGAGCCTGCTTGGAAACCTACAGCTGGTAGATATCGATAAGTGCACGGCATGAGGTGAAACAGATATATATATATATATGTGCAAACATTAATGTAATTATATATATATTGTAATAAAGTAGCTAATATATGTGTGTGTTTTGTCAAAAAATAAATTTGTCATTCAAATACATCGAAGTCATAAATAATCTTATATCAAAAATGCTGATCTCCAAGCCCGCCCAGGTAGAACAGCCGCAAAGCAGTGTGTTGGTCTACATCCCCTACCTGCAGCATATCATTGATGCTATGGGCCGAGATCATGTCAGGTTCCGGCGTTTGTGTCTTGGCTGCACTGCGTTGCAAGTGGGGTAGATTATACTTATAAGTTATTATATTATAATATATATATATATTATCTTTAATCATCAATTTACACATGTAGCGACTTATACTGACTTACTCAAATATAATATTTGATAACACGATGCATGATCATATATTCAGTAATATATATATATATACATCTACATTGGATATGTGTATATATATATATGCGAATCACGCAAACCATGTGGACAGTTTGTTTAATTTGTAAACCCAAAATCTGAGCAGCTAAGTTGGATGGGCCTCTATGGGGCCAAAACACCCAAAGCGTCCTGGTTGCTGGGCTCTGCGTGGGCTTCTCAGTGCAATGCCTGGGGCAAGGCGTGTGTGGGTACTCCAAACCCTTCGACTGCTGGCTTGGTGGGACCTAGGCCATGGATATCCAAGCTGGAAAACAAGATGACCAAGACCCAGCGGGACTCCCTTAGGCAACAGAGCAAAGAGACTATGATGGTGAACCGTTATGTAGATCACGCAGGACGTCTGCGAGTGTAGGGAACTCAATATCGTTCCAACAAGACATGCATAATATGCACTATATATATATATATATATATACATGATCTTGACATTATTTATATAGTATATAACAAAATGCACATTATATATATATATATACATAAGCCTGTACCCACTCAGGTCAGGAGGGCGGGACCTGAAGCAGTCGGCGGAATATCCGGCTGAATTTGCAACCTGGGTGGTGAACCAACATGCTCCACTATTGGTCACTAGGCTGTAGATTTGATTGCTCTATATATTTAACCTCTAGTATATATATATATGTATATGAAAACAGGATTCAAAATTTACACATATAATTTTAAAATAATATTTAACTTACTTGGGTGGCATTTTCAAATTAAGGTTAAACTTAATCATGTCCCAACTTCGACTAAGGCTCAGGGACTGCTACCACAGCTGGATATGCCTGACTCTGTGTGCGATTTGGCTACACTTCAGCCGTTGGAAGCTTGACTGCATGGTCTCTCTCTATGTTGTTTTATTATATTACATATATGTATACGTATATATATCCTATACAAAATAGTGTATTGTATACTATGTATATATTAAATACCCCCACAAACACACATAATATATATACATATATATTAAATATGATATATGTAATCTGAATCTGAGCGCTTGCTAAGGTGCCACCATTTGATTGGTCCCATGCAGAACTTGATGAATTGAGAACATTCTTGCAGACTGAAGCATCGGCTGGTAGGTTCACCCCTTGCCCAGGGCTTCCGTTGTAGTGTTCACTATATTATCTGTATTGCTATAATATAACATATTTATATTATTATATATATAGGAAAAACCTGAAGTTTTCATGAATTCGTTTGAGCTGTGAAAGTTGAGCCCCATGGATAAATTTTAGTTATATATATATGTATATATATATATATATCAGCCCACAGTTGTCCCTGTACATGGCCTCGCCTGCGATGCAACGCCACACCTGCTTGGCGGTGTAGTGCAGCTGGTGCATGATGGGTGAATTGTTGAATAGATTAATGTTTTCCATCCAGAGATATTGGATATGCACCAGCAAATTAAGGAAATTAGCTAGCGTGATTCCGCGTGATTCCGCGTGATTTTCAAAAAAGACCATGTATGAATGTCGGTTCTGAGAGCATGAATTCATAGCAATGTAGAGCCTCAGAGCATACATTCACGAACCAAAAGTCATATATGGAAAACCCCCGCGTGATTCCGCGTGATTTTACGTGATTTTACGTGAATTTGATATATATTAGATCTTTTTGGGATCAAACCTGTCTAGTTAGTTGCTGCTCGGTATAACCCGGAGCTTCTGCCATGAGCTTGGAGTCGCTTGATGAGGAAATGAACGAGGCGCCAAACACCCCTGATCAAGCCATATCACAATATTAATATTTGTTTGAATATATTATTTGACATGCATGTTGTCTATTCAAATAATATTATGATATATTATCATTATATATATATATATAATCCATTGGCGTGTCAGGCTCTGTCAGCGGCGCTGGCTTCTGGTGTCAGACGACGCAGTCTGGTGCACATGACGCCTTTGGTGGCCGGTCCCGGGAAGCGGCCACTCAGGAAATCACCGGAAACTGTGGCATCCACGGCATCACCAGCAACCACTACATCCCCAGATCCAAAGCGTTTGATGACGGAATCGAGTAGTTCTGAGAAAGCCAGTGGTTGTGGACCACCTCCGGTACGAGATGATGTGGTGCTTACCCAACTGTTTGGGGCCGATGGGCCTTCTCCAGGTGAATGCCTACAGGGTTGCCATATATATATATATTTAATGTGTATATGTTAATATATATATATATATTATAAAGAAAACTTCAAAAATAATATTAATGTAAATATATGTGTATATTTCATGATGACTTAAACCACTGTTCTGGGGTCCTGCAAGGTGACCCTATGGAGCCTGCACCTACAGTGCCTGTGCCTACTGCCATGGAGTGCAGTGCAGAAGGTGAAACCCGGGTTGCTTGCTGGCAGCCATGATGTTAGACACCTAAAATTATATATCAATAAATTATAAAACAGCACATATTAAATGTCTAAAATAAATCTATATTTATATATATAATGAAAGAATTAGGGTTTGAAAAGCTGGTGGAACCAGGGTTTGATAATTAGGGTTTGCAAAGCTGGTGGGACCGTTAAATATATGTATATATCATGCATAAATGATTACCTCTTTGCCCTCATCCCTGAGGATACCTTGCCAGCAGTGCCTCCTCTTCCAAAGATGGGCTTGGGCAATGCGGGTGATGCGGCAGCATTGACCTGTGCACCACATGTGTCTAGTCAGGTCAAGTCTGGGATGTGGCGGTGTTACATATATAATATTATATTATTAAATATATTGAGATTTTTGGGAACTCTATATATATATAGATATAACTCTGTGAAGCTTGCCTATACATATATATATTATACCAAACTTAATTATAAATATATATATATATGTGAATATAATATTATATATATATGTATATTGTGTAAATTATATAGATTAATTTATATATATATAATGATGCGTGCCGAGCTCAGGTTCAACTAGCCTTGCAGCAACTGGTAGCAAACCCCTTGTTTGCAGCCAACCCCAAATGCCTGGGCGACCTCATCCAGAACCTGATACAGCAGTCTGCAGTGTCACCAGTCCCAACAACGGTGGAGAGCCCCTCAACGCCTGTGTCTACCCCGGCAAGCACCCCCATGAAGGGCAAAGAAGGTCTCAACTTGGTTAATGCAGCGAGCCCAGAAACATACAAAGCATACTGGTCCAAGTTCAAACGACCTGCTCCTTCCCCGACACCAGAAGCAGAAGAAGTCCAGGCAGCAGACACAGAAGCATCTGAAGCAGCTGCAGCAGTCGAAGTGTCTGAGTCTGTCCTGAGCCTGAGCCCTGTGTATCCGGACAACCAGTTGGGTGATTCGTCGATCATTCAACCTGGCTTTGAATTCGAGAATACTTTGCGGGATTCTCAGGCAGCAGGTACCTTGGAGATGGTCCCAGCAGCTGCAGTGCCAAGCAGCACAGCCATGGCAAAAGCACCAGCACTTGCAACTACTCCTCAGCAGCATGTGGCAGTGCAGCCTGAACCTGTGGCAACTCGGCCCCTGGAACCTGAGTGTGTGCCAGCTCAGCCTCCACAGCCTGACTCTCAGCAGCCTTTGGCAGCTCCGCCTGCACAGCCTGAGCATCAGCAGCAGCCGTTGGCAGCTCAGCCCCCACAGGACACTCAGCAGCAGCCTGATCTTCGCCGGCTCGTGGCAACAGATCAGCTTCCAACGCCATCACCTTCGGAGGCTTCTGAGATGGAAGCTGACTTAGAAGTACTGCTCAACAAAAAGGAGATGAAGGAGGATCAGAAATCCACACCTTTCCGTCCAAACCCCGATGATGTGAAAGCGGCGTTGTTGAGGAAAACAACGGTTGACCTGATGCCTCCACCTGCAGTGCCCAAAAGAACACAAGCAGCAGCAGCAGCAGCAGCTCCACCCCCACCGCCTGCTGTTGCGGAAGTTGCATCAGCTATGCAGGTGGCCCCAAAAGACTTGATGTCCCACACTTCCGTGGTCATGAACCTTGGGGGGGTTTTGCAACCTGTGTGGGTGCCTCTCACAAAGGAGCAAGCCCTGGCCGCAGGGTTGACGCTCAGTCCGCTCAGTGACACAGCAACAGCAGCCCAAACTGAGCAAGACAAAGGGGTGGACTCACAGCCTCCGGCACCAACACCACCTGCACCTGCAGCAGAAGGGCAGCTTGTTCCTGCCACGGGTGATACTCCTGCCACTGCAGCACCCAAGTCTGACGAATCCCGCGAAATGAAAAATGCATATATGAGATTTCACCGATCGATTCACAGTTCCTTGTTCGCACATATACATATAAATAAATATATAGGTATATATGCAGTCGACAATATATATATAATATAATAATATAACTATAAAAAAATATAACCCCTATATATATATATATTTGTTATCGTGTGATATATATATATTACACCAAGCCTAAAAATTAATACTATTATATATATACATGTTCCCTACCATGTCATCCCAGGTAAGCAGTGCCCACCTGAGATTGCGAAGCGATTCCGTGAGATCAAAGAGAAAGGTATCTTGGCTGGTGGTTTGTTGTATGAACAACTTGTAATAATGTTGGTATACGTGCAGTACAATATACTTTATATATAAATAATCAATAATACATAATATATATTATAGTATCATCATATTTATTTTTCATATAATGTTATATAACATATATATATAATATTATTCAGAATATTTTATACAAAAAATACCAGGAAAATTGTGTAACATATATTGGGATCCACTGAGGTGGCAAAGCCAGCCACGCGGAACGATGGCAGCTGTTTGAGGAGTTCTGCCAATGTGGTGAAGATTGGGCTCAGTCGCAATTGCTCATCAGCATCAAGGCCACCCGGGATCATGAGCGAATGGGCCAGTACTCTCTGCTGAGCCAATCTGATACTTGGCATTACTGAATCCATTTATTGCAAATTATATTTTGTATATATATATATAGGGAGTGTATATATATATATATATCATATATGTGATTGAGATTGTATAAGATAATAATATATATATATAATATTATTATAGTAGCGTTGCAAAATTGTTTCCTGAATTTTGTATGATATATCCCCTAGGGATGCATGAAAGTGGTGCTAAGGACCTCCTGAAAAAGTACCACGACAACGAGCACCTGGTGAATGCTTTGATCGAAGCGAAGGACAATCTATCTGGATGTGTGTGTATGCAAATATACAAAAAGGCAGAAGCAATCAAAACATATTTTTTTTAAAAAAAATATATATATATAATATGATGTGAACTTGTAAATTTCTGATTTAATTTGAAGTTTATCCCACTCACCCTGTCCATCGAATCATTGACACAAGTTCTGCAGGAGAAGGAGAATCAATGGGAGTGGAATCCGGATGTGCCTGAAACTTGTTTCAAGTCATATATTGTCAACATCATATATATATATATGATACATATTAGCAGGTACTCAAGCCCATTTTTACTGAATGCACCTCTATCTTATATATATATAGATATATAGGTTCACTCCATTACCATGGCCCCTCCCTGTAGACTAGCCTGACTGAGGATCTGAAGATGTACTGGTGCTGGGACAGCACCAAGGAAAGCTCCTCATCGCGAGTGCAACAGTCGGTTGAAGTGTCCAAGGATGGGCTGTTGGACCATGAGACCGGAAAGGATCTGCTGTGCTGAGCTTAGATATGTGATGATTCAAGTTAGCATGCGCTTTTTATATAAAAACATATATATACAAATATACAAATGAACCCATATATATATAATATAAGATATTCAAATACAGATGGATTTTGATGTGACACCAAACCACCATCTGCTGTTCAGTGGTGTATTTTTTTGGGTTGGTGGGAGCTGAACATCTAGAGCGATGGCCCAGGTCGAAGCCATTGGAGCTGATGCCTGGCACTTTTACAACTCCAACCCTCATGACCCCACCTGCGCAGAGCTCTGGAGGTCCTGGCCCTGGACAAGCACCTGCACCTGTGAAGGCCAAGGCTGCTCCAAAGCGGGGAGCCGATAAGGCAACTAAGGTTCCCAAGGCCAAATCCTTTGAGCAAGAAGCCAAAGGTGTCACTCGGTTCAAAAAACCTAAAACAGCATCATTCAATTTCGAACATTGAATTTATAATTAGAGAATTTAAATTTAGATTAGATAGATATAGATAGGTAGATAGGTAGGTAGGTAGATGGATGGTTGTATGGATAGATACATAGATATAGATAGATAGAAAGGTAGGTAGGTAGATAGATGGTTGGTAGGTAGGTAGATAGATGGTTGTATGGATGGATGGATGGATGGATAGATAGATAGATAGATAGATAAATAGATAGATAGATAAATATATAGATAGATATAGAAAGAAATAAATAGATAGATAGATAGATAGGTAGATAGGTAGATAGGCCGATAGGTAGATAGGTAGATAGGTAGATAGGTAGATGGATAGATAGATAGATAGATAGATAGATGACAGATTAGTTAATCTTTACTATATTTAATATTTAGTGGCAACCTGTATATTATATATATATTAATAATATATATATAATATTGCATCGTATGAAATTTATAAATTTGATGGCAGTAGGGAGGGACACTGACTCTTTACAACTGCATGGGCTGAGGCCATGCAATCGGCTTCGCATTGCATTTTGGAGGCCAAAAGCTTTTAGGCAGCACTAACTTTAATTGCTTTCCTGCCTGTATATATATATATATGTTTTCAGTCGTTGCAATTATATACCTATATAGGTATAAGTTTGAAGACCTAATTCTACTTCATATATATATACATATATATATATGTGTGTGTGTGTTGTTGACACCAAGGCTGGTCCCCCGCCCTGATCAAAGCTGGTGTGTCCAGGCCTCAGTTGGACTCTTGAAGCCACACATGTAAAGCCATAGCAGTTCAGCAGGTGTCAATCACCAAATGACCTGAGGCCAGAGGGGATGCGCAAATGCGCTGTCGATGATATGGATCAACATGTGATCTATCTCCAGGATGCCAGGGTGAAGCTGGAGGCGCAAGGGTATGCACCCTTGTAATTTGATGTTTCTGATTTATATGATAGATTATTTACTATTTAATATTTGTATAGATGTGGATCAGAACCATGTAAATATGACTAATGTATTTATAGTTATCATTATATTTTATTTATATATATATATACATTTGTTTATTTATTTAATGCTGATTTTCACAAATATATATATATATATATATTATATAAATTATAGTGCCAGCGATATGATCCATGATCTAGAAACTTAATATGTGTACATATTTGCTTTTGAATGTCATGCAGGCGGCGTTGGCGACGGGCAAAGAAGGATCTGATCTGGTTCCTGACACGCAGGAGATGGTGAAGGTGATCGCGGCTTACAAACTAGCTGCTACAGCTGTGAAGAACTTGGTTCCCAAGGCCAAGGCGAAGGCCAAGGCTAAGGCGGCAGCATAGCTGGTAGATCCCATGGTGCAGCTCACCTGCAGCTGACATGATTTTGACATGAAAGATGGATATCCTAGAGGCTAGGTTGGTGCTTAGGCTTTCTTGCGAAACTGTTGGATCAATAGCCTGGGAGGGGTCTGAAGGGAAACCCAAACATGAATGTTAAACATGTACATGTCAACACCAATTAACTGCTTTGTTGCCACTCTTTAAAGTTTGATATCTCATGATCACATGTTGGGTCGGCTCTTCTACCCTGAAGCCTGGGACTGGTTTACGTCATTGCTCCACGTGATGCATTGAAGGGTGATGACCCAGCAGCTAGCACTATGCGTGCGCCGTCCGGATCGCGGAAGAAAAGGCAGTTTGTTCTGCAAAGTAGTGTACTTTATATATTAATACATTTATTTATTTGTTTACTAACATGGAATAATTAGACCCCTGTTCGTGCGCATGGCAACTTAAAGGCATATTGAACAGTTTTTAGTTACTTGATGATCTTGTGTTTGTCGATGTCCCCGCGCAGATACTACCTTTGCTGAGCACCTCATATCAACATTGGGTCGTGGAGTGTCTTGGACTTTTATGCTGTCAGTTCAGCAATGTTGAGCATAAACATAAATAAATAAATAAACAAATAAATATATATATATATTATATATATATCGAGAGAGAGAGAGAGAAGAAAACTCAGTTGATACCACCGATTCTGGTGAAGTATTGCGCTGCCTGTACCCAGCTCAGGCCTCTTCGGTTGCAGAGCTTCAGCATTTTGCAGCAGCCTGTGTGAAAGATTCCAAGCTGCATGAAAGCTGCATGGGGGGCGTTGAGGTTCTAACAATATATATATATATAAATATTATAGAGTTTCGAACTGCATCGATCTGGAAAGGTTTTAGAGGTATCTATATATATATTTGTTTTTAGGCCATGCACTTATAAGATGAAACACAAGAAATAATCTATTATTGTACATGATTCGAAGTCTATAATATAAGATGATTTGAAAAATAAAACGTTTTGACAATTTGTCTTATCATATCATTGCAATGTTTCTCAGGAAAGCGGTGGCCACTGCTCGGAGCTGACCAAGCGCATCAGCCGGATTGGTGCCTCTGGCAGGCGCCCGGCCAATGCGGAGAGGGACCTGCTGGCGGCTTTGCGACTGCCTCTAGCTTCTGGTCAAAGAAATTAAATTGAAAAACAAAAAAAAAGAAATGTATGTTCATGGTTCATGTACCCCAATGACCAAGCTATATATATATGTATGTGTGTGTGTTCTGAACACAATATATATATATATATTCATTTAATTATTTTATGTAGCTAATAATATAAATAATTGTGAAACCAAAGTTGTTGCGATACCAACATGCAATTGCAATATTGTATGTATATACCTGGGAAATATATTTAAATATGACCAATATATATATATACATATAGGTCTTGTGGGCCTAGGCTTATGCCCCTTAGAAAATGCATTTTGACTAAATGTTTATCTGCCTAGGACATGTATTTCGTGGAGGTGCCCATCAAAGACACTGCATCTAATGACAAGACAGCGACCGTGATGATGCGAGTTCCCATGGTGCTGCCCCATGAGCTCCTGTGCTACTTAGCGGAGACTGGGATGAATACGTTCAAAGTACAATTGGTTTTGATATTATACATCCTTTCTTCGATCCAAACTAGTCGATAGGCATCTATCTATTTAAACGTAAACAACTAGATAAAAAATATATATCTAATATATACACATATTTAAAAATATCTCCCTTCAATTCACCTCCGCCTCCAAGTGCCCAGGAAAACAAAAAAGTTTCCTGGAAAACTCAAGATGTTACAGAATACTGGGACCATTGGGAGAAGTATGCTCCCACACTGCACCCAGCTATTGCAGCTGGCAAACGACATGTCCCAATTGGGATCTCTGGGGACGATGCCAAGTACACTTTGGCAGGGGCCAAGCTCATCATTATGATGCTGAACTTTGTGGTACAAAACACCATGAGCATTTCGACATATATCAGTCGATCTAGGTTTTGTTTTTTTTGTTTCGTTTGATTTTCGGGAATACATCTTAGGTGTCTGATAAAACACATTATAGTATATAGTAAAGCTATACTTATTAAACAAGCTTTGAAAAATATTTTTAATAATATATACACTGTCTAATATATATATATATATAAATACTAAAAACATGTATGTTCAATAACTTTTCAATATTGATACATGTATGTGCTTGTGTGCTATCCTGCTGCCTCAGGATCGGACCTGACCAGATTCACCTTCTTCGTCCTGCGTTGTGAACTGAGTCTGGGAGAACGCTCATTGGACCCTGCCCTAAGGGTGGTAGCCTGGAGTTTGAATGACTCTTGGCCGAATAAACTGGCTGGTTATATATATATATATATTAAGCATCACACTAGCCATAAATTATCCACAAATTCGATATTGTCTAAAGTGGAAACCGTGACCTCACCTGCACCCCAATTGCCACTGCCACGGCCACCATCCACCCCAGTCCTTGCCCAGCCAGTTCACATGGTTTGCCTGCAAACAGGTTTGCTATGTGAGGCGTTGGCCAAGCGTTGGCCATGATGGAGAAATGCTGGATGCGAAACGCAGACAAAGGGCGCAAGACTCCATGCAAAACACGTTTGCTTTGGGTGAGTGTCGTGGGGACTGGAAATGGCACAGGGAATTGTGGCTACTCACCAGAAATTACAAAGCAAGAGCTATTTGTCACTTCTGTTCTGCAAACACGAGAGCTGGAGATTCACAGAACCTCGACTGAATGTCACTATATTTTCAGAACATCGGCTAATATGTTTTTTCTTTGATAATACCCTACTACATCCCCTTGCCCAGCTGACATCTAGGTATTCGCAATTCGAGAAGTTTCGGTCCTTCCCACGGTTTACTGTGCCAGAGTTCTACTTGTATTGCATGGGCAATTATGTCAACCCATTGACGGTGTCTTGGTTACATTCATGCTGGTTCATGTTCAAAACCCTTAAGGTACATCCCCAAAATATTGTGACTGCATCTAGTCAGCTGTTTTTTGGGTGAAAATATGTCCTACAAAAATGAAGGAATGTTCGTTTGACCGCATGCATGTGGAACCAACCAAGGCGGTGATTGGATTCTCCCCACACCTCATCAAGTATTGCAGCAATTTGAACTGCATTGCGTGTCTGGTGGGGGGTGGGTTCGAAAACCTGAACTGGATCTTGTAATATATCTATATATACGTTATGCATTGATTTAACATACAATAAAAATACATTCATATTAATATGTATCGGGTTGGGCGTCCAACCTGCAGGTATGCACACTGTGAACCTTGGGATCATCCAGTGGCTCAATGGCAGCACCATTCACATGCTGGCTGAGCGCAATGTTTGGAGTGCTTTGTCTGCAATTACTCTAATGGGATGTGTGTTTGTGGGCTCGCTTGTCGAACTGGATCTTACTATATTAAAAAAAACAATGGCATTTTACGTGTAAAAATGCCAACACATATATATATATATATACACAAATATATATATATCACAACAAAATTGAACCACACTCAAAACTTAAACCTTATGGTTGCCTGCTTCCAGGTGGAACCACACTCAGCGAGCATTTGGCGGCCATGACGAAAGAGTTCAATCGATGGTGCTCTTCAATGAAGATCAGGCAGGACCATGTGAAAGAAATGACGGTATTTCAGGTAGAGGTTCTACTTAAACATATATAATTATAAATAAGTATATATATATATATATATGGGCCCAATATCCCGTATGGGATGTATAAACAAGATGACCTTAATTATATATAATTGAATAGAAACTATAGGTTGTATATATTAATATACTATATGTGTGTAAATATATATATATATATGTGTGTGTGTTGTGCTGTTGAATTTCCCTGCTGTGCAGGCACTACCAGCCACCTATCTGTGCCGCCCTCCTGACGGTGAAGCCCCATGAGGCCCCTGAATTAAGGATCAAGGCCTATGCAGGCAGGGTTCTCCTGGCCTTTTTTCAAAGGAAGGTCGCTGCGCTCATCAGTGAGCCTGGCATTGATGACCCTGAGCTTGTGCTGCTGCATGGGGTTTTGACTTCAATGTGCCAATGGTTCTTGAAAGTTGAATCTGCTGGCCGGTACTTATCTGCGGAAGAAGCCCAGATTATTTGGGACACTCACCTGCAGTTCCTTGCCTTGAATCACGTTGCCATGGCTTGGTTCATGGCTTGGCTCATGATGTTGCAGTTTCTGCATGCGGGGCATGGTGTGATAAATCTTGACAGGTGCATCACAAATATAATCCACCTGTAAAGGAATGCAACCATGGCTATCGTTCATGTATAGATGCACATCAGGCATTGGGTTAATTCTGATCGATATTTAGTTTTTTTCACAAAACTGTGTACATTTGATTACATTTATTGTTTTTATTTGCACTTCCTCCTAGAGCTGAGGTTTCTTCAGCGATACAAAAAGTTGGGGCAACTTTTTCGTCGCCGTGGTGCTGTGGATTGGCCTATCAAGCCAAAGCACCATGCAACTTGCCCTGCAGGTTAGTTCGCATGTTGTGTGTATATATAGAATATATATATATATAATATTGTCTAAACTGAACTGCAAAGACCACCCCCCACTGACAGTATATAAATATTTTAGAAACAGTTGAACCTAAATGGGCAACGCTTCCAGCGGCGAAGCCGGTTCTCTTGACCATGCTCAGGCATTCCAAGAGCTCAATTTGGAGATGTTGGTATGCCGATATAACTGTCGCTTCTTTCATTGTTTCGCTGATGAAGATGCTATTGGATCAGTGAAGCAGCTGGCCAAAATGGTCCACCGAAAGTTGCTAGAGGTCCGATTGCTCGGTAGATGGCTGTTGCGATTGGGGTCATACACCCAGGGTCGCTCAAACCAGCCGCTGCGCAGGTGATGGAAAAGTGACTAGCGGAGTGTGAGTTTGCCAAAATATCGATGGAATTTATAGTTTTTCGATCAACATAGCTTAGATTTCTGATGTATATAGCTTATAATACACTTATATATACCACCCAAAAAGTCATATATGAATGTTGCTTCTCAGAACGCACGGAGGTCACCAGGAGGCACGGTAGGATATATTTCATACATTCACGAATGTTGATAACTATTCACTACGCTCGAGCCTATGGGAATTGAAACCCTAAATTGAAACCCTAAAGAAACCTTAAATGAAACCCTAAAGAAACTCTAAATGAAACACTAAAGAAACCTTGAATGAGACCCTAAATAAAACCCAAACTGAAACCCTAAAGAAAGCCAAAATGAAACCCTAAATGAAACCCTAAATGACACCCTAAATGAAACCCTAAACGAAACCCCAAAGAAACCCTAAATGACACCCTAAATGAAACCCTAAAGGAACCCTAAAGGAACCCACTTGAACGTTTAGAAATCGTGAAAAGAAATCCTGATAAGAAACCCTGGAATTAAACCCTAAAGAAAGCTTAAATGAAACCCTAAAGAGACCTAAATGAAACCCTAAAGAAAACTTAAATGAAACCCTAGAGAAGCCCTAAAGAAACTCTAAATGAAACCCCAAAGAAACCTTAAATGAGACCCTACATGAAACCCAAACTGAAACCCTAAATTAACCCTAAGTGAAACCTTAAATTGAAACCCTGAAGAAGCCCTAAAGAAACCCATTTGAACGTTTAGAACTCCTGATAAGAAATCCCGATAAGAGACCCGACATGAAACCGGAAAAAAAACTAAATGAAACTCTCAAGAAACCCTAACCCTAAAGAAACCCTAAATGAAACCTTAAATGAAACCGTAAAGAAACCCTAAATGAAACCTTAAATGAAACCCTAAATGAAACCCTAAAGAAACCCTAAATGAAACCCTAAATGAAACCTCAAATGAAGCCCTAAATAAAACCCTAAATGAAACCCTAAATGAAACCCTAAATGAAACCTTAAATGAAAGCCTAAAGAACCCTCAAGAGACCCACATGAACGTTTGAAGCACCAAAATGTAGCTAATACCATGCAAATGAGAAGTTGAAATGCCAAAATGTGACAAATACCATGCAAAATGGAAGGCGAACATGGCCAAATGTAGCAAATAGCATGCAAAATGCAAAGTGACCATGCCAAAATGTAGCAAATACCATGCAAAGTGACAGGTTCTAGTTCCAAACTGTTGCAAATACAAGGCAAATGGTCCCGGGAAAGAAAACCAAAAAAAACAAAACCTGACGCAAAAAAAAAACTATGCTACACTCAAACCGTTTTATGTTACCACAATTTGCGGGTATGTTTGAGCATGTTTGAATACAATCACGCATTTCCATTTGGAGAGGCACACATCAATCCCCACAGGAGTGGTCAGCAGATCACTGTGAAAAAGTTCAGCAGATATTCTCAATACAAACACGCCTCAAAAACAGTTTCAACCCTGAAGAACAGGGTAAACGACTCCATAGGTATAATTCGATAAAACGTATCATTTTGGATAATTAAGGTGTCAAAAACGGAAAGACCTGCATCGAAACGATTGAACCTTAGAAGTCACCAAAAATACCATGATTGACTTCGAGACCACCATTTCTTCTCGACACCGTTTTGCAGGCAGCTTCGCGCGAGCCGAAGAGGCTGAGGGCGAGGCCGAGAAGGTTGTGGACGGTTTCAGTGATGGAGACCGGGCCAAGATGGCTGAATCTTCCGAGAAACACGAGTTCCAAGCGGAGGTGAATCGTTTGATGGACATCATCATCAACTCTCTGTACACTGACAAGCAGGTCTTCTTGCGAGAGTTGATCTCCAATGCAGCAGATGCTTTGGAGAAGGCTCGCTTCCACAGTGTGCAGGATGAGACCTTCCTGGGAGACACTAAGGATCTTGAGGTCAAGATTGAGCATGATGCTGATGCGAAGACCATTTCCATCATTGACACCGGCATTGGAATGTCCAAGGCTGACTTGATCAATAACCTTGGCACAGTGGCAAAGTCCGGTACCACCAACTTCTTGGAAGCAATGGCTGAGGGTGGAGATGCCAACTTGATTGGTCAGTTCGGCGTCGGCTTCTACAGTGCCTTCTTGGTTGCAGACAAAGTCTCCGTGACTTCCAAATGCAACGATGACCCCGTGCAGCATGTTTGGGAGTCTTCGGCTGATGCCTCCTTCACTGTTGTGGATGACCCAAGAGGCAACACCTTGGGCCGAGGCACTCGCGTGACTCTTCATCTCAAGGAGGATGCCCACGACTACTTGTCGGAGGACAAGCTGAAGGAGAGTGCCAAGAAGTACTCTCAGTTCATCCAGTTTCCCATCTACGTCAAGGTGAAGAAGGAGGTTGACGTTGAGGCTGAAGAAGACGATGATGATGACAAGGAAGATGAGGATGAAGAGCAAAAGGACGATGTGGAGACCAAGGATGAAGAGGAGAAAGATGAGGAAGACAAGAAACCAAAGAAGAAGACCGTCTTCGAGTGGGAGCAGGTGAACACGCAGAAGGCCATCTGGCTCCGAGCCAAGGAGGATGTGACCGAGGAAGAGTACAATGAATTCTACAAGAGCATCTCCAAGGACTACTTGGACCCTTTGGCATACACACACTTCAATGCGGAGGGCGAGATCGAGTTCAAATCGATTCTGTTCTTGCCCAAGAAGGCTCCATTTGACATGATGGACAACTACTGGACCAAGAAGTCCGAAGTGAAGCTCTTTGTCCGCCGAGTCTTGGTTGCGGAGAAGTTCGATGAGCTCTTACCTCGGTACTTGAACTTCGTGCGCGGTGTTGTGGACTCCGATGATTTGCCACTGAACGTGTCTCGTGAGCAGCTGCAACAGAACAAGATCATGAAGGTGATTTCCAAGAAACTGGTTCGAAAAGTTTTGGAGCTGATGAAGAAGCTGGCCAAGGACGAAGAGTCCGGCGGCGATGATGAAGAGGAAGAAAGTGAAGAGAAGGAAGAGAAGGAGGAAAAGAAGGAGAAGAAAGACGAGGAGGGCTTGTGGACCAAGTTCTGGAAGGAGTTCAACAAGAACTTGAAGATGGGTTGCTATGAGGATGACTCCAACCGCTCCAAGCTGTCCAAGCTCTTGCGATTCTACACCACCAAGTCCGAGGGCAAGGAGGTGAGTTTGGACAAGTACTTGGACCGAATGCAGGAGAGCCAGGAGAGTATCTACTACATGTCGGGTGACTCCATCGAGACCATGAAGAAGGCTCCTTCCCTGCAGATCTTCTTGAAGAAGGACCTTGAGGTGCTGATGCTGCCGGATCATTTGGATGAGCCATGCCTGCAGAAGCTTGCCGACTACGAGGGCAAGAAGTTCGTGTCTATCCAGAAGGCAGATGTCAAGCTGGATGAGACCGAAGAGGAGAAGAAGAAATTCACCAAGATCAAGGACATGTACAAGCCTCTGACTGATTGGTGGAAGAAGAAGTTGACTGACCTCACTGAGAGTGGTGCCATGAAGGAGGCTGGTGTGAAGGTTGAAAAGGTGGAAGTCTCCAAGAGGCTCACAGAATCTCCAGTTGTGGTGGTGACTTCCCAGTTCGGCTACTCTGCCCAGCAGGAGAAGGTCATGAAGTCGCAGGCTTTCCAGAACAAGGAGCAGCTGTCCATGATGGCTGGCCGAAAGACATTGGAGATCAACGCAAATCACCCTGTGATCATCGATCTGCTTGCCAAGGTGAAGGCAAGTGAAAGCGATGAGGCAGCCAGCAAGACAGCCGAAGTGCTCTTCCAGACAGCCCTGATTGAGTCTGGCTTTGAGATTGCAGATCCATCATCTTTGGTGAGCCATGTGTACAAGCTCATGTCCAAGGAGCTTGGTGTGAATCCAGATGCTCCTCTGAAGGAGATCGAAGTGCCCGAGGATGAGGAGGAACCTGAGGAGGAAGACAAGGATGATGACGAGGAGGAGGACACCAAGGAGGAGAAGGAGGATCTCTAAGTTTTGAGGTGAAGATCCCGCCTTGAGAAGATTATTTGGCCACAAAGTTGTGCATTTAGAGTGGTGTGGACTTGTTTTCCAAACATTAACCCACACCCTCAATGTGAATTCTGGTGCTTGGTTTCACGCCAAAGTCTATTATATACCGCCTTTTGAAAGGCATCGCAAGCGAAAGCACATGCATGAAAGAGAGCTCCGACGTGACATTTCGTCTCAGTGCTTCACAAGCTGGGTGTATCCACAATCTGCAGTGCTTCCAAAGCCAGTTGTTGATGATGTTTGATGTGATTTTATTTTGGCCTTGGCAGCCTTTGCATCCGTGCTGACCCGCAGCCTTCAGCTCCTGATGTCTGTGACAGAACCATAGGATTGGGTCAAGCTGAGTGACACAAACTTTGGCCAACATCTACCCCTGGTCACCAACCAGTCGTTTGCAGTTGTAGGGTCTTCCTTAGGTAGGTGCTTTGACCTGCTTTGAGACGTAGACTCCAGTAGTTGTTTGCAGGGCACCCAGGCTTCTTTGATTTGCACGCTGGTAGTTCTTGCTCAACAACGGTGTGAGTCCATATTCCTTGCCTTTTTGGCGCCTATATGACATTCAAACAATGGATGTTGATGTAGATGCGTTGTGTCAGAATCGTTTGCAATTTGCTCCCAGCTTTGATTTGCCAAATTTTGCCGATCCTTTCACGAGTCCCTCCAAGTGCTTGAAGAGAGGGATGAGAACACAAATTCAGAAGACTTTGTCAATGACAGCAACTTGTTTGCGTGTCACAGGTGTCGAAGTGCAGCATCAAGCACTCAACACCACACATATTACAGCCACACACACACACACGCACACAAATTGAGAAAAACAATAGAAAACAGTATATATCAGTATATACACTCATATATCAATGACATCTAATAACGGCATATGTCTCAAATAGAATGGCTGCATGCGTATGAGTATATACACTGCTATATGCAAGGCGATGCACAGGATATCCAAGATGACCTGGGACCAAGGCAATGGGGAACAAGAACTCAGCCTTTGAGACAAAGCTGAAAGCAAAGGCCGAAATTCTGCCATTCCACTTGTCGATGGCCTAAAATTGGAAGCTGTAACGGCTGTAACATATAAAAATATATGAATGAAGATATATTAAGATATATACTATGATACCACATTTGGAGGGATGAAAGACCCATTGAGCCTGCTGAATTTAATATCCAGCGTGCCAAAGATTTTTGATTCATGGCCAAATGATGACATCTGACAGGAATGGCAGTGGGAGCTTGGAAGAGAGGCTGGGCCACGCAACCATTGCTGTTGGCCGACCATGGCTGGGTTTGTTTGAAACTAGGCCATGTTTGATTCAATTGGATTATCAGAATTTTCCCATCAAAATTGCCATAAAATGCGAGTGTCATTATCATCATGTGCCAATGAACGTTGCCATTTGAAGGGGTAGACCGACCTTGCAATCTTTCGAATTGGACCAGTGGCGATAGACATTCTCTGGTGCGAGTGTTGTTTGAAGCACAGTTCCCGTGGCTTTCCGCAGGATTCCTCAGCCATATGTTTGGACATGATCTATAGATACCTATGATATGATTCATAGTTCCCTTCCTGGTTTTCTGGTCCAGCTGTGAGGCAAAATCCCTTGACAAGGAGATTGCCAAAATACAAAAAGATGAGGCAGAGACCTGTTCAAATCGATGTCGGCGCTCAAGGGTCAGAATCTGTACAGTCAAGACAGTCAAGTGTAACACAGGATATTGGCGCCAGCCTCGACATTCCAATGTGACAAACGGTTGGTGATGCTGATTTAGACTTGTGAGGAATTATGTTTGCTTGATTTACCATGTTATCTCATTCGCATCCGTGTCACAAGTGGGAAGCTGTGGATGAAATGTAGATTCATAAATGTTCTATATGTATTTTATCGCTGCTAGAAAGTAATGATGATAACATATGATAACTTTGATGGCAAACAAACATCAGCTTACGATGAACTAGCAACATGTTTAGTGACCAAACAGACTTGGGTTTAACAATGATCAGGTGCTCATGATATTGTGTTGAAGATTCTGTGGTAGTTTGGTAGATTGAGTTGGCTAAAATTTACGATGATTATGTGATGTTGCCGTCAAATATTATGATATTTTAGAGATATTTAGATAGAGCGATACGTCATAAGAATTCGAAGAATTTCAGAGATGTGACTGATATGTCTCTCCCTTCCTCTGTTTGGCAGGCAAAGTTGCAGGAACAGATTCGTCTGCAGGAGACTGGATTGTGAAAGGGACGAGAAGGGACGAGCAAATATGATTGAAACATAGCCCTTGGAAGTCCTTGGAAGTCCTTGGACCTTGGAATGTCACGAAGCATGTTCTCAACATGTTCTGTGAATACGCAACATTGCAAGTTGACTTGACGAACGCTTGAGCCGCAAAAAATACACGTGTTGATACTTGTTGCTTGCTTATAAACTAGCAGGTTATACCAGCCGGTTTAATCGGGATTCCAGAGACCCATAATTAATGGGAATACCAAGAAAACAGCCGGTCCCAGAACCGGTTTAAAGTTTAAAGGAGAATCTACAAAAAGACACATATATTTGAATAGTTCGAATACTTGGGGGTAAAAAACGATGGTTTCCTGCAACTTTTCCTGTGAACCAATCCATTAAATTCCAGGCCCAGAAGGGCAACGTTGAAGCAGTGCAGCTACTGGCGCGGTCTGTGGCCTAGGTTCACCTAGATGCTTGTGAAACTGCGAGAAAACACTTCCAGGTACAAGAGGAACCATATATGATGGGGGTCGTTCCAAAACCACCCTCTTAAGATTTAGTAATCGGGTTTGTTGAGAACTTGTGGGTAGTTAAAAAAAACCGCATCGCGCAAGTTTCGCGGAAAATCACCGTTTTTTATGGGTAAATCCACTATAAATGGCCATGTTCAATAGCTATGTTAGTTTACCAGAGGGTATGTCATGTTGTTTCTTCAATTTGCTTTTGTATGCTTGCGTGGCAAGTCTGCATCTGATTTTTGTTCATCGCACTGGCAGTCTTGTGCAGGTCCTGATTAGCAATCCTGCCAAAGATTTTTTTTGTTCAGCCCAAATCCGCCCAAGCTTGGCGCAAGAAACGCGCAAGCTTCAGCTCCAAAGTCAACCCGGTAGTCCATGCCACCCTGTCAAAAACACACATGCGCATGGATATACAATCTGTAAATAGGTAAAAAGAGTAAGACATATGTTCTGATAAGAAGACACACGGACACGCAGACACATATTAGTATACACACTAGGAAACTATACGAAACGAATACCAAAACGGGCCCCGAAAACATGCGCAACCAAAACCTTCAAATGGGGCTGTGGTCGCGCAAGGTTTGCCCAAGGCTGGCCCAAGAGCCACGTTCGGGCAACAGAATTTAGAACATCCCCTATATAAATATACACATATCATATCATGATGGAAACATTCATCCAGAGGTTGATTGAATTCATTGGGAATTTCGCAATTTTCAAAAAAGGGCAACGACCTGAGGTCTGTGGTGAAAACCCGGAACGCTGTGCAGCGGTTGGAAAAGACCAAGGTTGGGGGCGATGGCGAAATCCACTGATCAGTTGATTTATGTTTCATGAGAAAAAATGACCAGAACATGGACATATCATCATACTCCCTTTAAGAGGCAAGAACTTGCAAAAAACATTACACTAAAATCGCATTTTTTATGGTCAACAAATGGCATGCCCACCTCAATATGTCCTGTTTGGGAGATTGCCCCATGTTCAGAGCAGCCTGCCATGGTGCCTTTTCTGAGGCATCAATGGAAGCCGTTAAGTTGCAACTCACAACTCACATGGCCTCCATCAGCACCTCGCAGTCCATTCGCCTGTCCTCGTTCGGGCACCCGGATCCCGGGTCGCGTGCAGATGTGGGGCTTGGTATGGCGGGTATGGAGGGATTTTCATGAACCATGTGGAACCTGAGGGACATCATGAAGAAGATGAATGCCATCGCTCGAATTCCAGAGGTGAGTGCGGTCATGAAGGAACCGACTGCACTCGGGAAACGCAGCACAAAAGGACATCACTATGCATCGCTGTTTGGTCAAATACCTGGATAGACTGGGAGAATGAGTGCCTGAAGCCGCACCAAACACTATCCACTTGTGCCTCTCACGACCACCAGTCAACACTTTGACAATTCAACATGCTCGGCAAGGACATGCGAGAGCAGATGGCTATGTGTGCTGATGCGGAGGCAGGAAATCATCCCTTGGGCCAACATCAAGCGCTTCATAGCAGGTTTGCTGTTCCACCGCCGATCATGCCGCTGGCGTTGCTTGATTCCTGGAGGACAGCATCGAAGATGCTCTCAGAGATGATGGCGAAGAGCGTGAGGCAGCTGGGCAGAAGTCAAAACTTGTCATGGTGAAAGTTTTGAAACTATATACATCAACTTGCATATATTAAGATGATGAAACTTTGGGACACAAAACATACCCAGTCTCAGGCAGCCTTCCAAGTTCAGAAGGTTCTCGAGGACTTGAAACTGTGGAATCAGCTGTGACAAATGGTGGCCGTGCAGTTGCCAGTCATGCAGTCCCCAACTCGGGGACTTAAGGGACGAACATCCACAACAACTACATCAATTACTTAAGCTATTTTGATTTTAAAAACCTGAGTAGCAGGCTTTGATTCGTATAGATAATCATCATATCACAAATATGACATAATTTATCATCATAATTCATATATTATATATATTATATATATTATATATTATATATATTATATTATATATATATTATATTATATAATATATATTATATATTATATATATATTATATATATTATATATGTTATATATGTTATATATGTTATATATGTTATTATATATGTTATATATGTTATATATGTTATATATTATATATATTATATATATTATATATTATATATATTATATATATTATATATATTATATATATTATATATTATATATATTATATATATTATTATATATATATATAAGTATCATCAGTAAGATCAGTAAGTAAGATATGCTTCAGATTGGTGAATCTCCTCATTTGTTGCTGACAAACATATTTCACCGCGAGGAGATGGCCCTGGATCAGATGGGTCCCTTGGCTCGCGGGGCAGCCGTGCCTGTAGAGCCGGCGAAGGCGACTGACCAGTGGAAGTGCTTCAACTATAGGGGATTTTAATGGGATTTGAATATGTTTTAATAGGATTTACTGGAGATTCATGGAATTTTTCAATGAGATGAATTTGAGATGAATCATTGATTTGATAGATTTTGATAGATTTTGATAGATTTAATAGGGGTAGCATATGTAGCATCATTCAAGTGGTGATTTTTCATGAGAGATCACTCGGGACCTGCTGGATGTGGGCCAGGCCGCTGCTGCCCCCGCAGCTCCGGAACCGGAGAAGCCACAGAAACAGGCCGTGGCCATTGGAGAGGCCGGGCGGCTGGGGATGGAAAAATGATAGAAAAATGAACACATCATTCCGTTTAGGATGAAAAATATGGGACGTCACCATGATTTAACACAGTAAACACAGGGATAACACAGGGATTCAAGGATGATATAACATATTTTAACATGATTTAACATCATTTCACCATGAAAATTTGGATGAAACTTGATGGACACCGAGGCTGAGGATGACTTTGTGAAGGTGAAACCTGCTGCCCTACCTCCACCTGCACCTGAGAAACCTGCTGCAGCTGCTCCACCAGAGGTGCTGGGGTCAACATACAAAAAGATGTTAGGAAAACCCATCGTTTCTCTAGGAAAATGATCTAGAAATGCGGCTTTTCCACTTAAAATTCCACATCACCCACATCTGTGTCGAATCTATGTTAGTTTAGAGGAGGGTAATGATTGGGTAATGTCTGTTGGCTTTCAGATCTTTCAGTTCGCTTTAACCTTGTTGAAATATTTGACATAGATGTCTTCTTTGATCGGGCATTTCGCTGTCGAGTTTGTCTTCGAATTGGAGGTGATTCCTCCAGCTGGCTATGGAGGCATGGGATGATGAGGGATGGCACTTGTTACCGTTGCAGATGTGTTTCGACATGCCACCGCTACGGTTTTGAGATGATTTGAGTGATGTATTTGTAGGTGGGAAAGCGTGCGTTTGTTCAGTTTGTTCAGTGTTTTTTGGGTGATTCTTGTGATTTGTAGCATTGTAGCCGTTTTGGCAAAAGACTCCAATTGTTTGCGTTCACCAAATTTGGATTTCCCCAAGATGGCTCAGCAAATTGTGGGAAAGGCTGCACCCGACATGGCCCTGGAGATTTCCAGCGGGACCGGGGAGACAAAGGAATGTAGCCTGCTGTCGCTGCAGCAGCCAGGACAGGCCATGGTGCTGGATTTCTTTGCACCGTGGTGCAAGGCTTGCCCAAAGGCTGCTCAGCATTTGGATCACTTGGCCGAGAGCTACGCTGAGCGCTGTCAGTTTGTCTTGATTTGCGTGGATGGAGATGTGGATGAAGCCCTGAGCTTTGCCAAGGAGCATGGCATCACTCGGTGTATCGCAGCATCTGTGGTGGATGAGAATGCACCAGCCAGCTACCATGTTTCTGGACTTCCACATCACACACTCATTGCTCCAGATGGCACCATTGCTCGCAACTATGAGGTGAACTTGCCAGGTGATTTGGACGAAGCTCTGGCCAAGGAGGCCTCCAATGACTTCTTAGCCCCAGTGCCAAAGAAGAGCCCCATCTCCGACAAGTACAAGGAATTGGAGAAGCAAGACCCTTTGTTGAAGGAAAACCCTCGTCGTTGGGTGATGTTCCCACTTCAGTATCCAGAAGTGTGGGAGATGTACAAGAAGCATGAGGCATCCTTTTGGACAGCTGAGGAAATCGACCTTGCACAAGACAACAAGGATTGGGTGAACCTTACCGAGAGCGAGCAGCACTTTGTCAAGCACCTGGGCCTTAGTTTGCGACTCAAATTAGGGAGTTGGATCTTGTTTTTCAATTGTATCATATTGATTCATATTGTATCCTTTATATTTCAAATAATATCAAATAATTATAGAAGACTTGCACGCTGAATTTCAAGTGCCAGGCATGTGCTTGCTTTTTTTGCTGCCTCAGACGGCATTGTCCTGGAGAACTTGGCACAGCAGTTTTCCTCAGAGGTGCAGATTCCAGAGGCCCGGGCCTTCTACGGCTTCCAAATTGCCATGGAAAACATCCACTCTGAGACCTACTCACTGCTGATTGAACAGTACATCAAGGACCCAAAGGAGAAGGACGATTTGTTTGATGCCATCCACACCATGCCAGCTGTCAGGGAGAAGGCAAGCTGGGCCATCCAGTGGATGAATCGCGAGAGCAGTTTTGCCGAGAGATTGGTGGCCTTCGCAGCTGTGGAAGGAATTCTCTTCAGTGGATCATTTTGTGCCATCTTCTGGTTGAAGAAGCGAGGATTGATGCCGGGCCTTACCTTCTCCAATGAGCTCATCTCTCGCGATGAGGGTTTGCATGCAGATTTCGCCTGCTTGCTCTACGGCATGCTGCAGAATCGCTTGCCAGAAGATGTGGTCCATGACATCATCCGCGGGGCGGTGGAGGTGGAACGCAAGTTCATTTGTGGAGCCCTTTCCTGTGACCTCATTGGTATGAACAAGGACCTGATGACTCAGTACATTGAGTTTGTGGCTGATCGTCTTCTCACAGCCTTGGGTCACAGCAAGATCTTTGGCTCAGAGAATCCATTCGACTGGATGGAGCTGATTTCTTTGCAGGGCAAGACCAACTTCTTCGAAAAAAGGGTTGGCGAGTACCAGAAGGCAGGCGTCATGACTGGCACCACCGAGCCTTTGTCGGCCTTCGCGCTGGACGCAGATTTCTGAGGGTCAATGTTGATCCAGGAGGATCTGAACCTGATCTTAGATGATCATAGATGATCTTAGTATATTTCTTAGTTATAGACAGTTCTAGATATATCTTGATTTGGGGTCGGGGAGCCAATCGAAGATTGGTCGAACTCATAGGGCCGCTCTGTTGCACGCCTATGGGATCCTATGGGACCTTGATCACGGGCGCCGGTGAGTCCAATGCCTGTGCACAAAGATATGGTCGAGGGTGAAAAACATGCCCTGTTACTCTGTCCTGTTGGAATCTGTTGGATGCTAAGGCTATGCTCCCTTCATCTCCCTTCAATCTCTTTCACTTGGGGCACCCCGCATGCCTTCTTGGTTTCCATTGTCATGAACACTATCGAACTTCCCATGCCACAGGTTATCTTCCAATTTGGTGTACACACCATGTTTGACAGCAGGTGCCACGGCAGCCCCTGCGGTGCCGCCCGCTGTTGAGCCGGCGCCCGCCGCTGCGGCGCCTGCACCTGCACCAGGAATCTCTTCATTGCTGGGTATGGTAACCTGAAACCTGGGGGGTTCCTAAAATGGTGATCCTCAAAACCATAGGTTTCAATACATGGTCATGATTTGGGGAATACCTCCATTTCAGAACACCTCCATATATATACATATATATATATACCACCATCAGGTTTATGCGTGCTTATGGCAATATGAGTTTGTTACAGCAATTCCACTGGTTGATCATACTTTCTACCATCATGATATCATCATAACAACATCATAACCATATCGCAGGTTTTGACAATGGCACAAATGGATACATATGGCACATAGTTATGGGTTCCTCCGAAAATTCTTGGGACCCCCCAATTCCACTGGCTCATCATCATTTTTCCTATGAAATTTGCAATTTGGTAATTATGCAAAATTTTCAGACGCGTCCATATGAATATATATATATATACATGGCACGTATTGGGCTCGGCCATTATAGTTTTAGTTGATGGTCGCTGCCACATGGATAACAGTGGTAATTCACATTTAGTTTGCAATATCACATCGAAAATAGGATTGATCACACAACTTGGATGCTTAGACATGACATCACATGAAATCACAGAGCAGTTGGATGACAGAATTGGAATGATGGATGTGCTGGAGTGTCAGGAGGAAACGCTGACGATGACCTTTTGCGTCGCTTAGAGTGGCAAACTGAGACTGAGCTGTCTTGCGTGGAAAGCTGCATTGAGTATCCTCTGGTAATTTAAGATAGCGGCCATGAAAATTTACCAATGTCTAGATAATTTACCTTCTAAACAAGGCAAGTTTCATTGGCTATGTTGCTGTACTATGTTAGATTACAAGAGGGTAGAATTGTTTGAACTGATATGACCAGATGTTCACATCACACTGCAGCCAGCCATGGTCAGCTATCTAGACTTGTCCATGTTCGCTGCACCCAAGTTGACCTGAAAATGGAATACCCCAAACTCCCATGGTGTATCATTACTTCCCACATTAAAGATGCCATTTTGGAGAATCCACCATTTTTGGGCAATCCTATATATCATTGCACCTTATATAAAAATCCCATAACATCCGATTCTGGTTAAATCCCAGCTTTTGGAAGGTTCTATATCATATCGTTGATAAAATCCAGATTAAAGCCCCATTGGACAAAGCCACATCCCATCAAAAATATCAAAATCCCATGGGCCGAGCATGGACAAAGTGACACCAAGGATGCTCTCAGGGTCAGCAGATCCCGCGGCCCCTGCCACCGCACCAACGCCAGGCTATTTTTATAGGGACGGTGAATGAACATGATGGTATGTCAATGGTAAAATGCGGGTAACCCATTTTAGGACACCTCCAGTATGATTCAATATGATTCAATATGATTCAATATGATTCAATATGTATATATTAATAATCGAATGTACTATAACATGTATATTTGTTTATAATGTATATATGTACATTGTATACTATATTTATGAATATCATGAATCAGTCATGATATGTATATGTTACATTATGACTCCAATCTTGTGTGATTGCGTAAAGTGCTCTCCACAACCCCATGTCACCTCTTTGATCCTGGAGCCGGGGCATTGTGTGACACTGACATGAGATGAGTGTGCGGCACAATATCATGTGGTACCACATCACACACACACACATATATATATATGTACATATATATATATATACACATATATATATATACAGTATATGTATACATATAATATATCACATCCAAAATAGGATTGATCACACAACTTGGATGCTTAGACATGACATCACACTACATGACGGAGCAGTGGGTTGATGGATGTGTTGGAGTGTCAGGAGGCAGCGCTGACGACGACCTCATGCGGCGCCTAGAGTGGCAAACTGAGACATGTTGAGCAGAGTGGTAGCAAAATGCAACAGCATTAGTGAAAGAGTGGGAGGGCTGAATTGATCAAAGCTGGGAGAATCTCTAGATCAGATGACAACATCATCAAATTATGAGCAACATTGAGGAACTATGAAGGTTTGAATATGCCCTGCGACCCTGGGCCCTGCACCAGGATGCTGAAGAAGCCGTGAAGTTTGGACGAGGGCGGGAGGACCCAACGGCAGCGCTGGCAGCGATGCGGCCTGGCCTCAGTCACGACGGCCTGGCTCAGGTTTGCGCCGCAGAATTGTGGCCCTTTTGCAGGTCGCCATGTACAGAGCTTCGCCCGTGCCCAAGGGAAACTACGGGACCCTAAGGTCAGAATCAAACCTGGTGCATGTTGAGCCTCCTTGACACTTCGTTGCCTTCAGGTTCCCTTTATGGATCGGAGATGGCATCTTCTGTGAGTCAACCAGTTTGATCAGTTGGTGATTCCGTGCAGTTTTGATACTTCAGTTTATACACTCAATTCAGTATGAAGCAGAATATGAAGCAGAATCGGCTAGAACAATTCAGAAGACAAACAGCTTCAGTTTTAGCATGTTTTAACTAATTCCAAATCCAGATGCCCAGTCGTCCCAGTCGTTTGAGATTTCCTCAGTGAGGCTTGCACCTGGGGATCCAAAAAGAGCGGAGCTAATTGGAATGGATCTAACATGATCAAACCAAAGTACCTCAATGTCAATGTATCTCAATGTTGTCAATGGCTTTCCTGCAAATGCGCTGACATGATCTGACATGCGGATACTCTGCTCGCTTTCTGATGCTTTCTGTTTCTGGCTCACCAGACATGGGCATACGGCATAAGGAAGATGATAGCAAAAGACACGTTAGACATTGACCCAGATTGAAGCACTGAAGCATGGCAATTGCAAGTTGTACATAGTTGTGCTTTTGTATCCCAAGCTAAGCTTCATAGACTGATGCAGTATGGCAGACCATGTAACTCCTTTGAGAACACGATCTAAAACAGATCATTTCGATGTAATTGAAGAGCTTAGGATATGATCCGTTCGCTTGCCGTACGAACATCACTGGGTTTCGCCCTGTGGCGAGCAGGCAACTCTCGGAACTGTGGCGCACATGCCGAATTTCGGGTGGATGAGGGCACTGGAGAGGCTTCAACAGCAGAATCCAAGAACGCAACTGCAGCGGCCTATTCAAAGACCAAACTCTTTCGAAGAGATCCTTTCAGCGTCGAGCGGAGCAGGAAGGTTTGTGTTTTGATTGGCATGACAGGTGTTGGAAAAAGTGCCACAGCCAACACACTCTGTGGGGCAAAACGTGCATTTGAAACAAGCTCTTCAGTTGTTTCGGTGACAAGTGCTGTTCGAGTGCGGGACTATTCCTTCGCTGGTGGCCGCTGGCGCGTGATTGACACACCTGGTCTCGGTGACACCAACAAATGCTATGAAGAGACCAAAGCTGAACTCTTAGAAACCTTCCGTTATGCCCCCCATGGCATTGCTTCATTTATTGTGGTGGTGCCCAAAGGTCGGTTTACTTCGGAAATGGAGCAGCGGGTTCGTGAAGCTCTGGATATCTTTGGCGGAAGTGAAGCGATTCGTCATACCATGATCGCCGTGACAAAAAGTGCTGATGCTCCTGAAAAATTGCTGGATGACATCATGCGACTGCCCCCAGATCACACGCTGAGGCGCTTGTGTGAACTCGTCAGTCAGCGTGTCTTGCCAGTGGAGAATGTCAAGGAACCTGCCATTGCCGTATCTCGATTGATTCTACATCGAGGTGTTGATGAAATTCTTGAGCTCAACAATGAAGAGAGATTCTGGGAGCCACGGTCCACACTTTCAGTGGGACTGGCGAAATCTTTCAAATTGGACTTACCACAAGCTCGGTGTTCCACAAAGTGGACAGAGGTGGAGAAGTGTCCAAGGCTAGTGATCACTTGTGACTTTCCAGGTCCAGTCAAAGAAGCAACATCCTGAGATTTTAGATGATTTTAGGGCGCCCAAGGCTGTCCCAAGGTTTTCAAGTGAATGGGACTGTCAATCTGCGCACTCTGTGGCCGTTTGCTCCAAAAGTGCACCGACGAAGCTACGATCTCTTTTCTTTGAGCTTGCAGTCGAGCATCAAGCATGCCACACTTTGGGCTTTGTTGTTTGATGTTGCACTTCATGAATAGTTTGGAAGCTATGCCAAAGCCCAAATGATTTGAAAGGACCTGCAAAATCTGCAAAAGCCATGGAGTTGTCCTGTTCTGGCACTGACGTACCCGCCACAGTTGTCGGCTTAAAAGAAGCTGAGCAAAGTATATTACCGTATCTCTCCAACGAAATCATTCGAAAACAGACATTCAGAATATTCTGCAGAAGTTTTATTTGGTCATATTTGGTCCAAACTTCCTCCTGTTCATCACGTTTCATGTGCAACTTTCATCGTGCAACAAGTGGGGTCCCATTTCGCCATGTCGCGTGCAGTAGGTCTCACAGCTCCGTATAGCTCCATGGTGTTATTGTTATGGTTTGTTGATTTATATGATATTTATATGTTTATTGCGTTTCATTTCCCGATTCCCCCATGTCTCTTTTAGTGCTTTGTATGGCAATGTTAAGATCATTCTTGGGGTATTTGATCCCCAGTGTTTGAACGTGTTTGATAATTCTTGGGCAAACCTGTTGGGGTGCTGGCCTTCAATGGTTTTAGATATGTGTGTTGTTGGTATTTGCTTTAAGAATGAGTTGGAGCCAGCAGAAGTACTCTGCCATCGATGGGCGGGCGGTTGCGCGACCGGTACGCTTGGTCATGCTTGGTCTAATCGGACAGGTTTGGACTTTATAGACATTGGAAGCAAAAGGAAGGTGTAGACAGTGTAGAAGGTACAAGATGGTACAAGACATTCAGACAGATTCAGACAGATTCAGACAGATTCAGACAGATGACAGATTCAGACAGATTCAGACAGATGACCTCTTGCATCATTGCGCAACGCACTCAGGATATCCATGGATATCCAGTGCGGGCTTTGATGCCAGAAACATACGCAGGTCCAGATGGTCCAGGGTCGGACCTTGATCTTGTTCTTGAATTTGTTTTCGGCGTTTGGATTTCGACCTTAGTGAAGAGTTTTATGAATAATTATGAATAATTATGAATATTGCAAATTGTGGATGAAAAAGCGCTTCTCACACCTCTTGCCCTGGTAAGTGTTTCATTTTCCAATGTGCACACGGTCCAAATCTAAACCCATCCGAAACCGATGCTTCTCGCTGTGAAGCTTGATGCTCTGACATGAGGCGGCCCTCGTGCGCAGGCAAACTGCCAGGTGTCCCTGCGTGGTGCCCTTTGAAGCACTGAAAAAATACTGTGCCAAGTGGTGGCTGTTTTAAAGGCGGCAACAAAAACATCACAAAACAACCACTTTGATTGCACTTGACATTGCAGATGCAGCCAACCATTTGCTGCCGGAATTTCTAAAGTGCGCAGCTGTTTTTTTCTCAAGTCAAGGGTCAGGAGGGTACCTTTGGGTTGGCTTTGTCAAGGCCATGCGATAATCGCTTGATATCAGACCGATTCCAGCCAACCCTCACCGCGCCGCAGGCACAGCGACATGATCCGCACAGGCCGAAGGCGCCCGGGCGGTTCAGCATCGTTTCACCAGTGATCTGGTCGAAGATGTCAGGGTGGCAACACCATCGCTGGAGCCCGGGAGATCAGCGTCGCGTGAAGAGGCCTTGGTGTTTGATGGATGTTTGATGGTGTCTGTGTGGATTTTTTGATGGATCTGTTTGATGGATTTGTTTGGTGAATCTTATTGATGGATTCTTTATGGGATTTTATGGGAATTCGGAGTTGAATGACCTGCCTGAAGATGGTTTGGGAATGTAGAGAAGGCAACTTCCAAACAGAAATGGCCTCAAAAGGTGACAAGTTTCAGACAAGGACAATGTTTTTCTCCGTGACTCTTCATTCACTGGGACAGGTGCTGGAAGACTTGTCCAGCCTGACGCAGGAGCAGGTAAAGATGCGGTGCTGACCTCGAGACATTAGTGCGATTGGAAATTGAAGGGTTGGCACATCTCGGCACAATTCTTTTCAAAAGACCCTGTATGTTGTTAGTTGTGGTCGGAATTCTGTCCAACGGATCGAGGTAAACTTTGTAGTAGAATGGAATAGACTTGTATATGACTTGTATTTAAATAGAAGGAGGAATGGCAGCTTCCACACTTTGGGTTTTTCAAGACAGCTTCCTAGTCACCTTGAGGTGCAAGCAGCCTTTGGGCCAGCGTTCCGGTGGGGTTGCCTGGGGAGCAAAGACTGATCTTCATCAACGAAGCTTGGTCTAAGCCAATCTATCATGACCTTGAGCTACTGTAGTTCAACCAGGGAGATTTTAGATTATATAGATTACATTAGATTATAATTATATAATTATCAGATTTATGATTTCAGCAGCACAGCCAGTCTTCTAAGGCCTTGAGAATGTGGCTCCGGAGGCAGGTCTGCGTCTAACTCGGCAGCTCAGCGGCTCAGCAGCTGCCAACTTCAGCCAGGTCTCCAGCCCAGCCAAGCTCCCCTCGCCTGGCAAGTTACGTTCTCAGCTGGGGGAACACGGGCTAAGGCGGCTAAGGGGGGCACAAATCCAGAAGATTCCAGACATGTCAACATGGGTTGGACTTGTTTGGTACAGATTGGTACAGTACCAGTATGTACCAGTACTGTGTTGAATCTATGTTGAGACAGATTTAAGACTTCAAGAGGTCATGTTGATTCGAAGAGCATTGACTGAGTGCTGGTCTGGTGGTTGACCCACACTTGTGGCAGTGGCCGCACTTGAAGACCAAGTCGGTGAGGCTGAACTTGTCCTCCCCGAATAAGGAGAATGAAGAGGTGGTGTTGTCACTTCTTTGCTTTTCTTGTGCCATTGCGTCATTACGTGCCATGCGTTTGAGTCCAAGCAGGCTAGCGTATCTGTCGAATCTGTGTGAAGAGTTCCTTAAGAACCAGCCACAGTCCAAAAGGACAGTGATCTCATGCAAGGTCTCCATTGTGTCTCCAGGCTCTCAATTTCTTTCAAGAGACTTCCCAGAATACCTTCGCCAAGCGCAAGCTCATGGAGAAAGAGGCCTTCCGTGCCCCTTCAACGAATCCAACATTTTCCAACACTGTTGCCATGACATGTCATGACCACTCTGTGTTTGGCCAAAAGGTTTGTTTGGGAATGATTGTGTTCAGGGAAGTTCAGGAGACATTCGCCGCCGCAGCGTTTGTCTCGCACACAATGTTTCAAAGCTTGAACTCATGGAACCCATTGGAACCCTAAACCCTAATGATATCTAATGATTTTCAATTATGTTCATGTCCTCATGCTTTGAAAAGCCATGAAAAGGTCGTGCGGAAGATCTCCTGTCTGCCAATAAGAAAGATCAACTTAAGCCATCAACAGGCAGAGCTTCCCAACAGGCGTCGCTTCCACCATGGCTACCGTGTCTGCGCCCATGGCCATGGCGCCGCCGGCACGACCTGCACGACCTGCACGACCTGCATTGCGACTGCAACGAACGCTGGAGCGACCTTCACCCAAGGTGGGATAACATGGGTAACCTGTACCCGTAAGCAAGGTGTGAGGTGTCACATGGAATTTAATGGCACGAAAGCAAAACCTGAGTCCATTTCAGAGTTTGGAGTTGGGTCTTTTGCTGAGTCGATTTGATGTCTTCAGTTATCTTCAATTATTTGGAGATTAGATTTCGTTGAATACAGACTTCAATTCACAGACTGCAGGTCATGCTTGGTGCACCTGCCTTGCTGGCAGCAATTGGCGCAGTTCAGAAGGCTGGAGCCATAGATTTTGATGATTTTGTAGTACCAGTCTCGGCATTGCATGAACTTTTATCATATTTTACAACCATGTCGAATAAATAACGATCGCAAATGCTTCGTAGTGCGATTCCTTGCAGGTACATTTGAAAAAAATGACACGAGATGTTAGGATGTCTGTTTTCAAATTGGTATCCAAGGACAAGTACTGCTTTTCCCCATCAAAAATTGATATTCCATCAAATATCATCAAATATCATAATTTACCGATAAATTTATCAATCGGTATCTAACTTGGGTTCCCTTCTAAAAACCGCTGGCCTTCGCTGGCCGCAGGTCTCTCGAATTTTGCGCCGCGCTGCCCCGTCGCGGCGCCAGTTGTGCGGTGTCGCCCTGCTGCCGGCAGCAGCTCATGCTGAGGAGGCGCATGGGCGGTAAATCCCCCTTTGTTTCGGCAGAGGTACGGTGAGAACTGGCTGGAGATATGACATTAAATTGGATGAACATGGACGAACGATGAAATGAAAAACGCGAATCATATCACAAAAGAATAATACTCTGAGTTGTTAAAGTTGAACGATTTCAATGAAATGAGCGTCCCAGCTGCGCGCACGCAACTTCTAAACAATGTTGCGTCCAGCTTGTGTCTAGCAAGTTAGTTTTTTTTCAGTTTTTTGACTTCTTCGTGGGTTTTGCATTGCCAGCGACTTTGTGTGACTTCGTATTTTGGTTGTGTCTATACCATCCTATACCATGTTTTCATGATCGCATGAAAGGACAATGAAAGGAAATGAGAGGAAATGAAAGGAGAATGAAAGGAAATGAGAGGAAATGAAAGGAACATGAAAGGAACATGAAAGCAAATGAATCCAAAGGTCTGGGTTTTGATACCCTTTGACGTCGTTCGATACGTGGTTCGGACGTCGTTCGGACGTCGTTCGAAACAGCTAACCGTGTCCCTACAGAATCCAACAGGTAAAAGCAGCTTTTCTTGTGATCACTTGCAATCTACATGTGGTGAATCACTGGCGTCCCAATATGACATGAGTGTTTTATGTTGTATTTAATACCACTTTGAAGATGTTTTGGGAGTTGCGTCCACAAGGTGTTTCCTCATCTTTCACACAGCAAAACTTGCCAAAACAGAGTTTGTCGTACATCGGCGTCCCATTGGGGTTGACCTTGCTTTTGGTCAACTTATTTGACTTCCTGATCCAACGGCGTCCCAATGAGATTTGACACAATTCTGTTAAATTGGTCGACTTTAACGGTTCGGAGTAGCTGACATGCTGCAATGATATTGATCGATGTGTTTTTTCAATATATTCACTGAAGATTGGATGATCCCTTTCGCATCTTTCGCGCAGGGCTTGACGAAGATCGGCAACAATCAGTTCAGCATCGATCTACCCAAGGGCTTTTCATGGAATGAGAGCCTCAGCGGACATGTGGTGTTTAAACATGTTTAAACTACCAATCATTTGTGGACACATTTAGATTAATTAGCATAATATACAGCGTAGTATAATATACCATAATACCCAATACATCCCAATACTACCCAATATCAACCCCAATTAAAGACGGTTGTTAATTCTTGGGTTTCCCTCCTTAAGAAAGTTTAAAGGCCCGGCACAAAACCGGACGCATTGTTGAAAGTTGGGATGCCCCTTGAAAACTGAGGAAGTTCATTTTGGCAAAGACTCACAACTTTGAGCGCAGCGTCACTGCTTCTGACCCATACGGCAAATGGTCACCTGGCTGGAAAGAATATTTAAACTGCGATAATTGCGATGTGCATTTAATGTGTCTATGCATACATTACGATATTTGATGATAATTGAGAAGCGATTCGTGTGAGAAAATGGCAGGGTTTTATGATGACCTGAGATTGGACCAAGGAAGGTTGGCTTGACCATTGATGAGGTCTTTGCCAACAGTTTGTCCGATGTTGGCTCAGCAGATAGCGTGGCGGATCGCATCGCTTCCATCGAAAAGCAGAAGGATGGGAATTTCACCACTGAGGTGATGTTTGCAAAGGATATTCCTGCAGGTGATGTCCAAACCTATTTGATCGAATACCGCTGTGACACTTCCAGAGGCGCCAAAATGATGATGGAACTTATGATGGAACTTCTGAAAAGATATGAAAGGATGGTAGCAAACTTACGTGCAAGGTGTTTCCAGAGTAGGATTGGTAATTGATGCATATCGATAGTAGTTATCAACGGAATCAAATTATGTATTATAGTATACCAATGTATACCATGTTGTTTGATGCCTACAGAATCGAAATGAATAGAAATGACCAGGGCCCTAGAGATCAAATCTTTGCCCATGTTTGCCCCAGTGCCCACTCGATGTTAGAGGCTGCACCTCCAGTGGACTCCAGGTTTCAATCACTTCCTGGTGCGAGTGGCCCTTCAAAAAGGCAAGCTGTACACTGTGACCTCCCAGGCTCGGCATGGCTCGGCGCTCGGCACCGAAAGTCGGCCATGCCAGGGATAGCTGGTGAGGAGATGTGAGGTGAAAATGGTGAAATCTTTATGACAAATCTTTATGAACAGTGAATCTATGTGAATCTATGTGAATCTCATGATATCTTACAGATTTCTTACAGTATGACAAAAGCTTGGCAGGCACCAGAGGATCAGTGGAAGACCTTGGAGGAAGCCACACGCGCGTCCTTCGACTCCTTCAGGCTTGGAGCTTAGGCCCAGGCCAGATCAACGATGGATCAAGATCTGGGAGGATCAGATGATCCGATGCCCGGACTTTTCGTGGAATTTTCAGAGATGAAATGATGAAATCACCATTTTTCACCCCCTTCGCTGCTGTGTTTGAAGGGATTCCGACCCTGCAGCCACATCGGTTAAAAGAAGCGAGTGCTGACTGGAGAAAGCCAATGAGTTGGCAGGAAAAGGGGCACTTCATCGTACTTCGTGGTACTTCTGATTATCCACATAAGATATCATAAGATGTCCTGTGTCTGGAGTCTGGAAGACATGACTTTCCAGTGGAGGTGACTGAAGAACAGATGCTGGTAGAAGCATTGCGGACAGCAACAGGCAACGAACGGACTGCAGCAAACAGAAACTGCACGGTCAGCAGCAAACCGCGCAGTGATATGCTGTGGCCACCAGGTTGTGAGGGGAGTTTCAATGATTTCCAACAGGTCAACCGTTTGCAGCTCTGTGCGGGCTCCGGAAGGTCCGGGTAGGGTGTAGGGACATTGGGTACCCCCAAATTTGAGGCTGAGGTTCCCATTTTAGGGTGAGTTCCTTTCAGCAGCACAGTGTTTTTTTTGAAGAACAAGATTGCTTTAGCCGCATCACCTTCCGCATCTGTGGCCAGGCGCTTGCCAGACCTCGCCCACCGATTCAAGGAGTCCCATACTGAGCGACGGCGGACAGCTGGTTGTGGATACTTTTTGGAGTGGAGCCACTGCCAGGTGCTCCGTTGCGGTGGTGCAGAGTTGCTGGTTGCAACGTTGCGTGTGGACGCCGAGCTACGGGTGGCCATAAAAATCAGACACTTTAGAATCTTTAGAACACTTTGGCGATGGGTCCATGATGGTCCACGTATCAATGTATCCCCAGGTCGACCCTCAGATGTTGTTCAACTGTTGGGATTTTGACCCCGAAACAGCAATTGATGGTCCACCAGTCCACCAGATTGATCCATGGCAAAATTCTGACCTGTTGAGGTTCCGCCAGCTTGAGTTCAGCAGGAAAGGCCGAGGTCGCCAAGCAAAGCATCGACAGAAAGCCTCTTCAGCATTTCTTGGAGCGATATACAGCAGTTTCTTCAAGTCTAAGTAGAAGAAAGCACTTAGTTTGCTAGTTGTGAATGAAGCCTTTGAAAGCAGGACCATAGGCGACGATCCTTTAAGCTACACTCTATTTAATAGAGTCGAGTCTATCTATTGTGTAACAATTACGATGGACTATGAACATATATATATACCATGAGAAACCATAACATTTATATTACATATTATTTTTTAAAAAAAATATGTATATAAACACATAAATCATCTACAGATGATCTGATATGGAGATGAACTTTTTTCGCTGTGTTTCTCACCAGGCCGCTTGGTGTTTGGTTCAGCTGGCGAGCGGAAGCTCGGCACAAACCAAGCAACTGGTGCAGGCAGCGATGCTGCTGTTTTTTTGTTTACTTGGGTTTGTCTAGAACATCAGGATGCAAAAAAATGATTATAAGATATATTTCTCTATACAACTTAACCAATAAACCAACAATATTTGGATTAATACAAAATTATATTGTCATCAGGATACAAAACAAATGGTGGATATGAATGGATATGATATATACTTAACCAACAATATGAACCAAAACTGAATATATATTGTAGATAAATATGATATCTACAACTTCACCAACAATAATTGAAGCGTTGGGTGTGTCTGAACAGATGCCCAAGATGGCTATCTATTGGTGAACATGATAATGACTCATGGATCTTATGGGATTTTGGAGTACCCAGTTTTCTTGCAAACACTCACCCAATTTTTGGTGGCTGATGAACTCACAAATGGTGCTTGACAACTGTTGGATGCAGTCAGCTGGTTCCAGGCAGGTGCATGCACAGCAGCCTTGGAAGTGTTGCAGTTGAACAGCGCAGAGAGGCTGCATCTATTACCAGATTTACCAGTGAAAGTTTCACCTGTAATCTTGTGTGTTTATGTGTGCTTCCTCGTACACGTTCTCTGCAGAACTACAAGCTCGGTACCATTGAGTCATGTTCCGTTGAGCCACCTGTTTTCCTGGCAGCTCCGAGCTTTGCGATTTCTTGCTTCAGCTTTTGGCCAACGCCGAGTCCTCAATATGTGAGTTGATGCAAGTTTAGTTGGCAGAAATGTTTGAATATTTGCACCGTTTCGGTCACTTGTGTTTGTCCTTGAGAGCGTGAAGGCACGAAATGCCAGCATGGCAATATTGCAGCTTTGCGGTCCGAACCTTTGTGAGAAGGAGAAAGCCTTGCTAAGCTCGCCTTCAGTCGTCATGGCCAGTATACTCCGCGTGTGCCTCACCATGCTGGTGCTGATGGGGGCAGATGGCGGCCCGCTGGCCTATGGCATTTGCCAGACAGGCTGCAATTCGCTGGCAGTGGCTTGCTATGCCGCTGCTGGTGCAACCTTCGGCACCGTCACTGCAGGAGCTGGTGTTCCGGCCGCAATCCTTGCATGCAACGCTGCGCTGGGGACATGTATGGCTGCCTGCGTGGCAGCTGGCTTTGCTCCTACTCCGTGAACACCTTCAAGAGCCAATGGAAGTGTGCAAGCATAAGACTTGACGAGTTTCATTGTGGTTTCAAAGGCAAGAAGATGCAACCTCTCAGGTGCTTTGCAGATTTGACAGCTCCAGCCGCGTTTGCATGGACTTGCAGCTTTGCGACAGGAAAATCTCTGGTTTCTGCTTTTTGGGCGAAGGAGACAGCAAGATTTCCAAAGTGAATGCTGTTGCAAACATGCTTTGCATATCGTCAATGTAGCCGGTGACATCCTTTGACGCTTTCTTTTTTGTATAGTACCATTACTCAGGTTGGCGGTGATGTCGATTGCAGCTTCCGGGATGGGCTGCTTGATTCTGATATCGTCAACATTTTGGGACATCTCTTTGCTAAGGCGGGAGGCGATGTGGACCATATGGTTCAGCATTCACGTTTTTTCTGCATTGTACAGGATGGTAAATCTTAATATATCATTACTACATTTGTATCTGTTTAATAGAAATTGTCTTGTAGTAATCCGACATGTGTCCTTAATCTAGAAAATAGATGCAAATAGACCCTGTCTTTATACATCCATGTTTGCAGATGCCCGACTTCACTTGGACAAGTCTGGAGCGTTGCGAAGTACTACGCAGCTTCACTTGGCCGCATGGGCAGCATTTGGAGTGTTTTTGCTGTTGAGATTGTTTGGGCCACTCCAAAAGAATATGGGTATGGATCAATACCTATAAAAATACAATTTTTAATGGGATGAACATCCATAAATCCCAGCTATTTTGATGTTCACCAGGGGTACAAGGTTTTGACACACTGCCAGATTTCACAAGCCAAGAAATATCAACAAAGTCATTGAAATATATTGAAATACTATGGCAGAATTCATCAAAGTTCATAAGAAAAGCTCAAACAGGAATGCAGCCGCAAAACAGCAAGATTTTGTAGGTTGATGGCCACCCTTTGCCGCGGCACGCGACGCGCTCAGCACTGAAGGCTGTCAGAACTGATGTGGTCACATTGGTTGAAGTTGCATTTTCTGAGGACAGCCCCAAAACTTGAGAAGGTGGATTGCGCCTTTGACTTCTTTGCGCAGGTTGGGTGGAACATGAACAGAAACCGGGAAGGTGCAGCTTTTCAACTTCCAACTAATTCCAAGTTGGGGTTTGTCAAAAAAAGGGCACTCCAAAATCCAGTAGTTTATCGTAATTTTCCTGCTTAAAATTGCCATTTTGGTGTATATCCCTCGTTCATGGATCCATATTAATATCATGATGTTTGTGAAGTTATATCATAGTTATATAAGTTACATCATGTTATATCCCAATCCCCTTGACATCCACGACATGATTGGTGTACCCCATTTCTCGATACCTTCTGGTAATCAAACGTGGCAATGGAAAATCCACCATTAATAGATGATTTTCCCATTAAAACCTCCATTGATGGGTGATTTTCCAGAGAGCCACGTTTGATCAGGTCCTGCAAGGTACAGCCGATGCTGAGATGTTGAGCAGTGCAGGGGGGCCCGTTCATGTCATGTCAGCTATGCCAGCTGCGTGAATTTTCGCAATGGATGAACTGTAGCTGCAGGCGATCTGGGGCCTGTGCTATTTGCTGGAAGGGGCCAAGGAGGACGGCTTTGCACAAATCGCTTCAATTTTGGAAAGATGAATATGATTTGTGATTATACGAAATATAACTACTGTATATATGATTATATATGTAACATATGTGTCAGGGTATGTCATGCATGGTCTGTAGTCAGTCTAGTCACTGAGTCCATGTCCATTGCGGTGATGAATTTTGCTCAAGCGTGGTTTGAAAAAGAGCCACGCTGCCTTTGTTTGTCGGATGCAATACGTTTTGACCCAGGCTGGGACAGGCGGTGCACCTGGTGGATGTTTCACCGTGTCACCGTGTGTCATCGTGTGTGGAATACCTATCCATATCGGTGTTGGGATCATTTGGGATCAACCTTGAGGTTAAACTTAACGGTTCACTGGGGAATCAAGTGAGGAGCAGAGCATGGATGTTTCTGAAGATTCCAGATGTGCAATTTCTACTGAGCTAAGGGCACGTCCACTAGACGTTTGAGAGGGCAATTTCTAGCAACCACGTCCAGGCATTATTCATTCCGCTACGGGGAGAACGCTTGTCCTACCAAAATGTTCTGCTGACCAGTAGTGTCACTGCAGAACCGGAGGCTAGGTGCTGAGTCTGTCAGAATGTGTTTGATGTCCCTCTGAAAACATGGAAACCCAACCACTGGATTTGGAAGATGGGCTGTCTATTGGAAATGGTCAAAGGTTCAATGAACACTTGTGCAGCATTCCGCTCACCAAACGCAAATGTTCACCGCAGTTGTGCTGAGGTCCGGCCATTTCCAGAGAACTGCCATGCTAACGCTGTGGAATTGTTGGGGAAGTATGTGGTGGCCAGCAGCTGCTTGGTCTTGTGGATCCTCTGGAAGTCGAATGACTCGTTTTACATATAGTTTTACCAACCGTCGTGGTGATAATCATTAGATAATCCACCATTAAACCAGTGGTACAACGAATCATTTGGATTTTCTGGGAGATGTGGTCTCTTCCACTACCACTTTTGCTCGTCTTTTGCGTTTGAAGTGTGACCATGTTCTGGCCCCATTTGAAACCTCTAGCGGGACTCTAGCGCAAAGGGGACCCGGTGACACGCACCAGCCTAGTGCCGAGGACTCCAAGTGAATGAGAGATGTATTTATCACGGCAATGCTGAAATCATCCTCTTCGCTCCCATTACCTTCATGCAGGATGCGGCTGGGCGTTTATTTCAGGAGTTGGTTGAAGCATCCGGGGGTGAGGGTACTCTTGAAAGTTCCTCCACAGAATCATCCCAGGTTACCAACCAACGTTGACGTTGCTTTTTTCAGGTGCTTGAACCAGGTTTACTGTTTTTAAAAAATGAGTTCTGACTGCGTTTTGCTTTTGGCTGCCTCATTGACTCTCGCTTCCACTTCGATTTTTGTGCTCGTTAAGGAAATAATCGCTGAGGATGAGTGTAGAATGGTAAACTTCACAAGAATCAAGATATATAAATTGGGCACTGTAGACCGTAGATGATTATGTGGGACGATGTGGGTAGCTTAAAAACTTTGAATCTTTGGAAGCGGAAATTGGATGAATTGGTGCCATCACAGGTGAGACTGAATGGAGACTTTGTCATTAGCGCCGAGAAAAGCTTCGACGATCCCTGCATTCACGTCCTTGGCTCTCTGGAAGTCCGGGGCACTAGCTCGATTCAAGGCTGATGAGCTTCGAACAGCAAGAGAACTGGAATTCCAAATAGAAATGCTGAAAAACACCTGTTCCAAGGTGTTCCAAAATGGTTTTCCACCATAGTTTCTCCATAAAAGTAGCTTGCCTTCTTCCACACCATGTGAAAACCTGGCAGGATGCAGATCTTTGAAAGGTCCCGGAGCCATGGACGTAGAAAAACATGTTGGAGTTTCAAGCAACTTAACATTCAAAGACTGTTACACCGATGGATCTGCTGGTGCATTGCGGGCAAGGGCTCTTCGGGTGCGAAAACCAACTGCCGTTTTATCCTTTCAAAATGTGAGCTCCAAACAGTCCATCGGAGCGGTTCATGTGCTGGGGAGTTTTGAAACTCGTGGTACAGTACTGTTTGATTCCATACGTTCATGGGGTCACAGCGGTGCATTGCTGGTGGAGGGAAAAGCAGAACTGGAGTCAGGGGCCCGAGTGCACTTCAGCAATTGTACGGCCAAACGCAATAGTGGAGCAGCCACGATCACGGAGGGTCTGATGATTTCCACAGAAGCACTGATGACTTTTGAGACTCGGAACAGAAAGGGGACCTTGGCTTCTCTTGTGGTTTGATGTGTTTTGTATCTGTATGGGGTTTGGGCACTCCTAACTATTGGCAAAGTCCCAGGCACTCCCACTGCACGCTGTCCTTTGCAGGTACAGGAATGGCTTCAATTTTTGGACATGAGGTGAACTACGAATTTGGGAACATAGTAAGAGCGCCAGAACCATGGTTTTAACCTTCAGTTCACTCCTTGTATTGTGCACCAAGGAACATTGCCGCAGCGAAAACAACGCGGGTGCTTTAGAGACTAGCGGCTTGCTGCAAATCGAAGGAAACCTCTCCTTCAACAACTGCAGCACGAAGTTCGATGGAGGATGCCTCTTTATGAATCGGAAGTCGAGGCTGCTTCAAGGTGCCGGCTTCATGTCATTCTCTGCTTGTGTGTCCACATCGGGCACCGGTGGAGGAGTTGCAATTGCACAGAACGGGATGGTTCAGCTCAGTGGGGGCAAGATGGTGTTCAACAAGTGCGAGGCGAAGCAGGGAGGAGGCTTCAAGATGAGGAGAGGAAGGGTGCTGAACAATGGTGGGAGCATAGAAATGACCGATTGTCACGCCAAAGTACTTGGAGGAGGAGCCTCCATTTCAAGCAGCGAGATCTTGTTTGATGGAGGTAGCTGGAATTTTCATGCATGTACAGCTGGACAGACTGGTGGCGGTCTGGAGAGTACTGGCAAGAAGGAAAAGACGTTTCGATCTGGTGCGCTGAATTTCATCAATTGCACCGCAGACAAGTCTGGAGGAGGCCAGAGACTGTCAAACAGGGGAAGGTAGATACCTAATGATACCTGCAAAGGCAAACTTCCTCAAAATGCATTGTGATACGCGCTTGACACTGCAGGCTAAGAGCAACCGGTGAAGGAAAGGACATATCATAACATATTGTAATATATTACAACATACTATAACATATTATTCTAGCAAAACCTTACCCATATTCCAAGGCTGTTCATATTCCATGCCAAAATAGCTCCGGAAATTTGGAAAATAATGAACGACCTTTGATGATGAGAATAAGGTTGTGTGACCCTTGTCAGGCGCTCCCTTGTCACGTGCTGTCATGTCCAATCGCACATGTTTAACCCCGCTGAGAACCTTCTCAAGCAATGATTTCTTGAATAAACATAATCATAAAGTCTTGTTTCTCTCATCAATCATCAACTTCTCTCTAGGATCTTTTAAGACCATTGGATAAGCTGTTCAGCTTATTTTTTGACGCGTTTGGCTGGCGGCTCAGCTTCCGCATCTGTAAACGGGGCCAAGTCTGGATTACGCTGTTCTTCCTCGAACCCAAATGGTACCATATTTCCACTTAATACAGTTACATTGAGTAGGATGCCACCCCTGGAGTACGATGCCCCCCCCGTATGCGTTGCCGTTCCTGCATGTGGGCTTCTCAGGCATATGTTAATATCATTTTTGACCAAATCGAGGCTGCAAATTCCATTCCACATACCCACAAGGCATCACACTCTATCGCCCACGACTAAGACAACAATCGAGAATTTCCATAGCCTCCACAGGGCCAAAAGTATCAAAATTTCATGGAATGCGATTATATGCGCGACTGCTCAAAACGCTGGAAAAACAACAATTTCCCGCATATTCCATACTATCAGATTCCAGAGCATTTTACCTCCGAAGAGGAAAAAAATAAAAAAAACTCTTCAGGTCAATTTTTCGAAAAAAAAAGTTTTTGGCTGTCTGCGCAAGTTTTTCTGGTGTACGCTCCCCTTTTGTGGAGTACGATGATCTGTGAGTAGGTGTGTGGAGTGCGATGGGGTCCTCTGTGGTGCGATGACACCCCTCGAGTGCGATGCGACATGAGTATGCGCGGCCGGAAATCCCCTGAGAGAAGGATTCTGGGCCACAATTCCCCAAATTCAACAGAGCGAGCGGATGCTGGTTGTTGTAATTTAACAGGATTTCAGCCCACTCAACAAACAAGTCAAACAATATTTTGAAACCCTCTCCTTCTTCAGTCTCCAAAATGGGAAACTCACTTATCAGGACACGCTTTAGCTCATCCAGGCTCCATAGCATTTCAGGAACAACACAAGGCATCGACATGGTGCCAAACAATTTCCAAATTGAGCTGAAAGGTCTTCCCATCGCAACCAGTCATTTCACAGGTGTGAAACATGTCACACACAGGGAAACAGGTTGGGAAAACAGTGGGTCCAAAGAGACAGGTCTGGAGTACGATGGATTCATAGTATATGTACATTTTCTGAATTTGTGTAACTTGGAGCTAGAATTATAACATGTTAAAACATATTATAACATATTATAGCATGGCATAACATGTTATAACATAGTATAACATATTATTATTATAATATATTATAATATATGTTTAACATATTCTACCACAATTTTACATATTCTCACATATTGTAACATATTTTAACATATTATAACATATTACAACATATTATTACATGTTATAACACCTTTATTCACATTTTAACATGTTATTGTAACATATTACAACATATCACAACATATGTTAACATATGTTAACATATTTTTTAACATATTTTAACATATTTTAACATATTATAACATACTGACACATATGACAACATATTATTACATATCATAACATATTATAACATTATAACATATTTTTACACGGTGTAACATATTATATTGTGTTATCACATATTATAACATATGTGATTGTCGATCGAAAGGTCCATGTAGAGAGATTGACCATTACAAAGGCCGCCAGGGTCCCAACATCAGACCCCGCAAGAGTTTTTTCTGAGCTCGCGAAAGTATATTTTGCTTGGGCGAAAGATTTTGCGAACGATTTTCACATGAGACCCCCACGAAAGATAAACGTGGGGTTCGCGAAAGATTCGCGAACGTAATTTGTTTATTCGCGAAGATGGCCGTTTGCAGTTAGAGGAATTTAGATCAACCGCCATATATAATATATTTATAGTGTATTAATGTTTATTTGCATTTACATATACATATATCGTATATATATATATTTATATACACTAAAATCTAATTTAATGTAACATAGAAACACATATTATATTATCATGTATAACGGTCCATAACGTACAATGTATGACATATGACTTATGAGATAACCATATATAAGCTCTAGTGATTGCTGCCCCATCCCCCTGTTCGAGGTTTTCATTTGCATGGGGGTGCTGCGGTGATTGGAGGTGCCCGCATGACCTTCACAAACTGCACAGCCAAAAACCACGGTGGGGGGCTGCATGCAGAGGGTGCTGCTGTGCAGCAACAGAGAGGCAACATCACTTTCAGGAATCTCGGCAGAAAATCAATGAGATTCACTATATAAATGACATAAGAATTTGAAATCCATGGGTGTCAGCCACAAAAAAAGAGGTGTACTGTAGCTCCGTTCCGGCTTGGCTCCACAGGGATGTAGTGGCGTAGTGTGTCATCCAATTCTGATAAACATGTTGGTGACGTTTGGTGATACGTTGAGATATCTTGTTTGCCATGCCAAACAAACTCAACTCGTACTCCATCAAGACACCAGATCCAGGAAATCAATGTATGTTCGAAACCATTGTATTTTCATGTATTTTCATTTACCCGGGACAGTACTGATTGTGGTGTAATTATGTATGTCCTCAGGGTCACTAGTCTGGCTGCTTCAATAGGGGGCTGCTTCAGTTTGTGATGGCACCAATAAAATCACAATTGAATCCAGGAATCTCTTTGCAAGGGAGATCACAGAATGAGCTGGAAAAACTTTAGGATTTCCAGGGAAACAATCAGGAATCGGCTTGTTTTTTAGCCCGCAAGAATCTGGTTCAAGGATGTTCAAGGCTTGACATGTAGCCAAATCTAAAAACGATCTGGGAAACCGTGGGACGAAGTTTGGAAAAACATGGATTAAAAAAAACCAGAGGGGTGGGGACAAAACTGGGAATGATCTGGGAAAACCATGGGAAGATGTTGGGAAAAACGTGGGAAAACTAAGGGAAAAAGCTGGGAAAGACTTGGGAAAACTGCGGGACGGGGGGCAAAACTGGGAATGATCTGGGAAAGATGTGGGAATATTTCGGGAAAACAATGGGAACAAGTATGGGGATGGCTGGAGGAAGGTGAGAGCATTTGTCAAACAAGCAAACACCTGGTCTAAATGTTTTGTCATGGGATGGCATGTCATATTTTGACTACGTAGGCACCATCAGGGATTTTGATGGGATTTGAAAGGGAAGAACATGGGACACAGCAAGGATTTTGAAAGGAGTTGTTTGGGAAAGGAATAATGTGTCAAATTTGGCTGCCTCATTTGAAGCAGTCCCTCATCAGAGCAGCCTAGGTAGTGATCAAATGATATTATGTGTTCGGGAGATCACCGAAGATTACGTTGATGCTTATGTTTGCTGGTTAGATCTGATTAGATTGGCAGAATACAGACTTTTCTTGAATGGCACTCGAAAACACTGCTATATATATCCAACACAACAATGCCGTGCATCTCTATGGACAACTCCTGGGACAGACTCGGCATGTGAGGAACTGCTCAGCCCAAAAAGGGGGAGGTCTTTTTGCCTTCGAAGTGCGTCAAGGCTGGAGCGGCTTCCCCGATTCCGTGTCTATGTGTTTGGGGATTTTGGGGCACTGGGCTAGCGGCATCTAGCGGCTAGAGTGGTACTCGTCACATCTCAGGCTAAATTGTGAAGTTGGCCTCCAAGATACCACACCCTGGCGCCGTTCAGACAGTGGCGTGATGAACTTCGAGGGATGCAATGCAGAGATCCAGGGGGGCGGATTGTGGAGTGGTCATGGTGCCCCTGGCATGACTTGGAAGCCAACAAAACTCGAGCCAAGCCCACCACGTAAGGGTGTATACGGATGTGTATATATATATATTATATAATGATTTGAAATGATTTCAACAATATGTCAACATTCTTTGCCGCCCTTTGCTGCCAGGTGGCTGGTCGCAAGATGGTGGCAACTTGAGTTTCACTGACTGTTTTGCAAAGGAGACAGCAGGTGGTGCACCTTGGACTTGATCTCGCTAAGCGTCGCTGCCGAAATTTCCAGCTGTTTGGCAAGTTCCTGGACCACAGGAGTGGTTGAGGAGTGACTGGAAAAATCTGGAATAGATTGCAGCAGATATCGTGGAATCTAAGGCATATTCTCGAGTTGGAGCCAACTTAACACATGCAGAATTCGAGGAATGCTACGCAGATGGAACAGGAGTCATGCCATGCCGAAATGGTTTCCGCGGGAGATGATTGTGGAATACCGAGTTCCGCTTTAGAACCGCTGCTAGGAGCTGCTTTGTTTCTTCGTGGGGCAGGCTACCTCAGGTCTGTGAAAGTTCCTGGGCCATCAGATGTTATCAGACTTTAGTACCAAATATAAAGCGCTTGTTACATCGTTACTGCTTCTCCCTGTGGCTTTGTTCATGCAATGCATTTCATGTGCTTCCACTTGTGTTTGCGCTCGTCTGAAGTGACTGCATCACGTGCCGACTTCAGTGTTTTGGTCTTAGTCAAAGTTTGAAGCCTTGACGGTCTTCCTTCCGGTGAGCCCAAAACAAATAACAACAACTTCCACAGCATTATTTCGCACAAGACTCCAAGATGTTTTTTTGAGGTTTCAAATATCCTGGTGGTGGACGCTCCGCTGGAGATCAATTCCGCACATTGCACCCAGATTGAGATGTGTCGCTTCAAAGGGAGCCCCGTCAAGGCCCTTCCCGAGATTTGCTGCTTCCTGGAATTTCCTGGATCCCATGGGAATTTTGCGGATTTGGTCTGAAAATGCGATCCCCCAAATTCCAGAGTTTTTGAATATGCCATGAATTGCCCTGATATGAAATATACTCCAACATAACATCACATAATATAATACAATACAGTATCATATCATATCATACCATATCATGTCATATATATAATACAATACAATATCATTATATATATATACATCTAATTTTGGAACAAACGGACAAACCCATAAACCTCCCTTTGATTCATGTGTGCTTGGGAGCATCCCCGACCCCCAAAATTTCCCAAATCACCAATGAATTCACCACCGCTTCAGTGAGTACTGCTGGAATTAACCACCCAAGAGAATAGAGGCACGATATCACTGAGCCTGAGCGGTGCCCAAATGATTTAAGACGATTGAAGTTCTACTCCCAGTCTTTGATATTCCAGTTATACTCCCCACATGTAACACTATTTGTGATTTAAACATATAGAAAATATTAGATAATATTAGATAATATTAGATAATATCGCAATTATACAGCATATAAACATCACATCATCATACATCAACCATTTCGTCACTAGCTCCCGCGCACCGCCCGCACCGCCAAAAGCGCAGGCCACCAAGCTCCGTTGCCGTCGCGGCAGTGGCCTGGAGGAGATGGCGGAGCATGCGGCGTGCCAAAGCTGCGACGCGGGAGCAGTGCAGCTGTGGGATGGAGGAACCAGCTGCAGACCCTGTAACCTGGTGATATCTGGTGATCCTGGTGGCGACTGGGGAAAAGCCATTGGAAATGGTGAAAGATTGACTTGTTTTTTACTTGAAATATGGTTTCTGAAAATGATATGGGAGTAGCTGTATAAGATAATATATGTGTTTAGATGATATAAGGATTATTATGAGGGTATATGATAACTAACTGGGGGTTTCTGGACTGGGCGATCCCAATTGATCATCAAGTGATTGTAATTTTTCAGTGGGAAACCAATGGTGATAAGGGGCACTCCAAGTTGAAGAACTCTAATTTGGTGATTCAGTTGTATCCCAATTGTTGGTGCTCCTAGCAACCTGCTAAATCCGATCATAAACAGTTTCCAAGGTCCAAAACCTTGGGAACTTTGCAACACAACACACTTCAAGACGCTGGAAGGCTGGGCCAACTTCATGAAATCATAGGAATTACAGCATCATGGTATCAACGTATATTATAGTTAACTATCAGATAATATCTACTCAATGCTACTCAGTTTGTTCTGCAGTTTATCTTACCCTGCTGAAAATCGTTGAACATCTGCACCTGGAGGCTTCATGGTTAGCCCATCGAACCTCAGTAAGACGTTCTTTTGCCCAAACGCCAAAGCTTGCCCAGGAGGATTGGGATTTAAGTCATGTGGAATATGTGGAGGTGGAAAAGGAACTGACGCAACTAACTATTTGAAGTATTTGATATTCAACCATATTTGGGACGATGATGATGATGATGATGATGATCATGATCATGATCATGATCATGATGATCATGATGATCATGATGATGATGATGATGATCACGATCATGATCATGATCATGATCCCAACCAACGAAAATTTCGGGGATGGGGTAAACTCACGCATCAAGGAACGGTTTATGCTTTGCGATGGTTCCTGCCATCGCAGTACGGCAGGAGATATGCCTGCAATGTCCACGCCAATGTGTGCTGATGGCTACGTTGGAGATGGTTGCGTCAGCTGCAACCAGGCGAAGGGATGGCTCAGGGTGTGTCTTAGATGACATCCAGGTGTTTGGCATGAAAGCAAGGCTGGATAACATACCCTCCGGCATCAAATGGGCTATGATGTTCTCTAAATGGGAAATTTACTTGGAACAATCTAAAATTTTGGACTTTCCCTTGCCATGTTTGACTACCGGAGGGTAGTTGACTTCTCAAACCTTCTGGATTGCGACCATTGAGAGGGTGACTATTCTTACCATGCCTCCAGACGTTGGGGCCCCGTTGGGCTAGCAGCGGCTGCGGCTGGGAGCTGGGACCGCCTCAGCGCAGGCAACCCATGCCACTGCTGACAATAGTGTTGCCTCCTGCGTGAAATGCGCTGCTTCCGATGACAAGATCATGCAGGTCTTGCACATTTTATTTGCTGTCGTCAAGGACGGGATCTGAACATAGCATGTGGAAGAAGTTCACCGATTCATTGACTCTGGCTGCAGATTGCGTTGGCTGTTATAGGACATCGTCCTTTTTTGCGTGGCTGTTGCTGGTATTCGTGGCGCGGCCCATACAAAGAAGCACAGCTGCCTGATTGCAAGGAAAAGAGAAAGAGAAGTTGATCCCAAATTTGTCGGCCCATGAGGTTCAATCACATTGCCACGGTCACTCATATTGCTACAAGGGCAAGTATAGAAGAGTTGGGTTTTCCCTACTGCTTAATGGCAATTTGTAGGGTACAGTATGGCATGGTATGGCCCATTATGGCCCATTTCCAGACCCAGCCACTTAGAAAAGCCTCATTCTCTTTGTGCCAAGGTGGGGTTTTCACCAACCAGTTCATGTCCTTTGCAACCGTGGCCACTTTGCTACAAAGGATCAAGCTGCTACCTCACACAGCTGTGGGTTCTTTTCGCGCAGATGCACCCCAGTTGATTCTTCTAGAAAAGGGTCTCCAAGTTTCCCAGCGTGCCTGTCTCTGAGGACCAAGACACAATACACCTTACCAGCCTTAGCATTATTTGACGCGACGTATCCGTTTTATATGTTTGCATACTGCAGTTTGTTTTCATTAAACACATTAGGACCAGTTTGTGCAAGTTTGTTTCTCCCAACTCCAACAGGCAACCAGCAGTGTTGCAGCTGTCATGCAAACAAACGTGTTTGTCCAGTTGAACAGCCACTTGGATCCGGCAAATTGGCGGCTCCAGGGTGTGTCTGAAAATGGAAATGGGGATTCAGAGGTACCATAGGGTACCCGATGGTATCGGTACCCCATGTTCAGACGAATCCACATCTAGATTTCGTAGTCTGTTGGTAACGTGGAAATAACTTTCACAAAGATCCGAACAGAAAGTGGCTAGCGGCTAGCAACCGGTTCATTCGCCATGGGCTGTGGAAGGAAGGTGGCAAGTGGATCGTGTACATACCATGGATAAGTGCGACTTTTGCTGATTATGACAGACAATCCGGTCATTTGTAATCCATCATGTGTTGCAATTGTTATGATATGCTCATATGTTATCCATATATTATCCATATGTTATCCATTGATCTACATAGATCATTCACATTGAGCCTCCAGGTGAATTCCGACTGGCTTTGCAAGCCACCGGAGTCCTGGCAGATTTGGGCAATGGCGAGAGTGGAGGAGGCAGGTCGTCTGAGATATGCTGAGATATGCTGAAATATGCAGAATTTTAGGGGGGTTCCATAAATGGGGGGATCCCCAATAGCTGGTTGGTTTATAGTGGAAAATCCTATTAAAATGGATGGTTTAGTGATAGGAATCATATGACCCATGTCTGTATGCAGCGTGGATGTGTTTGTTATGTGTGTTGCTTTGCAGGCGGCGCAGGTATGGCATTTGAGTGTTTGGTGAGCTATTTGGGCTTTCAGAAGACTGTGTGTCATGGCAAAGTTCGAGCGAGTTGACGCTGTTTGGCCAGGGAAAATCCCGGGGTGGGGCGGAGTCGACCTTGGCTTCCGTTGAGGTGGAACGCACACATCTACAGCTGCATAGTTCCTGCACTGCTAATGGCCATCCTGGCGCGGCAGCAAGACTTTTGGTTGGCCATGGTGGTGGGAACCAACTGCTTTTTGCCAGGCTGCCAAAACAAAGTCCTTATGGAAATGCAATTTGTTGGGAATCCAGGAATGTCCTTGAGCAGTTATGACTTTGTTGGCAATATCTTGGAGTTGTGGCCTGGCAAAGGCGTTTGCGCAGACTTTGGGAAGTACTTTGTGTGCTTTCGTGTTCAAAGGGAGCAGGCGGGGACTCCAAATGACCGCCCACATGCACACTGCACTGATCCCTGAAAACATCTGAAGTGGCTGCAATCAGCTGCAGGATGGAGGTGAATTGCAGTGCAACTTCATGCCTCCTGGTGTACCTGCAGCTGTTCTCCTGGCATTGATGCTGCTGTGCTTCGTGCTGGCTACTGTAGGTTGGACCAAGGTGGCCTATTCCAAAACACTTCCTGCCCCAAAGCACGTGCTCTACCTGAGCAACGCAACTTGGTTGTCACTTGCTAACAGCATTGCAGAGAAGCAAAAGGATGGCACGTCCCTTTCCGTGATTAAACCTGGCACTGGAAAACCCCCGAACTACCCACCAGTGATAGGGAATTCCCATTGCAATGTTTGATTACCGCAGGGTAATCCAAGGCATACAAGCCAGAGTACGCTGCATGGGAGACTGAGCGATTGCTGCGCAAGATGTGCTTGAAGCTCCTTTGTGCATTTTTGCCACCCTCCCTGAGCCCATCGCTACATATGACAGGCCACAAGTGAGTATCTTGAGTCATACTTGTTGGAGTTCGCAGCAAGTCATCACGATGCGTGTGATACATGTTAGATGTTCAACAAATAAAGCAGTGATTCGGTTGCCATCAATGCTTACAACTGGTCAGGTTCAGCCTTGCTGGGACTTGTTTCTGGTTTTGAAGCAGCAACTGGTTGGTTCATGTTGGTTATTGGTCAGATTAGTCCGATTGGCCAGGTGCCAGCATCATTTTGTTGGCGTCCTTGGGATCCTACCTGCTGCTATCGCCCTACAAGGTCGAGCTGTGGAACCGTTCGGAAAGTGCTTTGCTCACCTTGGCCCTAGAAACTTGGCGGACCTTTAACACAAATGACTAATGACTTCTTTCTCACAACCCTTTAACACAGATGCTTGCCTGTTTGCCTAAGATTCCATTCAACCCATAAGAATATATGCCCCAGTGCCTGGATAGGAACCCTAAATTAGCATAAAACCTCACTTGAGATACTACCCAGACCTAAGAAAAATTAGGTCTGGGTAATATTGCTTACACTCCAATGGCTCTCCAGCCACTCAGCCACTCAGTCACTCAGAGTGGCTGAGTGGCTGAGTGGCTGCTTCGATTTCGCGAGCCGTGTTGCACATCCACTCTGTTAAGGTATGTTATGTTATGTTGTGTAGTGTAGTGTAGTGTAGCGTAATGTAATGTAGCGTGATGTAATGTAAATGTAAATGTAAATGTAATGGTAATGTAATGTAATGTAATACATGGCCAGGACCGTGCAGCCGGTCCCTGGGTGGGGGGTTGAGGGGGGTTCATGGTACCATGTTAATGCGCTACTTAGGGTCAAGTGTGTTGGTGCAGCTTTGCCTGGCGTAGGCTTGGTGCTAGAGCGTCTCACCAGATTGACATGCTTTTGTGCAGTGAGTAAGAAACAGCTGAGGGTTTTCGCTGCCTTGGTGTTGTGCCCTCACTCACATAGTGTAGGATAGAATAGTAGCCCCTCGGGGAAGAGTGTATCGATGTAAAGAGGCCAGGACCCTCACCACTGGACATGCGGGACGGGGGGGTGGGGGGGACTATACCATTGGGGGGCGGGAGTTCGGGGACCGGGCTCAATGTGTGTGTGTGTGTATTATATATATATTATATATACTTATACTATATGTATATACTATATACGTATGTATATGTATATATGTATGCGTTATAAATATATATATATATATTTATATATGTATGCGTTATAAATGTGTATATATATATATATGTCCCCATATGAGATCTTCCCCCTTCCCCCCCTTTGGCTGGTAGTACCCTTGTATATAATATTCATACCTATGTCTTCGTCTTTGCATGCTTCCATGTATTGCCCCCCCCCTGTGGCTGGTAGTGGCCCACCCCTCCCGACCTATTGGGGGGAGTGGAGTGACGGGGGGCGGGACCACCCATATATATATATATTTATAGAATATATATATATATATATATATAGATTTAATATTTACATATGTTGTACTACATGTGCATAAATTTTATGGTTCCTTCCTGAAAATGAGATTCTGTATCCGCTTCCACTGCTTCGAAGTTTTCAACGCTGAGGTCATGACTTGCCTCTCCAGTTGTTTGATCAGCAACGAGTTGGATTGGGGTCATTCAGCACCTTGGCTGTTCCATGCTTCGCGGGAGGGTGATCATCATCATCATCACCGCCATAGTCATCACCACCATCATCCTCACTATGCCTTCCGCATCTTCATTGTCATCGCCATGGTCATCCTCGCCATCACTGGCACCATGCCAAGGCAGGATCCTCACAATGAATTATGACTCATGACCATTATCATCATCGTCATCACAAGCAGCACCACCACAGCCATAGCGCCACAATTGTTTAGCTGCCGCATCTTCTAGATTCCTCCATGCTTCCCATGGGCGTTGCCCAAGGAGCTGACTCAACGAATCCTGCTGTTCACCATTGCTGGCCTTGCTGGAAGTGTTTCATTTGGGATGGTCCTCGCCATTGGCATGCAAATGAGGCATGCAGTGACTGGCCATTATCCATTGACTTTCGGGCTTTGAAGGATTTTGTTCAGTGCGTTTCTCGCAACTTCAGGTTGCTTTTGTTTGGCGCGCAAACAAATTGCCCTTTTTGCCCTGACAGGAATGAATCCAAAGCTTCAGATACCTCAGTGGCATGAGATGAGCCGCAAAACGCAAAAAGTTCTGCCCTTGTGGCAGCAGAACAGCTACGACACGAGTGGTATGTACTAGTAGCACTACCACGCACTTGTACCATCACATTTGCGGAGCTTCTGAGTATAATGACCGTGTCATCTTATGCAGTTTTGGTTTGTGATTCACCTGAGGTTTGCCAGGTGATAGCGAAGTTGAGCATTTCATGTCGTTTTTGTTTCAGGCTGCAGCCGTTTTCAGCCAAGCGGTGCTCGGTGGACTGCGATATGCACCTTCATATGGATGGAGTTCTTGAGCTTCGCTCTCTTGATTCTTTCTTTTGCTGCAGGTGAGGAAGTGCAGGACTGAAGCTAGCACTTGTGTCGCGTTTGTGATCGTTTGTGTCTCACGACTGTTTTGATGATTTTCACATGTTGGTTTTGTGGTTTGAGATGTTCCCTTATAACTGGAATTCCTGGACGATTTGTCCAGGACTTCCCAGAAAGCTGCCAGAAAGAACTGCAATTGGGTTCCAAGAAATACCGAGTCACTTCTCGTCTCTTTGGCCTGCTTCAGTGGTTGATTTATGTTGTTTCATCCAAGATCTTCAAAATTCTTCAAATGGTCCTTTCAGTTCATGCTGTTCAGTTTATCAGATTCCATCCATACTCGTGAGTTTTGGGCCAAGTAGATCTTTATGGATGCTTCCTGGATGATCTTCGACATTCTTCAACCATGTTGCAGGGATGATCTGCTCCCATGACAGGTACGGTCATCCACCAGAGCTGCAGCATCCACGGAGACGTAGAGGTGGAACTCCATGCACCGCTGCTCTTTGATGCTGCAGCTGTGCCGGAAAACTGCTGGTGAAATGTATGCTTTAAATATAGATAGATAGATAGATAGATAGACAGACAGATAGATAGATAGATAGATGTGTGTATAGATAGATGTGTGTATAGATAGATGTGTATGTATACATATATATATATTATCTATACATATATATATTTACACACTGTAATGATTACTGTAATGATCCCATTAATGCTACCACTCATGCTATATAAAATGTTTCAACTTAAAATGATGATACCCGATTGGTCCTCATGCTTCAGCCATTTAGGATACCAGGATTTTGTTTAATCATTTTATACCCCAATGTTTCACATTTTCAACGGTCCAAAATTTGGTTGGTTCAAGTTGGTTCCAGATCCTGAACATGCCAGATTTACAATTTTATGGGTCCATGTACATCAATTTTGACAAGTGCTTGGTGGTCAATTCCAATTTGACAAAGTTTGGTCGTATGATTTTGTTAGCCTGTTCAACTGGTTTCCCAATAGAAAACTGTGCAAAATAATGACATTTCCAATGGCAAAGAAGGTCATTGTACTGAGGAATCTTACAAATGACCCCTTTGAATTTGCTACTGTATTGTTTCCCGAGGTAGAGCTTCATGGAAGTGTCACTTTTTTGGCCACGGCTTCGTTTCATGAGGCGCGTAAAGTCTTGCACTTCCGGCATTGGCTCTTTCCCAAATGTATCGACTTTGCAGCCTATGAAGAATCAGATTCAGTAGCCAAACCTGTGTCACCAAGTGATTCCCAAAGTGGGACATTTTGAACATCAAAAGTTCTGTGAAATGTTCACACCAGCAGATTCTGTTCAGGTTGGATTCAACACCTCAATCAGAGTGAATTTGGTCGCAAAAGTCTCATCCCTGATTGTCTATGAATTGTCACTTTACAGGGTTCTCCTGGCCACAGTGTTCCCCATCCACTCAGCAACTTAGCACCTGTGGACCCAATGGACCCGGACAGGCCTGTTTGAGTGTGGCTGGCCCAATGAAGATCCATGGGTCGGTCGAGTTCCGCAGCTGTCGCAACAATGCGACTGGAAGTCCAGGAGGCACGGATCCTGTGTCCAAAATGGGGGACACTGTCCAAAATGGTACGTAAGTTTATTGGGAAGTGTATGGAAATATGATGGAATATGTCAATGACTATGATGATGATGGTGATGATGATGATGATGGTGATGATGATGATGATGATGATGATGATGGCGGTGATGGTGATGGTGATGATCGTTTAACCATCAAATTTCGGGGTTCCCCATTTTCTGACAGATTCACTTCTTGTGGTGCAAATGTGACCTGCTTCTTTGAGGGTGGCCGCAAACGCATCAGAAAGACTCACATGAAAGCACCTGACCAGAGGTTCTGGATAGGTTTTTGGCAATGTTTCCGACCACACTTCCTTAATGTCTCGATATTTTCTGGTGATTTCAGGTGCTGTTTATGTCGGAGGAGATCTTCATGTGGATGGTTCTGCTCGATTCCAAAACTGCCATGCAGAATCGGCTGGTGGTGCAATCTATGTGGATGGAGATTTCTGGCAGTCAGGTCTCATAGTTCTTCTGCAATAGTTCCAGTTGTCTCATAGGGTTTTTGTCTTTGTAAATTTGTGATTTCTGTCGTAGCATCGTTCCTCTTTTGAACAATTCACTCTGTATGTGTGTCTAGTCAAGTCGATTCAGAGCATGGTGCCGTACCTAAAGCATTGAAGTGGACGACAGGTGGTACCATGCAATTCGACAACTGCTCAGCTGAAAATGGTGGAGCTCTTTCTGTCCATGGTGGACTTCAGCAGTCAGGTGAGGGCGGTAGATGACAGAGTTTGTTGCATGAGGCAAAGCATGCAAGGGCTGTGCGAGGCGTTCTTTTTTGCACAGCTGAGCCATTCTGAACATCCTCCTAGGAAATGGCGGGAACTGTTCAATGTCATATATCACCCCAAGATGAGGGCAAGTTTTCCAAACATCAGTTCCCATCCCACGGATCAACAACTTTGCCCACGTGAGCTACAATGCTACATGTTGCTGGGCAAACAGTTCAATGACAGAGTTGATCCAATCATCCGCCGCTTCTTCCATCGTCCAGGTGGAACCTTATCCTTTGGAGGTTGCTCAGCAAGGAAATGGGGCGGAGCAATTCACCTTGAGGGGGATCTTCAGCATTCAGGCCGCCTAAAAAAGCACGTGTGCACGTGTCATGAGTTTTCCAGGTTCAGGACAAATGGTTTGATCATGTTTGATCATTTTTTTCGACTGTGATTGCTATCAACAGTATGAAATTAAATGATCTCGACAAGCCGAGCCCTTCAGTATACTGTTTGAGGTCAGGCCCAACATGTTCAGCACACTTTCCTGCCACAGGTGGCTCTGTCAACGTTCACGATTGCACAGCTTCGGAAGGCGGTGGTCTATACCTGAAGGACGACAAAAAAACACTGCTGTAAGGTGTTGCCAATTACGTCAAAAGAGGTTGGAAGGTCCAACAAAAGGAGTTGCAAGATGTAATCGAATGAATCGAATGTAAAAAATTGATCCAAATTGATGTTTGAGGAGCACATTGTGGATTGGACCGCTGGTTCTATGTTCGCGTCCAACTGCTCATCATCTCGCGGAGGCTCGAGATTCGAGATGGATCCAGTTTTGTCATCTCTACTTTCGTTATTTTCCTTGCCTATTGATATCCTATTGATCATATTGATCCTATTGCGTGATACAACAGAGGTGTTAAAGTCAGGGTGCAACTCTGGCCGCGAGGTGCAATGGTGGCCAAGAGCCTTGTGCAGTCTGGGGGTCAGCTGGATTTTGAAAGTTGCGGTGCATCAATTGAAGCTGGAGTACTCCACTTGCAGCAGGACCTCAATCAGAGGCACGGCTGCAGAAAGTCCATGTCAAAGCGATGAGCGATGATGAGCGATGATGAGCGATGATGAGCGATGATGAGCGATGATGAGCGATGATGAGCGATGATGAGCGATGATGAGCGATGAGCTCCGAAGGGCCAGATTTGACTCCCAAGTTTGGTACTTTGATGGTTGCCTTTGAGCTAAGGCAGCTAAGGGCTTTCAGAATGCTACTTGCAAGCCTCAAGACTTCGCGAAAAACTTGCTTTGGTCAAAGGGGCAACAAAGATATGATGCTAATCTTGGAGTTCCATTCCAGTGCCAGATTGCTGCTTGCAACTGCTCAGGACAGCAGGAAGCATGTCCTTCAAGGGTGGCTTTGCAGCAGCCCGTGGTGGTTGTGCAATCATAGAGAATAGATTTTGGCAGATGGGTGGCAGCATGCTTTTCTCAAATTGCACTAGTCAGGCGGGGACCTGAATGATTTCTGACGAATGATTTGCTTCATTTTGCTTCTATGACTCAGTGCATCCTCGATGATCTCATGTTCAGCCGTGCCGCATGTCCCTGCGCCAGAGAAGCCACGGTGGCGCCATCCACGTTGGTCATCGTGGTTTTGGAGGGCTGAAGGCATCAGGCTGGGCAAAGTTCAGCGATGTTTCCATCTGTTTCCCGTGGATCACCAGATATCACCAGGGTTTCTGCAGGCAAGCTGACCTTCCGTGGCTGCAGTAGCAACAGCGGGGGAGCCATCAAGGTGACTGCAGGTGGTGTCACTAGGCGTTGCAGGTGACATCAAGAGAAGCGGAAGTTTTTGATGTCTGAAGGATGCTCTCCCTGCTCTCTTGGAATCTGGTGCTATCGTTCAAAAAAAGTGAAACAAGATGCTTGAATATCTGCCAAATTAATCCAAATGATATCAATTTATTGCAATTTGTTGTGTGTCGGAACTCTCAGGCTGAATTTTCGAACGGCACCTTCCTCTTCGAGGATTGCATTGCAGATACGGGCGGAGCTGTCAGCGTTTCTCGCCGTCGGGAATAATGACTGTCAGATTCATGCGAGGTGTTTTGGACCAATGGAACACTCTGAAAGCCCAAGAGTGGGCAGAAGGAGAGGGAACGGGAGAAGCCTGTTTGAAGTCACAAAACGCAGTCTAAGGTCAGCGCTGGTCATTTCATCCACAGCTCCGGCTCTAGCACCTTCAGTCGTTGCAGGGCTTTGACGTCGGTTGGTGGCGCTTTGAAAGTGGAGGGTGCGCAATCGTTGTTTAAGCAACATGGCCGCACTGAAAATTTTTGCTTGAGCAGCATGAGTCTGTATTTTTGCCATTGTGATTCAAAAAAAAATGTCTGAACTTTCGCGAAGGATGCGCGGTGGCTCCATGCGATTCTCAGATTGCTGGGCCTTTTCCAATGGCGGAGCGTTGTTCGTGATGAAGGGGCTGCGGCAACAAGGCCAGGATTCCACAGCTCTGCTTGGTGGCAAGAGCAACTGCAACTGCCCCAGGTGGTGACATTGAGCTGATGAACTGCAGCTCAACCAGCCAAGGTGCCATGTGGTTAGCAATGGTCAGTTACGATTAAATAATATTAAATATATCAAATGATGTTAAATGATGATGAGAAAATGATGATGTTAGATGTTAAATGATGTCAGAAACACAGTGCAGATCGATGCAGTGAGTTTCTGCTGATCTGACATCAATCTGACCATATCTCAGGTGGAGGGATCTACATCGGCCTCAGAGATGGTGGCAACCTGGAACAAGATGCTGGCTCGATAAGTCTGAACAAATGCTATGTGGCTGGAGGCATCTGGAGGCCAAAAGGTTCCCATCCAAAACAAAGATAAGTGGCAGTCATCCGAATGGATATATGGCAAGATTGGGTGGCAGCCATTCGGATGCCATTCACCCGTAATGATCAAAAGGTCGCTGGTGGACTCTAGAGGAGACAGACGGTGCACGGACAATTTCTGTATCAATTTCTCATATAGATCATAGATTCCAATAGACATTCTCGGACTATTCATTCTCAATTAATTATCGGATTCTTTCCTGTGCAGGCGACTTTCAGTTCGGCTTCGGAGGTGGGATCTCCGTTGGGGACTCTGTCCGTCAGTCTGGCACTATCCGTTTGGAAAATTGTCATGTCGAAGGCGGATCTGGTGGTGGAATGCACCTTGGAGCAAGACATAGCAAGACCAACACATCTCGGTCAGGATGCAAACACTTGCAACTCCCTATCTTGGTTTTGGAATGTTTTGGAGATGGGTTTAGAGGTTTGGCCATGTTTGGCCGTGTTCATTGCTACTTTCGCTGACATCAAGGAAAGTGCGGCGGATGCTGAACGTCAGCGGATCAATGTCCTTCTCATCATGCCGTGCCACAAAGGATGGCGGAGCCTTCACCGCAGATTCCGTCTATGTTGAAGGCAGCTCGGCAGCTCCAATTTTCATGGCGCCGGGGATTTCGAAGTTAGAAAGGTATAGAAAGGTATAGAAAGGTCAATCATGGGCCCATTGAAATCATTGAAGCATATTGAAGGCATTTGTACTGGGTCATTTTGAAAGTCTTACATGTGAGACATGTGACATGTGTATACATGTGTCACCTTCGCATCAGCAAGTCCTCGCAGGTGGTGCGAAGCTGAGTTTCGACAAGTGCAGAGCAAAAGCAGGCGGAGCATTGAAGCTGGATATGGGTTTTGAACAGCAGGGTGGCGATGTGAGCTTCCGCAACTGTAGTACTTGGAATGTCGGAGCGCAAGTTTTGAAGCTCATGAGCGAAAATGCCCGGCATGGTCGTGGAGGTGGTGCCATCTGGATTCGCAATGGGAATCTCACGCAGACAGCTGGTGGCTTGAGATTTTACGGATGTGGTGGGGTCAAAGGTGGAGCTGTTTACATTAGCGAAGGCCATCTGATTTTGAAGGGAGGGAAACAGGACTACGTTGAGTGCGTTGCCAGCTCGGGCGGAGGAGGTGTTTTTCTGCACAAGGGTCATGTCTTCCAGCAGAAGACTGATCTGACATTTCAAAGCTGCAAAGCACAACGGACTCTCGTCAAGATGGCGCGACTCCAGATGTATGGCCATAGTGTCTCATTGACTACATGATTTACTTCAATATTACTACATAATGTTCATGATATTCCATCATGATACATCATATACCGGTATTACATGGTATTAGGTGAAATTGGCATGACTCCCGGAAGGGATGGTGCCGTATCGATTGTTCTGCGACCTGATACTGATACCGTACATTTCCAAGGAAGGGTGGTGCCGTAGATGTGAGTCACGGCAGCTACTATCAGAGTTCGGGTCTCAGCAGGACAGCACTGAAAGATTTTTCAGCAGTGTTCAACAGGCGCACAGAATTCAGTGGGTCAAGCAGTAGCTGGTTGGTGAATTCTGGTTGGTGTCTTCCACCCACGGAATGATGGTCTTGAAGTAGTGACGAATATCAATGGCCATTTCAAGTACCTGAACTGAAGGTACCATACCAGAAAAGCTTTAGGGGTATACCCCGTTACATAGCCCATACATAGACCTTGTATATGTAGGTACCTCCAATTCAGGTTCCTAAAATTAAAAATGGCCACCAAGAATAGTTTGGAAATGAAACCATCAAGCAAGTGACTGACTTGTGACTTGTCAATCCTCAACCATGCCATCAATCCTGGCACAGACTGTTGGTGGCTCAATTTTTATATCCACTCAGATGATTCTCAGATGACTGTAGTGACTAATGGGTGGCAACTCCAAGGTCCAGGAACTTTGTTGAACATCACCAAGTGCGTGGCAAGAGACCATGGAGGTGGGTTGTGCCCTGGCACGGATGTGTCGCCTTTATCGTTGATTTCTGGTGGCATTGTCGAAATTGGAGGATACCATGGGACACCCCAATGTATGATAATGGCTATGTTATAAAATTGATAACGTGATGATTCACCATCAATTTTTGGGGTGCCCTATGGTGCTATGTTTAGACAAAGCCATGTCAGCGTCATCGTCGGACCGACCATTGAAGCGACCAAGGTTTGCTTCTGAGTCCTTACATCTGGCTGATGTAGACTTTCGCGAAAACTTTGCCTGGGGTGCCTCGATGTGTTGCCAAGCGATGCCAAGGTAAGTAATTACCCTCTGGTTATGACTAACATAGCCATGGAAAATAGCCCATAGAAATAGATGGTTTACCTGGGTTTACCTATTAAAAATGGTGATTTTCCATGGCTATGTTAAATAACCAGATGGTACATCCGACTCCAAGTCCCGTCTTCGGTGAAGATGATCTCAGACCCGGTGAAATAAATTTGATGAATCTGGAATACAAACAACACATGGGTCACATCCATTGATTGTTGGCAAGACTCAGCAACCAAGATCAGCAACCTCCCAGGTTCTGGCATGGCAGCCATTGCCCGAGATGATGTGGCAACTTGTCGGCTATTCAGCCTCGATGAACTTCCCGGATAGATGGTCAATAAGCTAGACTATTTTCATGACTATTAGATACTATTAGACTATTAGTGGTTGGTGATGTTGGTGGTTCCATGTGGTTCCTCCCTTCCTAACCCCGAACCTTTTTTGTTGGTTCATGTTGCTTCACCATGAATTCATCACACTGGGTTCATTGAATTGGCGAAAAAGGTCATGGACTCCATGCACTTCACCGGAGATGGTGAGTCGGTCATCAGTGCTCCACTGGTGGTGGTGCAAAAAACGGTGAACTGCACCGCCAGTCAACAGTGCCGTCTGCGTGCAAGGGAAGTCCAGGCGGATCTGGATATATCTGGATGATCTGATGTCAGTTTGATATGGTTGGATCAATGGAACATAATGGAACCAATTCACCCGTGGGAAGTGTCTAAAGGTTGTTGACTAGGGGTTAAGCTGCCAGTTTGGTGTTGACATGTATCATTCTATGGATTGAGGATGGTTACACTGTGACAATTGGAGGTGAACGAATTTCTGTGCCCTATTGGTGCTGGGCGCTACAAAGGCAGATTGGCTGAGGGGCGGAAGCCTTAGCACGGCTTGGCCATGCTTGGCCATGGGCCTGATTCAAGATTAGGCGACGTAAATGGCAACAGAAATCAACAGAAACACTTCTATGGCAGCACTGGAATTTGGGCCCAGCATGGCCCTGCATTCATAAAAAGGGGAAGACAGGCGAGGCAGGTTAGCAGAATCGCGTCCTTGGCTGTGCTCAGGTGTTTACCTTGTGTTGCTGGAAGGGTGCAGATTCTTGAAGAAACAAACGCGTCATGTGCACCTTGTCCAAGCAACTCCTTTTGTTCCGCGCAATATCTACGAGCCTTCCCAGGCGGCTTCAGCATCGCGATCCCATTGAATCCCCAGTGGATCGGTCGTGGATGGCAGGCTACATGCTGAGCTCAGACAACATCAGCCGTATGTATCACTGCCCCAACTCCATGGCTTGCCCAGGAGGACGCCACGATGAATGGAGCAACAGAGATCAAATGAGTCACCATGAGTCACCTATGTCTAGAAGATTGCATAATTATACACAATAATAATATACAATAATATTACATAAATTATATGTATATTATATAATTATATGATTTAATTAATCTGTATCAGTATATCATGATACGCGATTAATCACATCAATGTTGCCATATTGCTGTCATCCATTTACAATCCTTCTTGCTGATGTGCTGAAGGAGACTTGCCGAACAAGACCAAACCGATGTGCGGGAATGGCTACACTGGTCTGGGCTGTGCTGAATGTGATCCTCGGACTTTGAAGTGTGATAGAACGAAAACAAAAAAAACCTCACGCATCATCAGTCCAAAGATATCACCGCAATCCCTTCTTATATCTTCTTGTTGAATCTTACTTATTGGTATTGATAAAATCAAGTGCACAGCTACATCTCTACATATGTCGAAGACATGGACATTCAGAGGCAGCAAGGTTTGGAGACAAGGAGCACATGAGTGCACAGTGGGAAACTAAGGAAACCGCCACTCACGGCAAATCAGATGTCGACATTCTGCAGTGTATTCCATGTGCCAATGAGAGGTGGGGGAGGAATTGTCGGCGCCGGTTGTTGGATGTACGATTTAATCCTGCACAAGGTGGCTCCAAGCTATGCAAATCTCGTGGCTAATCATCAAGGACTGCAGTGTGAAGTGCTTCGAACAGGTTGTTTTTCTCGTCTCATCTTGCCTCCAAAAGATTCCAAAAGCACTTTTGAGGCGATGCTCCATTTTGATCCATTTTGAAATGCCAGGATGCATTGGCCTTTGGCATTGCCGGTGCAAGTCTCATTGGAGACTTTGGAAGAGAAACAAAGCAACTTGGCAACCGTTGGCAACCGATGGCAACGGATAGATCTGAGTTTGGATCATGTTGGATCAGGACAAGTTCTGCGAGTTTTTGTGGAACAGACGCTTGTCCTTCATGGACAGGGCTGAATTGCAGACTGGGCACTTAACACCTCAACATTTTCCGGAAGGGTCCGGGATGCTCCCTGCATTTGGAGATTTCCTAAAATGGTGGTAGCATGGTGTACCCCAAAAGCATCCGCTGCAATAGGATTGTCCATGAAAAACCTTCCATTTTAGGGTATGACCATTTATGGAAACCCCCATTCGATGCTCCAGGCAATGTTTTGCTGAATCAGTTTATGGCCTTTGCAGTGGTCGCTGGTTCGACGTTGTCCTCGACCATGAATACGAAGACGCTGAAGCAGTTCAGTAGCAACTTGTCAGTGACTGGTGAAGTGCCTGCAAACAGATTTCTAGCAGCCTCCTCAGTAACAGGCATGATTGATGCATTCTATGGGCCTATAGCCTCCTTAGACTTTCCTTGATTGGTGTGTCTTTTCCTTGGATTTTCGTTTCCTTTGTTTCTCCCTTGGAAACCAAAGAAAACCAAAGGAAAACGATAGAATCCACCCAGCTCCAAACCAAAGGAAACCAAAAGAAACCGAAGGAAACAAAAGGAAATCAAAGGAAGTCAAAGGATACCACGGAAAAATTAGATAATCTAAGAAGAACTGATTTTAGCTAGTTCCTTTGTGTTTCTTGTTGTGTCTTTTGGTTTCCCACAATCAAAAGCCATATTTTGGTGCAACCCATGCGTTGGAAAGTTTGACACTTTGGTCATTTTTGGTCCATATCTTGGTGGAAATGTGGAACACCAGAGGTTTTCAAAGGAAAGGGCAGGGTGATCAGAGAACATCGGATCATCTGAGGTAACTCTGCTGTGAAGAATGCACGTTCCAGTGATGGTAACTAAAGAGTTCCTATTTTCAGATTGCACAGTTCCAAAAAAAAGCGCATGGCTAGATAGAATCAGAATGAATCAGACAAGTGCTTCATTTCCTACCTCAGGCCGCCCAGGCCCCTTAACAGATGCACCATGATTCACCATGATTCACCCCCTGGTCTCAAGGTCGGAATTCGGATATTGTGTGGTGGTCAGGCTTGCTCCAACCAGATGCAGGCGAAGTTGCACGCAGTCTACAACCAATGTCGCACCGCTTGGTCGGGCCATTCATTTCCTTTGAAAACTTTCCAGATGAACAGATGAATTGATACACTTGGCTCTTGGTAGGTGTGCAAAACCTTAAACGTTATATAATATACTATAGATCAATATAAATAGTGCTTGGGGAAGACACTATGCTATCATGTGCTATCCGTTTGGCACAACGTGAAACATGTGAAACTCGCCTTTGGTGCCAGGTGCTTCTCTGGAATGTATCCTGGGCTACCTCGGCCTCCCAAAGACGGTTACTTGGCAAGACATCGGTTGCTACATGATACACAACTTATTTATGCTGTAATTAATACTTATTCTATAATGTTTGATTCGTTTTAAACGAATCAAACATTATAGAATAAGTATTAATTACAGTATGAATAGAATATAGACTATTTGAATGATTATAGTAGACTATTTGAATAGATATAGAATATAGACTATTTGTATTAATTAAACTTTAATCACATAGTAGACTATCTGAATGATTATATATACATATACAATACATATACATATTGAATTTGATATATAACGACGGACTGAAACTTAGAATGCCGCCATGTTTCTCAAAATTTTTAACGGTGCCACTTAGAATGCCTTTTTTTTGGCCTCACTTAGAATGCCTCCATCGCTAAAACATTCAAACCTGCGAGCTGGACTTTATGAGGCATTCTAAGTGCGCATGATTATCGCCATATTTGGAGACCCTTTCAATATTTTTTGGGTCCAAGGCATTCTAAGTTTCAGTCCGTTGCTATTAGAGATATAGACTTAAACTCTTGATGGTATATAAAATTTATTATATAATCCCCTGTTCTGGTGTGAATATGCTAGTTGTTGTCCCCTAAATCGCATTTGTGAGTTTCTAGCGTTTCGACCACATGGTTGATATAAATTCCAAAAATGAATTGTATATACATATATATATATATGTATAGTGAGGGTTATTTAATATCAATATCCCATTCTGTCCCCATGTTGTCCCACCGTGGGTCTGGGTGCCAGGGTGTCCCACCGTGTCAGCACTCTTTCTTTTTCCAGCCCCTCTGTAAAATCCATTGTTTTTTGCAGGCCCTGACGCACACAGTTGGGAATGTGCCCACGGATGCGAAAACACAAAGCATCTATATATATATACATTATATATATAGTATATATGTATATATGCATATGAACAAACATGTAGCATTCACTTTTTCATTGATTTTCTTCAATTGTTCAATGGTTTTGTTGGTCTCATGCTAGACATGATTGAAACTACAAAGAGAATGACAAAAAATGACAGGAAAATGACAGAACAATGTCAAAACCAAATGTTTGTGGCAAATATCATTTTCCTGTAATTTTATGATGTTTCTGTCACTTTCCTGTCAGTTTTCATTGATTTCCTTAATGTTTTCATGATTGTACTGTGTGTGTGTGTTGTTATGTTCCAGTGTTTTTCTTTACTTTTCTTATGTTTTTCCTTTGTTTTCTTTACTTCTTCATTTTTCCATTGATTTCTTCCCTTTTTCCTTGCTGTCCATTATTGTTTCGTTGGTTTTTTTTCAAGTATTCCTTTGGTTTCTCGATTTTTTCACTGGTTTTCTTTACTTTTTCATTGTTTCTCTTTAATTGTTCAATGGTTTTGTTGGTCTCATGCTAGAAATGATTGAAAATACAAAGAGAATGACAAAAATGACAGAACAATGTCAAAACCAAATGTTTGTGGCAAATATCATTTTCCTGTAATTTTATCATGTTTCTGTCACTTTCCTGTCAGTTTTCATTGATTTCCTTAATGTTTTCATGATTGTACTATATACTATATATGTGTGTTGTTATGTTCCAGTGTTTTTCTTAACTTTTCTTATGTTTTTCCTTTCTTTTCTTTACTTCTTCATTGGTTTTCTGCATTTTTCCATTGATTTCTTCCCTTTTTCCTTGCTGTCCATTACTGTTTCGTTGGTTTTTTTTCAAGTATTCCTTTGGTTTCTTGATTTTTTCACTGGTTTTCTTTACTTTTTCATTGATTTTCTTCAATTGTTCAATGGTTTTGTTGGTCTCATGCTAGACATGATTGAAACTACAAAGAGAATGACAAAAAATGACAGGAAAATGACAGAACAATGTCAAAACCAAATGTTTGTGGCAAATATCATTTTCCTGTAATTTTATCATGTTTCTGTCACTTTCCTGTCAGTTTTCATTGATTTCCTTAATGTTTTCATGATTGTACTATATATGTGTGTTGTTATGTTCCAGTGTTTTTCTTTACTTTTCTTATGTTTTTCCTTTGTTTTCTTTACTTCTTCATTGGTTTTTTGCATTGTTCCATTGATTTCTTCCCTTTTTCCTTGCTGTCCATTACAGTTTCGTTGGTTTTTTTTCAAGTATTCCTTTGGTTTCTCGATTTTTTCACTGGTTTTCTTTACTTTTTCATTGTTTCTCTTTAATTGTTCAATGGTTTTGTTGGTCTCATGCTAGAAATGATTGAAAATACAACATATATATATACATACACATAAGACTGTCCATCCTTATATACATATATATATATATTTAGTTTCGCATAGGCATCCCAAGGGAAGATTGAGATTGGATCATGCACGGAGGGTTAGGGCAATAGATTGCAATCTATTTATATATAGCTGCAGAGAAACTTGTGCACTGCAGGCTGCCATTCTGGAAATCTGGAATCCCGGGTCAAAACAACAAGATCTCCCAGTTTTATAAACACGTACAACAGTGACCAACAGGAAAGAAACAAAGGCATTCCAAGTGCTATTTACATAATTCATCATAATTCCCCGGAACAGCACAAACTGGTCAACAATGATCCCGGAAAAAGACAACCAAAATTGAATTTGAAAGCGTGTTTCCTGCCTAGCTTCACACTCAAGCGGCCCTAGGCTGCAATCATTTCCAAACAGCCTATCACCTGAGTGGGCAGGAACTGTCACCCGCTTTAGATACAGCTTGAATTCAGCACCTCTAACTCAGAGTTTCAACCACGGTGGGTCCCAAAGGTCAGGTCCTAAAGGTCTTTGGATGTTGCCTCAAATTTCTCCAGACGTTGGAGCTGGTTCTTCCACATCAGATCTTTCGGAAACTCATCATGGTAACACTTGACAATCCCTTTGATCGTAGCCAGGAGCGCTTCACCTTCACTTCCTTGGATGATCGAAACCCCTGGGAAAATTGGTAAAGCATAATTATAACTTAAGTCACTTAGAATGCCTCCTAAATACCAGGGTTGAAATAGGGTTCCAAAAAATAATATAGATGAACGAAAACACTGGGACAATCTGTAAAAAACAACCATCACTTAAGTCACTTAGAATGCCTCCCAAATACGAGGGTTGAAATAGGGTTCCAAAAAATTATATAGATGAACGAAAACCCTGGGAAATTTGTAAAACACAACCATCACTTAAGTCACTTAGAATGCCTCCCAAATACGAGGGTTGAAATAGGGTTCCAAAAAAAAATAGATGAACGAAAACCCTGGGAAAATTTGTAAAACACAACTATCACTTAAGTCATTTGGAATGCCTTCTAAATACGAGGGTTGGAATAGGGTTCCCAAAAAATAGAATAGATGAACCAAAACCCTGGGACAATCTGTAAAACACAACTATCACTTAAGTCATTTGGAATGTTTCCTAAATACGAGGGTTGAAATAGGGTTTCAAAAAAATAATATAGATGAACGAAAACTCTGGGAAAATTTGTAAAACACAACCATCACTTAAGTCACTTAGAATGCCTCCCAAGTACGAGGGTTGAAATAGGGTTCCAAAAAAAACATAGATGAACCAAAACCCTGGGAAAGTTTGTAAAACGCAACTATCACTTAAGTCATGTGGAATGCCTCCTAAATACGAGGGTTGAAATAGGGTTTCAAAAAATTATATAGATGAACGAAAACACTGGGAAAATTTGTAAAACACAACTATCACTTAAGTCACTTAGAATGCCTCCCAAATACGAGGGTTGAAATAGGGTTCCAAACAATAATATAGATGAACGAAAACCCTGGGAAATTTGTAAAGCACAACCATCACTTAAGTCACTTAGAATGCCTCCCAAATACGAGGGTTGAAGTAGGGTTCCAAAAAAATAGAATTAACCCAGCTTTGCAACCCAACAGCAAAAGAACAATTTGTGATTGGCAACGTCTAGGCCCTGCAGCGTGGATATCCGATCGCGTTCTCCCTACTTGGTTCCCCGAATCAATAAACCGACCCCATATTAGAGCAGGGGTCCTGAAGATATCACAAGGGACGGACAATGTGAAAAGTGGTTGCACCCATAGGCAATCAACAAGGAAGCGCACATGTGCAAATCTTTTGACCATCGTCCCGACTGTCATCGCTGCACAATAGCTAGGTGTAGCGGGAGTAGATAGAACCGCCCTGGTCATCAGGTCTTCTTTGTTCACCTCGACAAAGGACAAATGTTGGTCCGTCAATTATCGTCGGAACCTGGTGGTTCAGCATGGAAACTACAGGTTCTGCGGGCAGGAGAGTTCAAAGTTTTCAAACGATTGAAGTTCACGTTGCTTGTTTTCTCTGAGTCTCTTGGCAACTCTGCTGGGTAACGACCTGGCAGGACACGCGACGATCCCAAATGCGAGGTTGAGCAACAAAAATATGATGAACATCTTGAACACCACTCTCGCAACAGCTGGTACGCATCGCACAAATTCTCTAATGACATCACTGCTGACGATTTATCGAACGCTCCCTTTTTTCTCGCGACATGGTCTTTTTGTGCAAGAGTTTGCATTTGCGGCTTCTTGGTTCAAGTCTGGCTGCGCGTAACATTATTCGTTGCGGGTCAAAAAATAGGCTTAAGTATTGAAGTATATAGATTTTGGCCATCTGGCTTTGCAATGCGGTTGCAGCGAAGGTGCTGCGTCGCCAACCAAAACAAAAACTAAAAACAATTGTGGCAGCAAGGTTGGATGGCGGGGAATCCGCAGGAAGCAGTGAACGAATCATCTAGTGAAAGCACGAGCAGGCCACTGCAACTCCTCACGGGCGGCTTTGCAAGCAGCCATAGTAGCTTCCATTTTTTTCTCAAACAGATTTTCCATCGCATCTTGGAGTCTTGCTGGCGGGCCGCCCTCAAGGATAGAGCGATTGACTTTGCCAACCAAGTGTAAGGATTGCAAATCTCGAACGCGCGACAACATAACGTAGTAAGCTAGCCACCGAGCTTCCTCAGAAAGTTTTTTTGGCAAGGCCACATGGCACACAAGTC